ATTAACTATAAAATATTTATCTTCTTATAAGAATTCGTCTTTTATTTAACTGACGAAATAAAGTGCTAATAGTTACTAATTATTAAAAAGGTCTTTTACTACGCTTTTTCGGAATATTACGCTATAAATAATATTATAAAATAGTAAGATAGGGTAATTATCGACCCTTATAATAAGAGATTCTAATTCCAATTAATTAGCCGCTAATATAATTCTCTCGGCGCGGCCTACCTTAATTATAATATTATATATAAATTCTTATAATACGAATTCTATTAGGAAGGAATATATAATAATATAAGGACCTTCTATAAAATTATTTCCTTTACGTAACAAATAAAATCGTTAAAGTAGAGTTTAACCGGATATTTTAAATTTGTAACCGCCTTACTAATATTATAGAGAGACGTATTTATTAATTATATTACCCCGCTACTAAGAAGTACCTATATCGGTTAAACTTTTAAATATATTATTGTTATTATCGACTGATTAATTAAAATATAGTACTACATACCTATAGTAACTTTAGAAGCGGAAGAATTTACAGACTACTTTATCGATTATATTTATTCGATCTATAGCCTACTAAATAATATCCTATCCGATAGAGGTATCTAATTTATATTACGTTTTTAGGTTACCCTTTGTAAGAAATTATTAATTATCCGCAAATTAATTTTAATTTTCTACTCTTAAATTAATATTTAAATAGAATATATTAGTATAGAAATAAAATAATTCTTATAATTTTATACTAATTAAATATAAGCCGATTGGGTAAATAATTATTAATTGGAGAATTTGCTCAAAATAATACTATATTATCGTTAATGGGTATTTTTCCCTTCTTTACTAATTATAGCTACTACTTATAAATAAGTACCGAACTTCGTACCCCGCTACCTCCCGACCTCTCCTTAGCTTAATTAAAAGAGTATTATAAAATATTTGAATTAGTAGACCGTTTCGAATAAATTTAGGACTTCGTCGTCTAATAAATTTAGTAGACCTAAGAACGATGCGAAAATAATACTAATAAAAAATACGTCCATTTTCCTAAATATTACCCTAATAATATAATTTTATTAAATACAATAAATTTCATTAATAATCGGCTATATTTAAAATTCTATCCGAGATAGGAGGGCCCTTTCTACGTTACCCGAGCGGAGAATTATATAATATAGTTCGTATTCCCTGTTAATATAAAATACTTACTGGTATTCTACGTTTTTATAATATAATTATAGATTAGTAAAAGCCTTCCCGGTTAGAATACGTCCTTTAATATAAAAGTAAATAATAGGCGTATAATGATTAAAATAGATAATTATAAGGAATAAGAAGAATAGGATTTCGAAAACTTTATTAATTACATTCAATTCGGCAGTAATTATTATTAGTATTATTATATCGAATAGAAGGGTGATTATTAACTGACTTAGGAATTTCAGGATTATGTTATCGATTACGAAGAAATATTTTAGCGTTTTTACGACGAATTCTCCGATAAGCCTACGCTACTAAACGTAGAAACTATATTAATTAAACGTATTCTAATACCGGCTATTGCTCTAGTACCGGCTATTATTCCTGTACCTCCAGTACCCCCGAAACGCTGGTCTGCCCGCGTTATTTAACGAACCGAGACCGCCGTTGCCATTATTAATATTATTTAGCCGTTGTTTGATATGGTTATAATTACGATAGGGCCGGAGAATAAGCTTACGGTATATAAAGAATGGGGATTAGAAATAGCGTTTACAAGGATAGTGAAACGTTTAATAGATATTTAGTCTAGTCGAATACTAAAGACGGAATTTATAGATTATATTAAAATATTAGAGGATTATAAGAAGAGTTTAAAATAAATAATTTAGAATATTATTATATATATATATAAACTCGAAGCTACTAGAGCTTCTTTTAAGGCGGGATAGTATTATAGGGCTAGCTTATAATATTCTTATACTATATTAATTACTTCGTATACTATACTTAGAGTATAGTAGTTACGTATAGCTATATGTGTACGCGTATACGAACTAGCCTACTAGGGCTCTCGCCTATATAGCTAGTCCTCTACGCACACCTTCCTTTCCTCTCCTCTGTATAATAACGTATATCTTACCCTATACCCAACAATGCCTCGCCCCGTGATAATAATATAATTATTACTTCTACTAATAAGATTTAAAAAAAAATAATTTCATTAAAGTCTTTATTAAATATAATTATAATTTAAATATTCGGCGGGACTAAGTACTAAAACGCAGTAGTAAGGGAACAGGAATTAGAACAAAAAGAAGAGCGAGAAGAGGAATTATAATAGTAAAGCCCCAAAATTCTATAGAATTAAAGGGTAGAAATAGTACTAGATTTTAAACAAGGCCTAAAAAAATAGTAATAAAAATTTGTAATAAAAATATAATGAAAATTAAATTTTAGAAAAACTTATAAAAGATTTGAGGTACAATAGAAATGTCTTTTGAAAAATAAATAAAATCGTAATAATTAGAATAGCAGCGGGTAAATAGTAATTTTATAGGTCGCGGCCGGAAGTTATACCAATATACTTTATAATTTTATTAAAAATACTATATAAAGTAATCGCACCGAACTATAAATATAAATATAAATATCCGACTTATTAAGAGATTTATAAATTATTATAACGCGAAGTAGTAGCAAAATAGTAAATACTATAGCCGGCGAAGCAGCAGTAATAGTAAAATATATAAAATACTAACTAAATAGCGAAAACGAACGAAAGCGGTCTTCATTCAATAAATTGCACTTCTATTAATATAAAGGTGAATAAAATCTTATAATAGGTTAAAAATCGAATAATTTTAATAAAGATAATAGATTTTTATAAAATATAATAAATTCCGTAATAGTAAAGTATTAGGAAAAATCTAGTATATTTATAACGTAGTAAAATATCCCCGTATCTCAAATTACTAAGGTTTTTTCTATACATATAATATATACGGTAGTCCGTACATATAATCTATACGAGTACAGACTATATACATAACGGCTATAATCGATAGCGGTATTTACGCTTAGTAAGAAACGCAATCCTTTTGGAATACGAATAGTATCTTTTTTCTTAAAAAGAAAAAAGGTAATAAAGGGGGAAAAAGGGAAGGAAGGGGAGGTAGGCAAGGATTATAGACTTAGCTGTTATTTGCGGAACGCATAGCGTGTCCGGGCTTATAACCTATTAAACTATATAGAGGAGGTAATTACGTAAGACGACGGATGTAGTAGTAAATGTCTTAATTAATTGAAGAGAGAGAAAGAGCAAAGGGAAAAGGAAGACAAGGTCCGACTTATATACAGGGTAAGCATGTGTGGATCGTATCCACTTGTGCCAAGAATGCCAAGAACTGGTGATGGCTTCAACAGACCTTACCTAGCTAGACCCGGAGACAAATGCCTTTTTGCAAAGCCACCGGATCTGACAGACCATCGAGACGAGATCGCTGCTGGTAAACATGAGCAAATCAAGAACGTTCAGTTCTTAGAGCAGAGTCGAGAAAAGCAAGCTGAGCTGACAAGGCCATCGAGCTGACGAGCTCTGAATCCATTCCAGATCAGCTGCTTCCACATCACAATTTCTATCATGCAAATGTCATTACCCATCAAGCAAGCGCACATCTTTCACTCCCTCTCAACCGTCACGCTTTTCCTTGGTGAGAAGTGGGCTCCTTAGTCGGAAAGTGGACATAACACCTTGGACTTGGAGGCAACCCTCATGCTTGCGTTGGCGGCCAAGATCTTTCTCTATATATACATAGCAGCTTACCCCCAAAAAAGTGCGGTTAGGGTAGTAGTGCTTTTCGCGGGCGGTCCCCATATAAAACCCCGTACGTACTACCCAAATTATAACGTACGGCCCGAAAGTGCACTTTTCGCCCGCAAAAGAATTATTAGCCCTAATAGAGTTTCGTGCTTTTTCTATTAGTGTACTTTCCGTCCCCAAACTTCTTCACGTTCGCGTTCGCTCCGGGAAGGGCCGCGGCAGGTTTCCTGCCGCCCCGAACACTAGCCTCCATTTACATAATACATATCTATTTACACTTCCATTTGTACTTCTATTTACACTTTTATTTGATTTTTCATTTTCACTTTCATTTAAAGCTATTTATACCTCTATTTATATACTTATTTAGTTGGACTCTCTTCTGAGGGTAAATGTTTCTTTATTTACCTTCTAGCTATAGTCCATCCCAAAATCCAGCTCTGCACGGGCTATAACCCTGGATCTAGCCTTACACCCTCAGGGAAGGGTCGAGGACAGCTTGCTGGCCTCCCCGAACACTAGTATCTTCCACAACGACCAGACATCATCATGTTTTCGCGGCTTCCTTGCGGTGTTGAAATGGGTGGGTCTTGTCTCAGGGGTACGCCCACGAAGTAAACAAACAGAGGAGGCACCTAACGAAAGAAGGACAGCCAGTGCCATTCAGAGAAGTGCAAAACTCACCAATAAAGTCCACCACGAAGAAATTCAGGGTCTTTGAAGTAGATTGGTCTTCCTTCCGTTCGTCCCCCTTTCCCACTTGGCATAATGATGACCACCGGCGGCCGCTGCTGACCAGTGACAACCGCTTCGAAAACAAAGACCCTCGTGTAACCCTAACCCGGATCCAGGTTATGTCGTTCCTTTGGCTAGCATCCAGGCGCATCTCGCTGGCTCGCAAATCAGCAGCAAGGGATATGATGACGATGACCAAAGTGAAACCCGCCGACTGCCAAAGATAGGAAAGTTCAAAGGTGAAAAAAACGTTGGAAAACAGAAATGCAAGAGACGTGATTCGGTCTCTGGTCATCTCTCTTGCCTGGACCAGGATCGAGCTTGGCTGCGTTCACCCCTGGCGCCCATATGCCGCTCCTTCCTGTCCAATGGAAAGGCAAGGAATGGTCAGCATTCCTAACCGCACCCCAGGGTAAAGTGACATGGATCACCTTTCACAACACCTCCCAGCTTCTGATATCAAACGCCCTTTGCTGTTTCTTCTTTCGCCAGCTTGCAATTTCCATTTATTCATGATTCATCGAACCTTTCCTTCCCATCTCAAATACCAAAAACAGCCAAACACCAATTTCTACCATCGCAATTCACAAACCACAATCTCAACCAAAACATCACCGACCCGACCAACACTAACACCAACAACACCATGACCACATCACCAGAAACATCGCCACTCCTCGGCCCAAGACCCACAAGAACCGACCTCCCCCCCTCAGAATACGAACCACACAAATCCCGCCCCAGCTCAATCCGCAGCATGCGCTCCTGCCTCACCAGCTCCTCCGTCACTGCGGCCGGGCCCTGCCCGCGCCAACAACCGCCCTCCGGCTGCGACAGTGCATCCTCCTCCTCCTCCAAAAAATCCAACACCTTCGACGGTCTCTTCCGGGACATAATCCTCGGTTTCTCCGACGGCCTCACGGTCCCCTTCGCACTAACCGCCGGTCTTTCCACCCTCGGCAGCACCAAACTCGTCATCATGGGCGGCTTAGCCGAGTTGTTCTCCGGGATGATCAGCATGGGTCTGGGCGCTTACTTGGCCGGGGTAACGGAAAGACAGCACTGGGAGGCTGAGCACGCTAGGAAGGCGTGGGAGGTTTCGAACCTGCCGCAGTTGGAGCAGTCGGAAATCCTATCCATCCTCGAAGACGATTACGGTGTGTCACGCGTCACAGCCGCAGCGCTGGTGCAGGACCTCTGCCGAAAGGGAAACGAAGAGAATCTTGTCCGGTTTTTGATGGATCTCCAGCTGCGCATGATGGAACCGGATCTCAACCGGGCGTGGGTCAGTGCGGGCGTGATGGGCCTCAGTTATTTCGTTGGGGGACTGATTCCCATGGTGCCGTATTTCTTTATGGAGAGAGCGAGGGAGGCATTGTGGGTGTCGGTGGTTATTACGGCGTTGATCTTGCTTGGGTTTGGGTTTGTCAAGAATTGGGTGACGATTAGGACGAGGGAGGCGGGGGTGTGGGGGGCGGTGCAGACGTTGGTTATTGGGGCGTTGGCGGCGGGGACGAGTTATGCGATTGTGAGGTTGTTGGATTCGGAGCATTAAGGGAACACGGATGGGGGGATGGACTTGGGGATGGGATATCCATGGATGCGAGGACGTTGTTCATGATTGTACACGTATGGGTTCGGCGTTGAGGTCGGGTTTCGAGTCATCTGGTCATGTCGTTTGACAGCGGCGGCGTTCAAGGCGTTTGGAAGGAAAAGGTTGGGACAGACAAGGTCATGATATCAATGAGATGCAGTTCAACTTCAGTTGACAAATGCTTGTGATACTTATCCTCATGTTTTCCCCTCCATTTTCCCATGGCCTGGTGACACTGTTGACGGTCGGGACAGGAAGTTTCAAGATTAACAGTCGGGTTAGGGTTTGACATGGATGAAGTGTAAGTGTTAGTGGTGCTCCCAGGGGAAGCCGAGAAGGTCAGTGACGTTGGTGATGCTAGCAGGTAAGGCCACCCATCCATCTTCGCGATACCTAGAATCAACCTGATGGAAACTCGAATGTTTTGAATCCTGTATCTGACGAAGGAGCCGGAAAGGCGATGGTTAGCAGAAACACCATCATCAATTCGGATGCAACGACTCCCGACTGTCCCTTCATCTCCTGGCATCGACGTCAATGGCGCTAACATCGACCACTGAGAGCGCTGCGCACTGCACCGACCGACCGACCTGGCCAAGCCTGTTATCTGCGCTCCCGCGCCATCGCGTCGGATTCTTGAACAATTTCATTTCCATTCAATTCCGAGTTTGCGACCGGCCGACATGCCCACCGAGCGCCACGATCGATTTCAATCTCGAGCTACACCAGCCGCAATTCCTCGACACCTCCCGCGCCCCTGGCCATTGCGACCCCGCCATGTGCGACCGTTAGTACCCCGCGAAGTCGCCAAATCCCACGAGGTTACCGACCCGACAGTGACCTCGCCGCTTGCGCACCCCAACCGATGGCACCCCTCGGCCCGTCGGACACCGTCGCACGCCTTCCGTACTCCGAACCTCGTATCCCCAGAAAGCGATGATCTTGGCAGGAAATAATCGATGATCTCTCGCGGATCATGACTTTCGGTGTGGTGCTTGGAAGTCATGGAAGACGTCGAACGGCGTCCATGGAACACACAGAAGGCGGTCGATCATCAGCCCGAGAGACCGGTGGGGCAGCCGTTGCAGCGAACATCCCAGCGAAGTGTTTAGCGGCTGATGGGGGCCAATGAACGCCAATGACCGCCATCTCCAGTGGAAGATGGGGCCGGAACAGGGGGCGTGGAGACCGCCAATACGAACCGTGATTTCGACCGGGAGATGTGGTGTGGGAGGCTCGGCAGAGATCCGATGGACAGAATATTGAGTATCTTGATGGATCACCAAGCTGAGCCACAGATCAGCAACATGGATCAACACACTCCAACAGGAACAGACATCCAATCGCCCTGAAACAGAACCTATATTTCTGTCAGCGACCCCAGATTTCCATTCGTCTCACCTCATTCCGGCACCGCCTTTTCCACTTTCTCGACCACCACCACCACCATGGAAATGGAAGCGGTCAGCCCCCGTCCGCATGACCGGTCCTGCTTCCGTTGTATCCACCAGGTCAAAATGTCTATATGTAAACATCTCATCCCACCTCCGTCACCTTCCACAGCTACGGCCTCCCTAACCATCTCACCGTCTCAGCAACACTGACAGCCAAAATGAGCGCCTTCCTCGGTCTAATCCCCCAATACCCCAGTCCAACCCTGGAACCACCACCACCCTACGGCGGTGCATCCTCTCAACTCCGTCCCCTCCGCCACCGCCGACCTGCTTCTTCTCTCCCCAGCACTTACACCCCCTACCCACCAGACGCACCATGTCCGCCCAACCGCACCATGGTCCAGGGGTTCGAGTGGTACTGCCCGCCTGATTTCCAACACTGGCGGCGCCTGACGAAAATCATCCCCACGCTCGCCCAACTCGGCATCACCCAGATCTGGATCCCACCCGCTTGCAAAGCGTCATGGAAGACCGGCAACGGCTACGACATCTACGACTTGTACGATTTGGGTGAATTCGAGCAAAAGGGCTCTCGCAAGACGAAATGGGGCGGAAAGGAGGAACTCCAGCAATTAGTCGCCGTCGGTGCTCAATACGGCGTCTCGGTCCTCTTCGACGCCGTGCTCAACCACAAAGCCGCCGCGGACTTTAAGGAGCCAGTCCTCGCTCGACGAGTGGACCCCAAAGACCGACGGGTGGTGTTAGACAAAAAGCCTTCGGAGATCGAAGCCTGGACGGGTTATGATTTCCCCGGTCGCCAGGGGATGTACTCCCCGCTGCGCTGGTCAGCGCGACACTTCAAGGGAATCGACTACGACGACCTGCGCAAGGAGAACGCCGTCTGGAAGTTTGAAGGCAAAGAATGGTCAGAGGACGTAGACGAAGAAAACGGAAACTACGACTATCTAATGTTCGCAGACATCGATCACCAGCACCCCGAAGTGAAGCGGGATATCTTCCACTGGACATGGTGGCTCAAATCCCAACTGCCCCAACTCGGCGGTTTGCGGCTCGACGCCATCAAACACTACTCCTACTCCTTCGTCCGTGAACTCCTGGCGCACATCGACCGCCACGTCTCTCCCGGCCCACCCGGGAGCCCTGGAACCATGTTCATAGTAGGTGAATACTGGCGCGAAGACTCCGAGTTCTTAGCTCGCTACATCGAGTACATGCACCACCGCCTCTCGCTCTTCGACGTGCAACTCGTCTCCAACCTCTCCCGCATCTCTTTGGCCTCCGAACACCTCCAATCTTCCTCTTCTGCTCCAGGGATCACGTACGGCAGTCCCGACACCGACCTCCGTCTCCTCTTCGACGACACCTTATGCGTCTGGAAACCGCACAACACCGTCTCTTTCGTGGTCAACCACGACACGCAAAAGGGACAATCGCTGGAAACCCCCATCGCGCCCTTTTTCATGCCCCTCGCCTATTCTCTCATTTTACTCCGCGCCAACACAGGAATCCCCTGCGTCTTCTGGTCCGATCTATACGGCTCCTTTGGTGTTACCTCCACCTCCTGCCCATCCTCCGAAGACGCGCCAGAGTCAGAACCGACGCAGTTACCGGACCCACAGCACTGGAGACCGCCTATGTGCGGTGGGCAAGTCCTGCCGAAGTTGATGCTGGCGAGACGGTTGTGGGCGTATGGGACGCAGCACGATTACTTTGATCACCCGCATTGCGTTGGGTTTACGAGGACGGGTCATTATAGTCAGGCTGGCGGCGCGGGAGTGGCGTGCGTGATGGCCAATTGGTGGGAACATGCTAGTAAGAGGATGTATGTGGGCGTGGAACATGCGGGTGAGGTGTGGACGGATTTGCTCAAGTTTTGTCCGGGTGAGGTGGTCATTGATGGGGAAGGGTGGGGAGTGTTCCCTGTTGCGGCGAGGAGTGTGGCTGTTTGGGTTAGTAGGGAGGCTGAAGGGCGGGAGGGGGTTGATGCGTTTGAACTGTAAGTTGCACCGAAATTCCTTGGACGGGTTGATGATGCTAACACTAGGTATGATAGGGACTCCGATGTTTACGGTTTCAACAAGAGGCAGCAGGAGCAGGCGTATGAGAGTCAGAGGGGCCCAGCGGTGGAGGAGGAGCCAGAGGATTGGATGGTTGCTGCGAGGGGGGCGGCGGCCGAGTACTTGGCCATGACAGGATCTAATTAGACGTGGGTGGAGAGCCCGATTGGACATCGATGCCCTGGCGGTGTGATGTCTAGGCCAGTCGAGAGATGACTGCGGTGATGAACAGGCACTGGCTGCCACGTAGAGAAGTATCACAAGTGCATACGAGACATAGTCATAATGTAATGCTTATTACCAATACTGCAAGGAGGAGGTGAATGTTGAGGAAGGGGTAGTGGCAGTGGCGGTTAGGGTGTTGGTCAAGGTAATGGTCAAGGTAATGGTCAAGGTGACTGTGGGAACGGAGGACCTAGGGGCCTTGCGTTGGTCGTCTGTGGTCTTGTTCGAGGAGCTGCCAGCACCCAAATAGACTTCCCCCAGAATATCCTCAACCAACACCGTGCAGAGGTCTGCGGAAGCAGGGTAGTCATATATGTTGGAGCATCGAGTGTTGTCGGGGTTGGGTGAGCAGGCTCCTACGGGAGCGGCGGCGCTGTTGGGAGAAAAGTGGGCCGGGTCATCGGCGTACCTGTTGAAGTCATTGCCAGTATAGATTCCAGTTCCTTGAGGAAGTGCGGCAAGAGAGGAGGGCGGACGATAGAGGAATTTGGATGATGGGAGGGGAGTACAAACAGTGGAGGCGACTCACTAGACAACAGTACCCAGATATTAGCCCTCCTCTTGATCATCACGATTTTTGGGGATCTAGCATCTAGGTGTGGAAGAGCTCGAGGATGCGGAGGCCATCGGGGACCGAGACATCGTAGGGGCCGTTGTCAATCAGACTGGCGGTGTTGGTGTTGCTGGTGACACTTCGGATTGCGTGGGCGCTAGGGAGAGCAGAAACGCCGGGGAGGTCATGAATTCCCAACCAGCCAAGGATGACTGGAGTGCCTTGACGGTGAGCATCTCGATGGTGGTGATTAATGGTGCTGGTTGCAAGGGTACTTAATAGTGAAGATGGACGGAATGTACTGATCGAAATAAACTGAAGGAAAAAGACAGAAGAGAACAGAAGAAGTTGAAGCACGGCTGTGATGAACCTTGGAGAAACTCGAGCTACTAGTTGGTGTCATGGTGGGGAACGACTACTCCAACATTTCACCGATGAGGAAGAAGTCCGGGAAAGAACGGAGGAAGAGAGAAATCCGGTTGTTTCGGGTCACGTCAATAACTTGCCGATCAATATCTTAGCTGCTCAACCCCCTTTGACCGAACGGTAAAATTACTGTTTTTTTTTTTGGAACCGTGTATTCACAGTTTATTTCGTGTAAACGGTTGAAAATCCTTACGGTATTGTATCGCGACGGTTAGATATTTTAATTATAGAAATTTGTACCAGAAAGATATTTGCTCAGCCGTTTTGACATGGAAGCTGTTAAATGCCAGTTAAATAACGCTTTGAAATAAGTAAACTACCAAATTCTAGTTAGGAATCATAACCCTTGATACTTTCTACTGGTGATTTCTTGGGAACCGTAAGAAACTAATTAGTAATGGGGGAATAGTAAAAAACCAGTGGGGAAATTTGGGGTATTTCTACGAGTAAAAAGGAAAGAAGGAAAGGAGGAAAGAAAGTAAGAAAGTAAGAACGACAATAACTACCTTCCACTAGGCACTATAAGGTTTGCATTGGAGCGAAAACTTTGCACTTTTTCTTTTCTACCTTGCAACCAAAAACCAAGAAGCAATTGAGTTAGGAAGTTAGAGAATTAGGAAATTAGGGAGCCGGATAGCCCATTTACTAAGTTATTATTTTCTAAGTGGAAATTGCAGCTAAGTGGCATCGCGAAATCACTACTTTAGTAATAGATATTCAAGCTTTTTCTCTCTCTTTCTCTCTCTCTCCCCCCAAGTAATATAGTTAGTTAATTAAAACCATTTCTTCCAAAAGGAACTAATGCTAATACATTATTGTGACCGTAAATTTTACGTAAGTTAGCCGGGCTTCCAACTACCTGGCCCACTTCTAGAGCAAGCACGGTTTGCACTTTTTCACCATTCCTAGAAATCATTGTGAGTCTTTCAACACTATGCGTTATTACCGTGAATTAACCAAAACTTTCTATAAGAACTGTTCCCTAATATAAACCGTATATAAAATAATTACCGTAGTTCTTTAGTTATTTTTATTATACAGTATAACCCTGCAAACTGTGCCAGCACCGTGAGACCACGGTTAGGTCAGAGGGGGGCCCTTAGGTAAGATGGCCATGACTGCCCCAGTATGACAGAGGGAAGTTGCGAGTATTTATAACACGCCATTGGTTGAAAACATGTCTTAGATGCTCCCTGGAAGTTTGCCTGCCGAGTGGGCGCGCTTATCTTACCTTATCATCAATGCAATCGCCCACGACCCCGCGCCTGCCTTGAGCTCGGCTGTTGTTAACATCACCATCATCGTCCTTCGTCGTACCTGGCGCAAACGACAAAACACACCCATTCAAACCCTGCCCAATCTTGGAACCCTTTCTTGCATCCCCTTTACCAGTACTCACCTCAAGTTAGCTCCCGGGTCATTCGATACCACGGGCTTCCTGCCCCGGACCGTCGCCGCAATCCATATCACACCCCACCCGGCCACCCGCCGCCCTCGATCCCGAACGAATCCAAACCAGCCTGCCGTGCTGTCGGGACATACAGCTCGAATATGTGCCCGAATCCCTCCCGAATGCCCGAATTGGAAGATGGTCGACCAGATACGAAGACGAACCTATGCACACGAGGCGAGGCCCCGCTGAAGCGAAGGATGATACAAAATACGACCACAGGCAAGCTTGGATGGAAAGAGTAGGGGTGTACATTTGCACTGGTGAGGGGCGTTAAATTAGGATCGCCCTGGAAGTCCGTTATCGCCCTCCTCCTTCCCTTCCATACAACTATCTACTGCCCTCCTCGATCCGGGCAAGGTTCATGACGAGGGGCTTTGTTCCCTTGGTTTCCCAATCGCGCAGCAGGTGGTGTGGCGGTCCGGGTACCATAACCGCCCCTGGGGACCGAACAAATGGAGAAGAATGGGACACCATGTCGTGTGGGAGAGTGGTTTCCGGGGACGACAACTATTGGACATGAATGAAGGCCGAACGAAGCAGGGACGGGATGGGGTCACTCGTTACTACCTGTAGGGAACAACTAATCCAGCAGGGTCTCGCATTACACGATACTCTTCCCGAGAAAGTACAATCGGATGGCACAATAGCAATGGCGGAATCATCTCTTCATCTGCGAGAAAATGGAACTTCCACTCGTTGCATGTTGCAAGCCAAACACTTCACGTCCACGGTCCGCATGACCAGGGACATTTTCACCCTACTGGACTGGGCCCGAATAAATCAGAAGCAGACAACAGGTAAGTGCAATTGAATCTTCAAATTAACGACAGCGCTCAATGACAGTAACAAAAGAGCTGACACCCAAAACACGATTGCAGGCAAACACGATTCAGCATCCAACACAAACAAAAGTCCGCGTCCATGTTCCATCACGGTCGCTCGACTCAAACCCTCCTAGTGGCCCAACCTCACGTTCAATATGACATCCTACTCCTCGACCTCGATGATCAGAGGTCGTTGTCTTTTGTCCATCGAAGGCTTGACAGACGATGCAAACGGGGAACCCGGGTTACGCTCCGGCACTGGAATCGTGTCTTGCGAGCTTCTGCTGACTGATGTCGAAGACGAAGACCGACCACTATCACCGACAATCGACAGCCTTCCGAATCTAGTCGTCACATCATCCGAGTCATCCATCGCGCCCCTCGTCGAGATACTGTCCATGCTATCGGGAGAAGCCTGTGCTCCGAGGTGTGGGTTATAAGAAGTAGAGCTTCCCCCTCCGATGTAGCGGGTCTGGCTCGAGTTGGAATCGTGGTGCCTCCTCTCAGCCACATTCTCAGTAATAGTCCTCCGGATCATCTGCCTCAGTGTCGCCAGCATCTTCCAATGGATATTCTCTCTTGTCTTGTTTGCTTTAGCAACATTGACGCCGTCTTCGTCGCAGATATCCGGCGCGCGCCACTCATGGTAGATGTTACCATGACCATGGCGGAATTCGACTCCGCTCGGATGATTGTCGACATACAGTTTGCACAGACGGCAAGTAGGCTTGCTGCAGCCGATATAGCGATCATAGTCCGCCTCGGCAAAGAAGCGCAGCGGTAGGCCCCCGCGCTGTTCCTCAGTGAGGATTGAGTCGAGTAACACCAATTCAGCATGAACATAGGGCTTGCATTTACCCTTGGCGTACGCCTTGATCTTGTCTTCGATGTCTTTCCGCTGCTCTTTCGGGAGATTGGCAATGCATGCTTGAGCCATTTCCATTTCCGGAGGAAAGCGTTTTATGATACCATCAACGGAGCGACGAACACTCGGACAGTCAGTTCGAACGCTAGATGGAACAGCTACAACCTCGAAGTCTTCAAACAGCTCCCGGCGCCGACGCCGCATCGACATGAGCACCGTGACGGCAACAGTGTAGGAGTGAAGGCGGCCAAAGGCGTGCCGTAGCTCGCTCCATGGTGTCTTGGTGGTGGGGTCCCTGTCTGCCCGGGCCTTGTCGCGGATGAAGCCTTGGAAGGAAGAGTTGTAAAGCTGGTTGACGGTCTCCAGAAGCTCCCGCGCTTGGGTGACAACTGTCAATATCCTGTTAGCACGTTGACTGGGGGACAACCGTCTGTGAAGCTTGACCACTTACAGCTCTCTAGACTCGGTTCTTCTCCTGACGCTGACAACCAGGCAAATTTTCTCAGAGAGTTGATATCACGAGCAGCTTCCCGACCTGTATAGCCTGTATGACATGGTATTATTAGCAGGAGAAATTCTCTCCATGATACTAATGAGTGCTCTTACCTTCAGAGTTGTCCTCCTCTTCACATACTTTTGTGCAGTGATCCATCCTTTCCTGTTGGGTCAAGTTCTTGATGTACTGTTTGATCACAGGTCGGTTGAACGCTATGACCCTCTCAAGAACCGCCCCAAACACTCCGTTCAACTGGTCGTCAGGAGTGCTGCCCAGGATGTCCAGAATTTTGACGATGTACCTCTTGACATCTTCTAGCTCCTCGTTGGTCCGCTGGTTGGATGCAAACCGATACTCAATCTGGCCAGGCTGGAGGACAGCGAATGCTGTAACAGTCTTGCCTCTCAGCTCGCTGTCGCAGATCTGGCCGAGCTTGTCAACGAAGCATCGAAATGAGTTCCTCGAGGATTTTCCAATGTCGGATTCGAGGTCGGGCTCCGGTTCCTTGACGCTCTCCGCATGGTACTTGACTTCCTTCAAGGAGTGAAGCAAGAAAACGGCTTCGTAGAACTTGAGGCTGAGACCCGCGTCCAGCGGGACAACATCGAAGGGGAGATCGTCAGTTGACATGTTGTTAGGGCTTGGGGAGTATGGGTAAGGAATATTTCGTGTAAGTGCAGTCGCAACGAAAAGTTGAAGTGTTCTGGTGAACTGATGATTGGAACTAGGCTGAGTCAAGGAGGTGCAAGTTATCGAAGTGGAAGAAGCCGATCTCTTCGAGGGTTTTTAAACAATGGACATCGTTAGATCTCAAACCCTTGAACCAAGTCAATCTTCCCAAGCTCATGGTTTCGGAGGCATTCATCATGAGGCCTACAGCGTGGGCGCGACCGGTTTCGTCGAGATTCGATGGTGATCTCGTGTTCGTGAGGCCCACCGCCGCGGAAAAGACGAGCCAAGAGCATGCCTCCACGCACCGTCGCAGCCTGCGTGATGTGATTGACAACAAACAACAAGGCTCTTAGCCCCTTGGAGGTCGGAACAGGTCTATGCAAAGGTTAGAGGCCCTTTTGCTCAGTTCTTACGCAACAGCGCGAGTCCAAGAAGCAGTTTCGGTTGTTCGGAGACCTGGGTCGAATGGAGGCAGGCAGGTCGTGCATTGGAGGCATGCCATTCTTTATCTACTTTTACGCCTCACCTCGACGATTGAGAGCCTATCACAGTTTCAGTTGCCTCCCTCTGGGCCAATTGGAGGGCGTTGGAGGAGAGACTAGGTCACATCATTGGGCCAACATCATGGCTACACGCTACCAATCCCACTGCGCCAGTGGGAGCAAGGCCCCATCACCGTCGTGGGCCTCGTAGGCCTCTGGCAGATTTAGCCTTGTTGGCCATGTTGACGATGTAGGCAAAACACTTTTCCTGTTTGGGGTCTACGGTTGACGGTGGGCCGCGGTGCATTAATAGCAAGGGTTGAAGATAATGTCTCTACTGGAGGTTTCCAGCCTCGGGAAGCCATCATGGAACCAGTATTTGAACCAAGAGAGCTGCTAAGCAACGAAGCACAGTCTCGTCTGTTCCTCCCTGGCTTCCAGGGGTTCTTTATATCACCTTGTTACTCACACCGACGGAACTCTGCGTGGCTCCAACGGTGTTGAGGCCACCGGCAACCGGGGACACGACTTAGCGTTTTCAGCGTCAGCAACCTCGATATTGTCGGAACAGGAACGTCCTTGTTCGTCTACCGATCGTTCCGATCCCACCATCACATACACACACACACACACACACACAGTCAGAGTCAGATACAAGCGACGTTAACGACTCACTATTGCCATGCGCGACAACCATTCCAGGTCTGACCTCAACTTCTCAGTTGCCGAGGGCGGTTACAACTTCGACCCTTATTCCTGGGATGGCACTGTTGACAACACCGGCGACGGCTTGAGCTATTCCGATCCGGACAGTCCCTGGTCGTCCTTCGCTCCAGACACTCCTCTTGGCATTGGCATCGTGACCTCAGGAATGCCGTTGACTCCACAAGGATCAGTCCTTGGAATCGAAGTGGACCACCCTGAGGAAAACGAACAGTACAGCTTCCCCGTGCACGACAGCGCGGAGGACCTGACGGTCGACCCCAGTCACTTAGATATGGACCAATATCAAGCCACGTACGACACTGGAGCCCAGCATTCAGGCTCATATATCAATACTCAGGCCTGCTCTTATTTCCCTTTGCCTGGAGTTGGGCCTTCGGGCCCCCTTCCTATCTCTCACCAATACTCAACATATTCATTTGAACAACCCATTGAAGCCTATCAGGGCCCTGACATCCCTTTGACTGGAGACGTACAAGACCTCAACCAATACGGTCCGGCAGAAGTAGCAGGAGCCCACCCTCCACCCCGCTACGCTTCATCAGCATAGACGATGAATCCCGAGCAACCTGCGGTTGGAGACTTGGACCCGAATCTAGAAACAGACTCGGGGTTCCTTTTGAACAACACTGAAACCCTACAACTACCTCCGGAGCCAACATATGTCATTTCTGGGCAAGTTGGCTACACACACGGTCAAGAAAGTAATTCTTATCAACACTCGTTTCAACACCATTCTTCGGCCTTGCAACAGCAACAGTCACCACTGTCCCTACCACTTCAACTCTCCCAGGACGTACACATCGCAAACCACGAAGCTATGCGGCAATCTAGCGACCAGCAACAATCAGCGGAACAGTCAACTTTCGCCACCACTGCCACTGGCGAGTTCATATGCACCGACCCTGAATGCAAAACTAAGCCTGTCTTTAAGCGAAAATGCGATCTAACGTGCGTCCTTCTTCCCGTTCCGACACCTCTTCCTCGCCTTCTTTTCCATCCCTTCCTTTGCTTTGTCCCTAGTTGCTGACATGCCTTACAGCAAGCACCAAAACAACCACCGCCGACCCCGCAAATGTCCCATTGAAGGCTGCACCTACGGCGGCGCAGAACAAAAAGATCTCAACCGTCATTTGTGGTCGTATCACCCGGTGTATTCCCGAGAAAAGAATATTCCAAAGGAAGAAACGATGTGCGATTTCCCAGGTTGCGACTACAAGGGGAGAAAGGACAATGTGCGGAGGCACAAGGATACCGTCGGTCACCATCGGGAACAGCCTTGATCACTGCGAGCCTGTTGGGTTCCGAGTGATGAGGATTCTCTTTACGAGTCATGATTTTCCATTTCTCTTTATTTCCGCTTTTTCCCATTATTTTTCTGATAACAAAACCCGTGTTTCGTTGACTGTGTTCCGAAAGGGGCACAGATTTGGCATTGTTAGAGGAGTACCTTTTTTTCACCATTTGTTCCCTATCACTGAGTACGTACATTGCTATCTGTTCCAAAGTCAGAAACAGCACACAATCACTCGTCTCATTATCACAGCCAGAAGCAGTACAATGTTCATTGTTGCGTGCCGTCTATCATGTTCACCAATAGCTAGCTACCTTGACCCAGTGCGGTCCCGGGCTTCCGGCACAACTCGACAACCCACATCCTAGCATTCCACGGGCCTCTTGCAGCAGCGTTACACCACCCTACCCAGTTCCCGGCACTTTCTCCTTCACTCAACCAATGGCACAGGACAGTTCCCCAAGTAAGCACGAAAACAGTAGTCATAGAGTGCAGATTTGGTCCTCATAGAGTACAACTACAAAAAATGCCCAACTAACGTGCACCATTACTGGCACCACCAAAACCTCAAAGTATGCGCGCGCACGCGAACCGAATTGAGAAGAATTCTGACTCGAGCGATAAGAAAAACTTAGAATGTCCGACTCGAGCGACAAGGAAAACTCCGATCCCAAAGCTAACGAAGAGTAAAGATCGTTGGCGAAAGAGGATATCGATATTTTGATAGCGATAGATGGGTATTTTTTATCTAATTCTAAATTACCCTACTTTTCGCTGCCTAGGCACGCCAAGACAAGGGGTCAAAACCACTTTTTCAATACTAATATTTGCGCGAACACTTTGCACCTGCTTCATTCAATCGCGCTCTTGAAAAAAAGGGTAAAAGACCTTAGAGGAAGCTTTGGAGGTAAACGTCAAAAAGAAAGCGAAATTCTGACAGTTGTTTTGGTTGAAATGTCATTGTCCTGACTTAGAAACTTTGGCCTGCGGGTTGCACTCTATGAGGACCAAATCTGCACTCCATGACTACCGTTTTCGAAGTAAGCACGATGATGTGCAGACAGTCTGGGGACAAGTCTTGAGACCGTGCTGTGGACTCGTGGTCGGACTTTTGGGCCTCTTGCAGCATGGTGGGCTTGGCGTTGGTGTGCTAACGACGGAGGCCGGAAGTCGGGTCTTGGATGACGACGAACCTGTGTCTTCGGGGAAAAAGAATTTTGAAATGGATGGTTGGGTGCTTTGGTCGTTGACTTGGGCGAAATTCCGGATGGCCCTGTAGAAGGTAGGTAGGTTTCGCTCCCCGGTTGGGCCGGCTGTTCGGTCAAGATGTCCGCATGTCTCCGGCAGAGTGGAGACTGTAAGAACGTGCAAGTGGGGCCCGTCCGGGGTTCGTGTAACCTCTTCCGGAGTTCCGGGGGTGCCGTGGTGGGGCTTACGGTGTGGGTGGGGCCGGTGTGTACGTTCTCGGTTTCTTTTGAGCGTTACGCTGATAAGTGAGCAGACGCCACAAGTTCCGGAAGACCATCTTCAGGGCACGAACAGGCCCGAATCTGTCTTGGTGCACCTCTTCTCGCCCTATTGCCCATTCGTCAATCGGGCATGTTTCCAATCTTTTCATCGTCACGAGCAACCAAGCGTGAAAGAACTGGACAGCCGAAATCTCGAGCACAAAGCCAATCATGTCAACCGTGAGGTTCGAGTTGATCAGTCCAGGACCGGACGGATTGAGCTCCCTGCCGTTTCTGTCCACGTCAAAAAGCATCGGCAGCGTCATGACGAACATTGCTGTAACAAAAATTATGCTGACCACGAGAAATCCTAGCACCCCTTTGACGAAGTTGTCCAGTATCTTGATTTCCCTCTGTTGGTGGCCATATTATTTGCATGGTTAGCTAAGGTAATCTTTACCGAGCGATAGGATGCATGGGCACAACCGCCCGTAACAATCGGTGAAGGTCAAGTCAGAGCGGCTTACTTACACCTTGCACTTTTGCTCTTGTTGCATGTCTCTGGATCTCGAGCATGGACGAGAGCAGACTGGCCATGATCAGGTTGACCGACGCCAGCATGACAAGGCTAACGCCAAGCGATGCCGTTGTCGGACAGCTGCTAAGTATCCAAAGAATGGCAAAGCCAAACACAAGCAGGATGTCCCACAGCAGCGATAGCGCGCGCGCCCTCGGTGGGAAGGCTTTGGGAAAGAACTGTCTGACCATCCAAAGCGTGGGAATTGCCGTGAATAGCAGCGTTCCCCAGGTGAAGGTTTGAGTACCACCCCAAAGGTCCTTCATGTCGCTACGCTTCCATTCCACTTGGTATATGTTGCTTGCGGTTATTACAAAGGCGTCGTAGTCCCTTATTTGCTTGATGGTGAAAGTAAGGTGGAGGGTGGAACGGACGATGGCCCAGAGAGCGGCGTGGAGGATTAGCAAGTTGGTTGTGAGAATCTGACAGGGCTGGAATCTCTTGGCCGTTTTGCTGACACGGGTTTCCTCGAGAGTGTTGGGATTGCTCTTGTGCTTGAGTTGTTCCTTTTGAAAATGGCGTGCAATGCTAATTTGGCGATAGATGTAAAGGACGGTCAGTGTCGATCCAACAATGGCCAGCGAGTCACCAACGACGATGATCCATGGGCAGAAACCACTGGGATCTTCTAGGGCAAATGGTGACGCGGAAGCCATTGCTGCAGTTTGTGTCCAGGAAAGCAGAGGTATTTGGGCGTTGACATCGATGAGAAGCGGTCTCTGAGACCTGGGTTTGAGGTATGGATAACGGCTGCACGCCAAATACATTACGGCGAAAGTGATGGAGGCACGAAAAGGTTTCTGCTAACAAAGCCTTCCCATTTAGGACACCAACTGGGTTTAATCGGAACCAGTTCTGTTCGCTCACCGGCCCGAAAGGTTATATCACACAACGTGGTAGTACCTTCTAACTGCTGACCGGGGTAAACCATGGTTCTCCAATGGGATCTTCCGAGACCCCCAAATTCCAATGATGCAGAATTTCAAGTCGGAGCTCATGGACGGCGCATCAGTCTTACACCGACGAAGCAGCCAATAACCCCACGGTAGTTCATTATTGAAATTGCGGCACAGGTATCGTACACTCCATGTTCAAATTGGAAATAGGGCGCAGTCTCCAAGCGGCCCCTCGAAGTCCGTGTAGATCTATGGCAAAGCAAGTGGGGGATAATATCGGGCTTGTCCGCTCCCGACACCGGTAGAGGTGATAAGCCCAGATTACGCGCAATCATTCCCGCTCCAGGCCAACTTGAGAGCCGTTGGTAGCATGAAGATGCACGCTGGGAGCGTCTGGTGTGTGGCTGAGACTGCAGGTACCAATCCTCGACTCTCGTCGTCGCAGGTTGGAATGAGCTTTCAAGTTTTGAAGAGCGAGCGTCGGCTATGTTTTGTATCCGGGCATCCCATGTTGTGTTGAATCCGCTTGAGCTCCTAAACCCAGAGATTTTTACACCACCTTCACGGCGAACGCTTCGGAGACGATATTCACCCCAAGAAAGCCTTTCCTTCCCAATGAAGAGCTTCATTCCCTTTCCAGACTTTTCCATCCGTCTTTGCGGATCGCGAGGGACGTTAAAAATACTGTGTGTGCTGTCGTGGTTAATGCTATCTGTCAACATAGTTGTCAGTCTTATCCTGACAATCATGTCGAAACACCGGAGCCAAGACCGGAAGAGCGCGAGTGTGGTCATGATGGACGCTTCGTGCAAGAAGATCAACCGGGTGGATACGTCTGTCCACTTGCTTATGAACATATTTTCAGCTGCTCTTCTTGGAGCCACGGTCAGTCAGCATCATGCAGTCCGCGTTCCAGCCCAAACTGCAAAGCTTCATACGCTAACAAAATTCGCCGCTAAAGAACTTTGCCATGCAAGCATGGGCAGCCCCGACTCGTGTGGACATTGATAAAATACACAAAAGCGGCGGCACCGCTGACGTCGGTATCCTGTCCTTGAGAAATATGCTACATATCCGCCCCAAACGACTTATCATGTGGACAACTATGTTGGTTACTGTGTTGCCTCTCCACTTAGTCTACAACTCGGCCATATCGTCGACCACCTCTAGGCCAGCATACAATGTAGTGGTTGTCTCCCCAGAGTATTTAACGCATCCATTCGAGGTCTCGCAAGACTCAGTCTTTCCCGAGTTTGTTGGCCAGCAAAAAGACCACAACATAACCCACGGTATGCTGTTTGACCTTCGGGATACACAGCAATGGAGAGAGGTTAATGTCAAGTCCGTTTACAAGGATCTCAAAGGGAAGGTATCCTCTTACGGTGGCGTCGTGTTGGTCGCCGACCAAAAGTCTACGCGGGCCACCAGAAGTAAGACGTCGGAGCCCGTGTCTGGAATTCTGTATCACCGCCTTGAGCCAGCAAGTCTTTCCTCAGATACACAGGCATATTGGATGAAGGAAATCACTGTCATAGCGACAACCAAGACGACTACATGGGAGTCTTCACAACGCTCTTATTCGGGAACTGATGAGAATGAATTCATAGAGTGTATGTACCAAGAGAGGTGGGATCAGGTCGATACGCAAGGCTTCTTCTGGGGCCAATTATGCTTTTTTAATCCGTTGGATGCCCACTGTTACATCGACGATTATCGGGGAATAACAAATCGATCTAGCCCATCAACACCGGTCTTTAGAATTCAAGACAACATTTTCGTGAGACGGATCGATCCCAGATGCCGATTACTTGCAGAACCAGTCTTCTGGTGGTTGACAACCTTCTGTAACCTCGTCATTGCGGCCTGTCTCAGCTCAATGGCCTGGTTCTACAGATCAGCACCACTGGTCACCATCGGAGACCCGATCGACTCGTTCATAACCGAGCCTACGTCTCCAGACTCAAAGACAATTCCGATATCAAGCTGCACTTACCACCACACATCGTTCACAAACATCTTCCGGCCAGCACTTCCGCCGCGGGCATACAACCCCAAAGCAACGCCCTTGTGGAAATCAGTTTCCTTGACACGCTGGTCTCTAACCATGGCCTGGTTCCTCTATATAGTCTCCCAGTGTATCCTCCTCTTCAGTAAAGCTCTGAGCGCCGAAAACACATCAGCTCAACGCCTCAAGTCCTTTTTCACCTTCAACCTCAACTCTCTGGACTCCGACCACCTCCTCTACCACAGCGACGGCAGCGACATGGACATATTACCCCGCCGCTGGTGTTTCGTCCTGCTCGCCAATACGCCACAAATCTTTCTCTCACTGACTTACCTTTTCTTCAACAACATCTTGACCAAGATGGTCGCCGAACGGGAGTGGCACTCCTTCCATATCGGAACCGGGACGGGGACCGGAAGCGCAAAGAAGACATGGATTACATGGGGAAAAGAAAAACCAACAGCATCAAGCCCCAATACAAAGACGCTACGTACCTCCCAACCCCGCGGCTCCCAACGCTCCACCTTCTTCCTCAGCCTCCCCTACCGCTACGCCCTCCCCTTCGTCGTCGTTTCTGGTGTTATGCACTGGCTCATCAGCCAGTGCCTGTACTTCACCGAAGTGGATTTCATCGATTTGGACGGAACCACGTTGGACAAGTCAAATCCAACAACTACCACGCTCGGGTACTCGACCTGGGCCATGTTTTGGGTGATCGTGCTGGGGACGCTTTCGTGGGTGGCGATTTTGGGGTCGGCGGTTTTTGGGAAGTATCCGGCTGGTATGCCGATTATGGGGAGTTGTTCGGCGGTTATTGCTGCTGCTTGTCATGCTCCGCTGAGAGGGAGAGGAAGACGAGGCAGAGCGGGTGGTGATGGGGATGGGATGGAAGATGGAGGTGAGGAGGAAGGAGATACCTCGACGGATATCGCGGCGGGCCCGCTGTCGTGGGGAGTGATCAAGCAGGTTGTTGTCAGAGACGGAGTGGAGGTTGAGGAGAAGTGGCTGGGGTTTACGAGGGGAGAGGCAGAGGAGCCTGTTTTTGGGGAGGTTTATGGATAGCAGCGCGTCACCACTCTTGGGGGGACTTGCATTGTTGCGCATTTACTTGTAGGGCCCTAATCCGGAAAATGAGGGACACTCCGTGTAAGTGCCGAAAGAGGAAATTTGAAGCCATCGCCAGCCTTGGCGTTGTGGATACCTTTCAAGCACAAACATTCCCGTCCGTAACTGCTCTCAACCAATACCGTACCAAGATCTCGAATGTCGAAAACGATATTGGATCTTCCATACTTCCAAAAATGGAATTCTAAACCAGTCCAAGAATTACACTAACGCTATAGTGAGATTACATCTACCGGGAAGGTCTTAACCCAACATGGAATGTGTTTCTTCCACCCGCTTCACCAACCTGGGACCTCGATTGCCGAAAAAAAAAAAAAAGAAATAGGACACATCGGACAAAGGACCAAAAGATGCAGAGCATTTCCGCCGGCATCATCCTTCAACATTCTACCCACTGATAACTTGATCATTCCCTGAATAATTCAATCACAACTCCTCTTCCTCCTCCTCTTCCTCCTCCTCTTCCTCCTCCTCTTCCTCCTCCTTTTCCTTCTCCTCTTCTTCTTCATCATCTTCTGCGAACTGCACTCCTCTCTTCTGCAGCTCTTCCTGTAGCAAGGCCATTATACGCTCAGATGTGTTCTCCATAACCGTGTTGACAATCTGGAAGAAGGGAAAAGGAGGTGTCAGCTCATTGATCGACATCTTGGCGCATGCAAAAAACAGACAACCCCGAAAATACGTACCTTGTCAACGAGCTCACGTTTCGCCTCAACAAATTTGCACTTGTGCGGGATGGAAAAGCGCCGCAGCGCTTGGGACATGTCTGGCGATAGCTCGCACGTCTCAGGCTGACCGCAGACTTGGATGTCTTGATGTTCCTGTTGCAGAGGCTCAGAAAGTCCTACGCCCGAGTCTTTTCTGGTGATTGTTGTACCGGCCGGGTCATCAGAGGTGCTGTGGTCGGGATGTTGAAAGCATCCGGGTGGGAAGGCATCTGTTTGAGAGGACATGTGTCCTTCCTCACGGAAAACAGGGGGGCAGATGGACCAGAGAGGCATAAGGGTCTGATATGCTTGGGAAGATGACTGGAAGGAATCGCGAGTGCTGATGGAATGTCCCAGGTGGTGGTTGTGGCTAGAATTTGTTTTTATGAGCCCGGGGTTGTCCAGGGAGCATTGTGTTTCTGGGGAGGAAATCGCTGGGTGATCCTTGAACTCGCACGATTCCTGGTGGCATGCGGTGCTGGGTTGACCTACTCGGCCAGGCATGGTGGAAGCAGAATAAGGATCTGGTTAAGAAGCTGCGCAGTGTGCTATGGCGTCAGTTTTGGAAGTGCTGGAATAGAAAATTACATTCTCGTACCTGCGGGGGAAAAGAATCACAATGAAGTTGATGATACGGGTTCTCCAGAGTTAGGACGGCAACAGAAATACTAATGTATAGCAACGAATACAGCTGGGTTCCAATGGGTTGAGGGGGATATGACGAACTTTTGGAGGGCAAAGGATGAGCACCCAAGTGGAAACACAGAAAGAAGAACCAACAGACCGAGGATGCATGGAGTTACGTCTTTATAAAATTATTTTATGGGTCACAGGATAACCAATGTCGTTGGGCTGGGAGGCCAAAATGACTCCCCAGCACGCTCTATCATCAAATAACTATTGTGACCGTGTCGGTGCGTTGAAGCCGTTGCGGGGATCAGCCATGTATCCATACTTGTGTCGGGTACGTAGAGGTACCTAGTTAGCTTTACAACCCAAGCTGGCATATTGCCCATGAGACTGAGGGGGGGAAGGGAGGTCTTAAAAAAGCGATTGGAATGGTAGAAGACATGTTTTACGTCTTTGACACACCCTGGTAGATCAAAGGCTTGATGCTTCAAGGAAGCGCCAAAGTCCCTCTTCGTAGGGCTGAGTCCGGCTGACTGTGGGCTGATCACAAAGAAATCGGAAAAGTCGGAAGGTGTCAATACGTTGGTTGATGGTAGCTGCATGCCCGGCGTAGGTGCCGCCAACGATGGTGAGGCAGGCTTCAGTGACATTGGTCCCCTGTGCCGCGTCCCCACCGCGATGCACCTCTGTAATAAGCTCGGGGCTTCGACCTTGCATCCCGGCTTACACCTCCACAGTGGTGGACGGCCCTGCTACCGAGAACGAACGCCCCGAGTTACGAGGTATTGCGGAAGTGATCTCGCTTGCGGAAGACCTTAGGGAGTGATCCGTCGGCTTTTTTTGGACTTTCTCACCGGGAAAAAAGGTACTTCGGGTGAAAAAGTTGCACGGACCCTTTCTCACCGGATGCAAAGGAATGGGTTCTGGTGAGAATGGTGATCCCGTTGTTTTGGTATTCGAGGTGTTGAAATTGTAGGATATAGTGGTATAGCGCTATGCTACAGCGGGTTCAGTGGGTGGTGAGGATGGGTGAAAAGAAATGTCGAGTGTTGAACAACCTTTTCGTTGAAAAGCCGGGCATGCCCACTGGGCGACCTTCGATTTTGTATGGCCCCACACAGTCGTAGGGACGAAGGAAGGATGCCGGAGCTGTCGGACGCTCCCACATCATGGTGGTACGTACCTATGCAATTTTCGGTGACCAGGTCCAGCCGTCTCATTGGCCGCAAATTCCCGACTTACCCGTTGGGGATTGGAGGTCAGTTCCTGTCTGTGTTTCCCCAAATGCTATACTACACAGTCGCAATAACTGGCTCGTCTGTTTGAGGCAAGGAATGACGTGCAGCAAGTTGAGGCAGATGCTGGATTTTGGTTCAATGAGATTGGTGGTGATGGCTTTGAGCCAAATGATGCCCGCACAAATGGTGGCTTTGAGCCAGCTCAAAGCCAGCATCGGGTGGTACAAACATGGAATGTCGGCCGAATTTGGTAGGGTGGCGGTCTATTGCATGGCACCCATGACACTGCCCCTTTGAGCCTATCGGACCCGTCAACGAGCGGCTTCACCATTCCACCGCACCCTGCCACCGCGGCTCAAATGATGGCACATGGCATTGAAAAGGAGCTCACCCCGTTGCTCATACGTGAACGGTGACCTTTTCCTCACATCTTCCAAATGGCCGAACTCTTATCCTCCGCAATACGTGGCACTTCCTTGCGAAGTTTCGATTGCGTTCTTTGATTCATCACGGAAAACCTATCAACCGTTCGGGAGGACTCACCATCTCCCGTCTACAAATACATCTCCTACGCGCACCATTCAGCCCCATCCAGGGTGTTCACTTTTCGGCCCATACCGTCAACATGGTTTATCAGATGCTCTGGATCAGCTTTTCAACGAAGGTGCGCGTGTTCATGACGGATTGACGCACTGAGGTGGGCTCACCGTCCCGCAATATCAGATGTGTAGCAAGGGCAGTTACCCCGTCACCATTCGTTGTCCTCATTTATCACCCAATCGGACGTCATTTGCCAGAAGAGCAACTCAGTCACTCGACTATGTCCGAGTTTAGCGAGTTGGACTTCTGTGTGGCTGGCCCGGTACTCTAACCACCAGCACACCCCCGGGCAAACCAGCCTCACAATCTCACATGATACCCAAAGGCTCTTGGCGATATGGATCACAGTTGGGGTTGAACGTGAGAAGAGGATTGACTTTATTGAAGCACGACTGTCAAGGACAAAATGGTACGTCTCAAACAAAAGAAATGCCCCCCGGCCCTTAACCAACTGAGTCCGGAAGCCGCTAACAAATCAATCAGATTCCGACATGGTGGTGTTCTGCAATGCAATTGCGGCGTCTTGCAAGTTCCTAGCAATTTTGGTTTGCAATTCCTGAATAACATTTCGCGCCGCGATCCCCATCTGGCCATTGACGCTCTGCGTGTCCACATTCCCAACCAAGCGCAATTGATCCTGGAAGAGTGCAGCCGTCCGAGACGCCACCTCGTTGAGGGCGGGAGTCAATTCCTGTTACATCAACGGGAGTTAGCTCTGTCCTATTGACGAAAGCCGTCTGGTAGGTATTACTCACATTGAGGTTGTTGTTGATGCGTTGCTTCTTGAGCTTCGCCCATCGCTTCGTCACCACATTCGGCGTCACCGTCACGTTGAACGTGTGAAAGAGCTCCTCGGCGATTGCTGGAGATGTCTTCTTCTTAGGGTCAGAGCCGGTCTTCCGGCCCCAGAGAAGGGTATCTTGCTCAGAGCTCCACTCATGCGAGGTCATTTTGGGCTTTCTCCGGTGCGGATATACAGCGGCGGGGGGCCGCCCCACAGACGGTGTGGGCTGGCAGTTGGATTGAGGCTGGTCCGGCGGGGACGGAGCAATGAGCTGGTCGCATGGCTGTGGTGTGCCCACTGGGAAGGGCGAGAAGAGGACGGAGGGAGTCGAAGGCCCGGGGCGGCCGGCCTGAGATAGAATCCCAGATGTTGACCCTCCTGCGTGGTTTGTGTCCAAGGTATCCAGCTCGAATTGACGGTTATCGACGAAGTCCGGGAAGAAACCGCCACCGACAGCACTGGAACCTTCGCCAGGTCCCGACGAGTACTGTCCGTAAGATAGGCCATCGCCCTGTTGAGCGGAGAAGGACCAGTTGGCTTGAAAAACGGTCGCGAGCGACTGTACATGGCCAACAGCCCCAGTGAGGTAGCCTTGAAATTGCTCGGCAACGACATCGATTCCATCTCCAGGTCGCATGTAATCGCCGCCGTCCTGCGAATGTCTCTGGGTGGAATGGGTTTGCGACATTGTGAGAGCCTGTATCCCAATTAGACTTGTCACGAGTTTTGAATTGAAGTAGAGGTAGACAAAACAGATAGGGACAAGGTTCAGTGACAACTTCGAACTAAGGTGGACACTGATGATTCGAAAACGGTCTGATCTGAAGTTTTAAGGGCAAGGTCTCCGATGGGTTTGTTATTCACACCAAAGAAAAAAGGTGGTCTCAGGGGCTCTGCATTGGCTTGATCCTCGCTCAATGCTGGCTGTGAGCCTACAAGGGCAGTCGTGTCCAGTCAGGAATAGCTTCAAGAGACAAGGCGTCAAGTTTCCCACTTCAAGCCGTTATGAGATTGGACCAAAACTCCTCGCCATACCATGGAACCATCATCTGCTGTGAAGCTCCTCCGATTTTGTTTTCAGTAGAGGTAATCCAGCTGGATTATAATGCAGACCAGGGAAATTTTGCATAGGTCCCATAGCTCGGATAATAGATGGTAAATGGCTGCTGGGCCGTGAGCGCGAGTCCCTAATACGGGCGTTGAGGTTGGTCGCGTCGTTGACAACTCAGTAACGCGACCAACCTAACCATTTTAGTCCTAGCCTGTCAAGATCGGTCGAGATGGATAGTTTAAGGCACTCAAATACATCCGATATCTTACCCAACCCCCCTTCTGGCCCTGAGCCAGTGGACTTTGCTTGCACGGGACTTGCTGGTCATGTCCTGGATTTGGCATTTTATACGCCTCACAGGCTCACAGCCACAGGGCTTCTCGAAAGGCGTTCGCGCACCATGCACACCGCAGTGAAGCCAGGTTCCTACGGGTGAGGTACAACGCCAGGATAAAAGAGAAAAGGAGAGTGTTCAGGCCGACAATTGCTTGCCAATCGGATGCAGTGACATCCGTCAAATCCAGGAACAGGCCCTTAGGCTACTCCGAAGTGAGATCTGTATAGTTCCAAAGTGACAGCGAGGGGGCTGTGCCTCCGGTGAAAGGCTCAACTTCATCCGACCACTACACTGGGTGAGAGGATCAGAGCTCCATTCCCATACCCAAATTGCGAAAGTGAGTCCAAAATGCTGTTGACTGTCATTAGGTAGGTTAGAAAGTTGGGTCGCCTCCAAAGGACATATCCCACATCACGCTGTGCCTCTGCTTGATCGTTCAGGTCTCTGGATACCCTCTTATACCCCCAAAGAACACTAGCGGCAGAACAGATCAGACAGTTTTTGGGTTAGTGGGGACAAGTTCGGTGAAAATCCTGGCACAAAGCCTACAGGTGGTGGGCGTCCAAGCCTCGAGGACATGGTAGTCTAAGCCACCAAGGTTCCCTCCGAGAAAGGCGGTGAAGTCAAGAAGGAGCCTCGGCACACCTACCTCCTTCACCTACTCATCTACTCACCTCTTCACCTACTCACCTACTCACCTACTCACCTACTCACCTACTCACCTCTTCACCTACTCACCTCCTCACCGCACTTTCTCACCACTTACCACTTCTGGTGAACCCTTCCTCACCGGGACTACACCTCTTCCGAATCACTTCTTTTCACTTTATGACGGGATACCATAATCCAAATGGCTGCCAGCCCGCTCTTGCGTAGAGCTATACTGGCAGATTTTCACAAGAAGAGGGTAGTCCGGATGTCGGAGGCACCGGAAGAGCGTGTTATTGTCGAGTGCAAGCCGGCTCGGCAGGGGCCAATCGATTGATGAATAGAATGCAGAGCGCAAACAGCGAATAGGCAGTTCATATGAACGGTTGGGGCTGCGGGTACCGGGATCAATGGGTGGGAGCACGGCGTTGGATGGCGGTTGTTGTTGTTGTTGACATGAGGTTAGCCGGGCGCGTCTGGCGCGGCAAGGCGGCAACGGCGATGGTGGGGTAGTGGGGTAGTTATTAGAGAAGCGACGAGGGTGCGGCAGGCATTATCCTTGTGAGAACCTACCCTTTTGGGAGTACTTTAACCAATGGTGTCGCGTGCCTACTAACAATTTCTTGCGCCCCTTCCACTACCATTTTTCAATGGCTACAAGCTATGCCACCCCAGTGGGCGATCAATCGGTGTCCCTACAAATGAATTCTGTAGAATTTGTCTGTTAAACAAAAACCATAAACTTTTTTTTATCTTTCGCACTCTCGTTCTTACTTAGGTACTCAACTCATTATGGTGGCAAACCCGTTCAACATCAAGGGACAATTAAAAACAAACGTACACGATGCACACAAAGTTCTATGACCAACTGACCAAGCCCATGTGCACCCAGCACTAGCATCACATCCCCAAACATTAAATCTCATCAAGCTCCATACCTTATCTGATTCCACCTCCTCCCCAATGTCACTCTCTTCATCACCTTCCATATCCATCTCCAGGTCCGATTCCTGGTTTTGCATCTCCTTCCGAATCAGCGCGACAATCTTTGGAGCCGCATTTTCCATCACCTTGTTCACAACCTGCAAGTACGCACGTATTAGTTTCTCTCTTCGTGTGATGATGTGGCTCTGGTGGGGACGTACCACTTCAACAAGTTGCTCCTTGGTTTCCGCATAGCAGCAGTTATGCGGAATGGCGAAGCGTTGGAGAGTGTTGGACATTTCTGGCGAAATTTCACATCTGGCGGGGTTACTGCACGATCGATAGGGAGATGGCGATGGGGAGGGCGATGGTGAGGGTGACTGCTGATTTCCTATTGGGTTGATGTCCCCTCGATATCCCGATTGTTGATCTGCGGAGAGGTCGACACCTGAGTCCCGAGATGTGTGGATGTTGGCCTTTCTGTTTGCCGGAGACGCACTGGAGTTGTTCAAGTTGGCGTTGTTAGGAGCAGCGGCTAAGCTTCGTGACCCAATACTGGGCATGAGCTTTTGGCCCCCATATTGGCAATGTAGTTCTGGAAAAGCTCGTCAGGGTAATATCTGGCCTGGGGGCAAGCATGAGATGCGCAGCGGGTCCAGACGGTGGCGGGACTGGCGGCTCTGCGGATTCTCTATGTTGAGATCCAGAGTAAACCGGGAGTAGGGAGAGATAAAGGCCATACGTCGCCCAGGCATGGTTGACACCCCAATGCGCGAGCCGTCAAATAAACCCAAACAGAGCCGCCTTGCTCGAAAGCCAAAGCAAACAAGCCATTGAAGTCATGTCTCGCCAGTCTTTGGGATTACTCCATTTGGGTAGAACTTCGCACCTCCGCCCTCATACAGAGACATGAAACGACCGGTCTGATCCCCTCGCCTTTGGGTACCCGAAAAGATCGTATCGGAAGAGGAGAAGAGGCAAGCCAGGCGTCCGGCGTCATGAACAACCCTTCCTGAAGCAGTGTCGAAGACTGGAGGTTAGTAAAAGGTTTTGTTGCAAATATTGCAAAGATTCCGTTGTTTGAGGAGATCAAGAAATAGATGACTAGGTATGTACATACTTCTGTGTCAACTGCATTATCATACAGCTTCCGAAGCCTCTTTCCGACCACATTGGGGTTTCTGTCGACACCGAACTTATCCAGCAGCTCTGCAGAAATCTCTTGGTGTGGCGTCTTTCGTTTCTTGAGCATCAGGAGATAGTTGTCTTCCTCTTGAGTCCAATCATCTGAATTGGCCTTGGGCGGTTTGCGGTATCGGTTGGTAACAGGCAGCGGTGCCGAAGGTCCTGCCTGGGAGGATGAGCTGGAGGGTGCCGTTGGTGAGTCGTCAGGAACGTTTGAGAAGGAAGCCAGGGCAGGGCTGGCTTCGGTTGTCCAAGTATGCCAGTCCTCGGGTTGGCTTTGCCCAAAAGCCATGGAGTGGGGAAAATCCTTGGGGTTGAATAGAGTGCTTGCCGGATTTGCCTTCGGAAGAGGTGGGTAGGGGTCCAGCTCTGGATAATTCGGGGAACTCCACGAAGTTAAGGGCCCTTGGGGCTCGTACTTGTCGACATGAAGGTGATGGGAGGACGCTAGCTTCGAAGGACGGCATGCGGCGATGGGCATATGTAAGTCGACATGCCCCTGCGCCGTGTTCATGAAGCACAAATTGGTGCCATCATCTAAGGTGGGTCGTGGTATATGTACATGTAGGTTATACCAATCCAAGTCGTAGGGATGTTGAGGTTCACCAGTAGAACTCGGCGCATAGTTGATCTGATGTAGATTTGGGTCGTTGTCCAAGCGAAGATCATACTCCTGGGGCGTTGATTCCATTTGCGACAGGCGGCGTGGATGATTAATTCGTCTCCTTGATGTCCCAAAACCCCTTTTGGCTACCACCCGTTCTCGTGCTAGGCGAATGGACGGTTAAGGGGCAGATTCTCATTGACCAAATATTGGAAGCGCTGTCAATCGGCCGAAACAAACCGCAGCGGAATTATAGGGAGGGCATCTAGGCTAGAAAGGGGGCGTCTAGCCTTGACAATAAAACTAGGACTGTCTGGCTATCTAGGCTAGACACCAAGTCTAGGCTAGATGAAAAATGGAGGCATCTGATTGGCCGAGACGGTCTTATAAGGAGCAAAAGCCTAGCAACCACTACAGCAGTCGCTAGATAACTGCTGTGGTGGTTGACTTAGGCGGGTGGTTGACTTAGGCGGGTGGTTGACTTAGGCGGGTGGTTGACTTAGGCGGGTGGTTGACTTAGGCGGGTGGTTGAGGTTGGTGTCACTTGGGCGGGCGGGCGGGCGAGGCGGACTTCGACTTCGAAGTCCGAAATGATGCTATTCCCGTCGCGCGAAACTCTTCGCGCGAAAAAAGACGACCGCCAGCGGGATCGAACTGGCAGTCACAAGAAAGAAAGCGAACACAAGAACCATTGAGCCACTGGCCCAATTGAATGAGAGAGAGGTCCGTTGTTTCCATTGATGTAGTCGTTTCGAAGCCGGGGAAGGAACTACCGTCGCTCCAAATGAACTCCGAGAAGTTGGGAAGGAAGCATCACCCCCAAATGGACTTGGCCAATCAGAAGCCCCGTTCAACAAGCCTAGATTGAGCGTCTAGCCTAGACGATGCCATCTAGCCTAGATGCCCGCCCGGTTTTCCCGCTACGGAAGGTATGTATTAAATGTGATGAAGATACCTCTAGGCTTCAGTCGTTGTGGAAGGCTCTGAAGGTAGAGAGAAGTGGAGGTTGTGAATGCTTAGGAAGTTGTGTTATGGCCACGATGAAGCCAGGGTCCAATGGCAATTGATGAAGGGATGGGGGATGGTGGGGTGTCGATGTCCCTGTCGCTGTTGGCGTTGATGTTGATGCTGGTGTTGATGGTGATGTTGCCGTTCCTGTGCTGCAGTTGTTGCGGTTGTTGCTGCTGTTGTTGTTGTTGTTGTTGTTGTTGTTGTTGTTGTTGTTGTTGTTGTTGTTGTTGTTGTTGTTGTTGTTGTTGTTGTTGTTGTTGCTGTGAGGGCAGTGGCACATGGAGTGGTGAAGACTAATGAACCATTGAAGTGACTGGGAGTTAGGTAGTTAAGAAGAGATTTAAAGGATGGTCCTTTCACAAGACAGCTTCTGAGCTTTCACCTATCTCCTTCGTTCCTGCCCTAAACTGCCGCAAGGAAGGCAACCCCCCAAGCTCCAGTCCGACTCCCAGGCATATTCTAGCAAGGTGGACATCTAACCACCAGTGGGACTCGTTTCCGGAAGCAATGACGCCAGGCCGTGGAGTGAAGCTTGGCAATCCTCCGGGGGAAGGTAAACAAGTACATGGCAGTGAAGGCGTGTGTCTGAAGCTGCATTTCGAGGGCCAAAGCTTGTCAATGGGTTGGAAGCAAAGTGCACTTGTTATCGGATGTGTTAGCAAACTCGGTGTGTTTTAGGACTGTTGTTCCTGATGACAAAGTGAGGCGGCATGCTTCGGTAACCGTGACGCGTAAGACTCTGGACCTGGAGAGCGCCTTCCTACAGTACATCTTGGTGGGAGCAACACCTTTGGGGGCTGAAGCCTGAAGGCCTCAGAGCCCGTAATTTGAGCCACAGGCTTCTTTGACCAGTACCAGGTGTTGGACCACTGATGGCCTATCATGATTCACCGTCTGCCCCCAAACCTAACGCCTCTTGCTTTTTATCCCGTATCGCGCCTTGCTACGTGGCAAGTCATTCCGAAACTGTGCATGGCGCGAAGCCAGGCATAACTCCGGCGTTCGGCGTGGCGTCTAGCAATATGACATTGCCTTGGGCAGACATGGCGCTGCCAGTCAGCCCACCCATTCCTGGATTTGCATTTGCATTCCCGAAGGAAGCCCTGGAAATATTTGCGTTGACGAGTGTGACCCATGGGTTTTGACCGAGCTTTCAAGTGTAGGAAGAGATTGTAGTGTGAGGTAAACGCTGGCGTATGACAGGTGATCTGAATAGCCGCTGCCTATGGCATGAATGATGCGAGTAATGAAGTTTTGCTGAGTATACTTAAACACCCGCCCGCGGCCCGACTGACTTCATATTAGCATCGAAGTTTCAAGCCATCATCACCTGCCACGATCCAGAAACCAGAACCACCAATTTTGCCCCAGGTCCAAAAGTGAGCTTGCTCACTTGTTCGGCGTGCAGCTTCTGCTGATACCACTCAAGTACAGTCCCTCGTCACGCTTCATTCTCTGGCTTGTTTATTAACTTTTCCACAGCGCCTTCCTTATAAAAAACGCATTCCCATTATCATGCACCTTCCATCTGACCATCTCGAACGATGTGATCTGGGCTGTAGTGTTGAGGATAGCAAGACGGAGAAAGGGTTTACAGACCTTAGTGAGGTTATACCTTCGCAGCGAACATCTGGCCGGGTTCTCGAGCTTCACAAGAACCGTGAAGAATCTATAACTCAGCCGGACACATATACCCCATGTGGATTGACCAGGGAACAAAAACTTCCCTTGAGTGTTGCAGGAGGCACTCTCGCCTCTCCTCCCTCGCGGGTCAATCACGGTTGCGAATACTCCCAATTCGCTTCCTCGTTCGCGTACCCCTTCTCTGGCAACGCTTGCTTGCCTCCCTCAGCCCACTCATTATCACCAAACACCTTCTTCTCCAACCAATGCAGATACCCCAGACGAACTATGAGTCTTTCGCTTTGTCTGCATGGCAATGTCGCTGATCATAGGTTTCCGCCCAACGATGATCATATGGATGGGCACTGCGATGATATGGTCTTCTGGACCTTTGGCGAAGGTTGCGTTCAGGGTTACGTGCCAGCTTCCTCTCAATGCCATCAACGAGGACATATTCCTTTTCGTCCTGCCTCAGAGAGGGGCGCCACACCATTAGGTCCTAGCGACTCCCTGGCAAACTTCAACATGGGGCTTCTGCGGAGGGACCTCTCACAAGCATATCAACACGAAGATCCTCTGCTCGGCATCCCAACCACCGGTCATGGGAATAAGCCCTCCGCTATGCAGGACAAGGATGACTCTGGCCCGGGGAATCCTGATGAGCTGCCTTCGTTTGAGGTTGTAGGTGTATCCAACGAAGCTCCTCGTTCATTGAAGCTGACACTAGAGTACTCTCACCAGATGATGGCCAAGGTGCTCGAAAGCACATCGGACCAACTCCTCGCCTTGCTCCAGCAAGAGCTCGACAAGGACGAATCCGACATTGACAGCGAGTGAAACGCCCTCGCGAACTTTCTTTGCGTTTACGAAAAGACCATGTCGTGTTGCAAACTCGTGTAAAAGGTGAGGGGAGTCTAGAGCCGACCGCTAACTACAGTCATGCTGTAAGTTAACATCTTGTAAGTTGGAGTGATGGTTTGAGGTTGTGATCCGTTGGCCTTTTTGGAAATTTCGACCAGGTGATGCAGGTTTCTGTGGTAGTACGGGAGCGGAGTTTGAGTGACACGATCTCGAGTTCTCAGCCGCAAAGGTATTCATGGAGCGTTGGTTAGATGCATAGGTATAGGCGGGGGCGCTCAGTGGCCGTTTGAAATTGAACTGCACATTGCAAAATCAGTTGGAGTTCTCTCGTTATTTGTTCGCCATCCACAGGCAGTGCCGGCCCTTGTTGTGTATAAATCTCAGCCGTATCAGGCCCTTCGTCTGTATTCGGCGCCGCGGCAACTTCGGAATTTGCTCTGTAGAGTCATATCTGATTCGACTTGGTTCGGGGTCTTGGTAGTGCTAGGGAACGCGGTGTCGTATAGGCGATCCGGTCGTACTGTCGCGTGTATCTCGTAGCGTGAAGCGGAAGCTTTAGTCGTGCAAAGGGAATTGTTACGCGTTCTGGATGTCGTGGACCAGTGGCCCCAGCGCAGTTATAGTAGCGGTTCAAACGTTGCCACGGCGGAACGCGCTCAGGGCGGGACCGTCCCGGGGGTCCGTCTTGCAGAGCACGTCGAAGATGTCGAATCAGTCCTCGTTGGCAGAGGTCTGGCAATCGCACAGGACTACACTGTTTTGTGATGTGGGATCAGGGTCTGTCGAGTAGCAGAAGCCTCGTGTGGGAGGAAGGCCAAAGAGCTTGGTCATTCGCTGGCTGGTATGGCGCACGGATTCTCGGGTTTCGATTCGCGTATCGGACAGCGGTGACGATGATGTCGGGTTGGTGGTTTCTGGTTGATTGTTCAAACTTCACAAGATCTGGCGCTGGGTCTGGTCAGGGACGACTAAGCGCGTTCTTTCGGCAGGCAGCCATCGCCCATCCACATCATCACAAGCGATTACTTGCATATAATTCCCAAGGCCAATATGAACTCGATCAATTGACGAATGACTATTGTACCGTGATTCGCTGTTCAGGCCTTCTCCCCCTCCGGGAACCGCTCCGTGATCTTCACCCACAAGTCGGACTGGAAGAAGAGATTGACATTAAATTCGCGCCACGGGTTCTTGGGCTCCACGAGCTGGAGATCGAAGCGACGGAAGAACTAGTGTAAGGCAGGGGGCGCTGGTCAGTATCGGGACCACCAACGAGTACCTATATCAGAAGGTGGTGTAGTTGCTTACCTCGACGAACACCTTGCTCAACTCCATCAGCGCCACAGGCTTCCCCAAGCACGCCCACCTGCCATAGCCAAACACCATCTCGGTGACTTGCTGCATCTCCAGCCTCTTGGCCGGGTCGACATTCAGCCATCTCTCCGGGCGGAAGATCTCGGCATCGTCGCCAAAGACATCCTTCCTCTGGATCAGACCGCCGACGTTGTGGCCGACGCGAGTGCCCTCGGGAATGAACATGCCGTTGATGGTATCTCCGCCCTTGGGAGGTGACTTCATCAATAAACCCGAGAAAGGAGGTTGCATGCGCAGTCCTTCGTAGATGCATGCCTGTGTTGGTAAGAGGGGTTAGGGTTATTCGCCAGCCATCAAGGTTCTCAACCACTCGGACATACCTGCAAGTACTCCAACTGCTTCCCCTCCTCCGCTCTGACCGGACTTGAAATCTTGCCCTCCCTAACCGCCTTATCAATCTCCTCCTGCAACCGCACATACGCCTTCTTGCTCGTCGCCAAATGGAACATGGTCGACCTGATCGCCACCGTCGTCGTATCGCTACCCGCTCCAATCTGAAAAAGGACCTCAACCTCGCACGCCTGCTGCTCAATCCCATGTCTAACAAAGCTCCCCAACATATCCTTCCGATCCTCCGCCTTCTCGCCAAACCTCCTCGCCACAATCTCCCTCGCCATGCCCATCACCCTCCCCATGCCGTCGGCATCACTATGCTTCGGCCCAAACCACTGCAAAAACCACTTGGACATGAAGATCTTCCTCACCAGCGGGTGCTCCGCCATCAGCGCATTAACCGGCGCCGCCTTCCTGATCGTGCTCATCCACCCGAACAGGTCCGAGTCCGTCTCCAACGAGCCGAACTCCTTCCCGTACGCGATACGCGTGATCACGTCCAGCGTGAAGAACTGCATCACCTTAGCCAGGTCCATCTTCTTCAGCACGCCCCGTTCGTCGTCGGAGATGTAGCGGTCCTTGATGTAGCGAATCAACGTGCCGATTACCTCGTCGATATCACTTTCCAAGCCCGGGTTCTCACGCCCGCTATATCCGAAAGACAGGCGCGCTTTGAACAGATCGTGCGTCTTTGTGTCGGGCTCGTCGAACAGCGAACCACCGCGCGGGTCGAACGTCATGGCGCGGTACCAAATTGATCGGCCCCAGGCGGAGCGGGCGCCGTTCATGTGGCGGATGATGGCCGGGTCATCGGTGATGAGGTCTTGCGGGCCGATGCGAACAAGGGGGGATTGGTATTGCTGGTTGAGCCGGCTGTAGCCGTCGGCGTGGTGGCCGGAGAACCACACTTTCAGCATGAAGAGGGGGGAGAAGGAGCCGAGGAAGGGACCGGGGAAGTGGGAGAGACGGCGGTAGGTGATGATGGTGGAAACCAAGAGGTAGGTCACGAGGGAGACGGCCAAAATGGGTAGGGCGTAGGGCCCTTGGGCGATGGAAAGGAGTTCTTGGAGCATTTTGGCGATGGTAGTGCTTTCAGAGAGAGCCAAACTGCCAGATCAGACTGGGAGGGAACTTGAGCTCGAACTTGAACACAGTGTTGGCGATATAGGCTCGACTTTATACCATTATCCCATGGTGCACGACTCTAAAGGTAAGTTACACAGATTGCTGGGGGTGAAACGATAACGGTTGAAGCATCATTCAATCACAGGTCTCGGTTTTTGTTCCGTGGCCGTTGTGGCGTCTGCGGTGGAAGTGGATGAGTGAGACCCAGCCCTTGATACTGCTAGACTATCGGTGCACGACAGGACGGATTATTTTGCTGTGTCAATAATTGCTTCCAATGACGATAGCAAGCCTATATCTCCCTCGGCATAACCCCCTATTTGCGGCCGCCCAGTCCTACCCAACGCTTCCGAGTGCAACATTAGACACCAGTGGAAGTCGTCCTCCGTTGAAGTCGATAACGACTGTTGAAAGTACGCAGGCAATCCGTTCGGAAGTGCGGTACGTACCTCGCCTTAGATTGCTGATCGCACACGGAGGGACCGACGACCCCAAATTCAAAAGAAAAATGAAGAAAAAAAGAAATGTGTCCTGCCAGGAGTCGAACCTGGAACCTAGCACGCCTTCATGGCCTTAGTGGTGACACACCATCTGTTTCGGCCATTCCTCAGGCTTAGGATGACCACTTTCCAGGACGAAAGAGTGACCACGGAGACTCGTTTATATACCTCTTGCGAGATTGTATCATTGTGCGAAGCTTCTGGTTCTGGGAGGACATCAGCTTTCGCCGATTCCTCCTTGTCATTGCATCACACATGTCCTCTTCATCTCATCCCATCATGGCACCCTCATCGATCGTTCTTCTTTGCGACAAGCACTCTCTGTTACTACTGCCATTGGCATGCAGCTTTGTGGTCATCGTCATCAACGCTGCACCACCCCAATCCTGTCGTGGTCGACCGCTATTCCTCCATCATCTCCATCTCCATCTCCAACATCATCTCCATCTCCATCTCCAACACCATCACCTTTCCAACCTACTAACACCATCGCCATCACCACAATTATCACCTTCCATCATCACTTTCCTCCCTCCTCACTCGCTGCATCTCTACTGCCTCCTCCTTTTGCATCTCCATCAACCCCTCCCCTTCCTTTTCGACCTTCTGCTCCCGCTTCTATCCCCACTCCTCGCTCCCCTCGCCCCCATCCCTCACTCCCCTAAGAACCACCACCTTCCCTCTCCAAAAACCTCACCTTCACACCCGTCAACATACTCATAAAATACCTCTCCATGTCCTCCTCACCCGGCATATGTGTCACCTCGACCCGAAACTCCGCCACTAATCTCGGCACCACCTTCCAGAGAATCAGTTCGGCTAGATGGCGGCCGGGGCAAGTGCGTGCGCCGCCGCCGTAGGTGAGGTTTAGGTGGAGCATTTCTCTTAGTCTTTTCTTTTCGCTTTCTTCAGTCCATGTCGCGGACGTGGATGTGGATCCGGACTCAGACTCGGGTTCGGGCTCGGGCTCGGGGTCGGACTCGGAGTTGGGATTCGATGAGCCGGAGATGGAGCAGGAGCTGGAGGCAGACAACGAGGATAGCCACCGGCTCGGGTTATACACATCAGCGTCGACACCGAAGATTTCCTGATTTCGGTGGAGAGAAACGGGGTTACACCCCACCGTCGTCCCCTCCGGCACCCAGTGTCCATCCAGCACCACCCCTCCACCCTTCCCCCTTGGAACGGTCCTCGAAAGACTCATAGCAATAACCGGATGCAGTCTCTGCGCCTCTTTAATCGCCGCTAACGTATACGGCAGTTGTCTAGCCGTAGTATCAAACGGAACCGTCCCACTCCCACTTTCCTTCAGATGACTCCCAACCTCCTCCGCCACCCTCTCCTGAACAGCCTCGTGCGTCCCGATCATCGCCATACAAGCCGTCAAAGCCGAACAAAGCGTCTCGTGTCCGGCACCAAAGTTCGTCGTCGCCATTCGGCGGAGGTAGGTCTCCGTGAAGAGGTTAGGCTTGGATTTATGCAGCTGTATCAAATCTTCCAGTAAATCATTCGGCCTTGCAGCCTGCTTGGCGGGTTTGTTCTTCTTCGACTTCGACGGTTTCGCCCTCGGATCCAGCACCTCCCCCTTAAGCGCAGCCGCGATCCGCTTCGAACTCTTCTGATAAACCGGCGTAAAAAACGGCTTGAAGCCCTTCGGCGTGCTGAAAGTAACACCCCAAGCGTTGGAAAACCACCTCCCCACCCCCTTTCCCATCTTCCCCCTCACCCCCCCCTCCAAGAAACCAATCTTCGTAACCCCCGGAAAAAGTCCAAACAAACTCTTCCTCTTCCACCCCCTATACCCCTGCGCACTCGTCCCCCCATCATTTTTTTGTCGAATATACCCCGGCGACCAACCCAGCACCACAGCGCCCAAACATTCGACGGCGATGATGTGCATCCACTCCTTTAGATCGACTTCTTGTCCTTTGAGACTGCGCAGTTGGGCGATGGCTTGACCCAAAACGGCGTCGATTTGGGGTTCGAATTTGCGGAGGGAGGAGGTTTGGTAGAGCGGGCCGATGAGGCGGCGTTGGAGGCGGTAGCGAGACATAAAGCGCTCGGAGAGGAGGTCGAGGGTGTCGGGGAGGTGGACTTGGGGAGAGGGGGGGAACTTGAAGGGGTGGAGGGTGAGGGTGGGTTTGGTGAGAGCGGTTGAGACTGTGGTGGATTGGGGTTAGACTTCAAATTCTGGCCGGGGAGAAGGGTAGGAGAAGAGGGGGAGGGGGAAGAGGGGGAGGGGAGTGGCGGGACGTACGGTAAAAATCTGATTTCTCAAACCCACTTCCCGCACCTTTTAACCTCGTTAGCATCTAGTACACTAACAATGGGAAGGAAAAGGGAGCCTACTGTAAATACTCTTAAACGCCTCCTTGCTATCAAACCAGAGCTCATTAGGACCAACTCTCACCAAGGGTCCATACCGTTTGTGCAGAGTCTTGCCGAGCTGGTACATGCGGCCATTGCGGGCGTGGTAGGCGTGCCAGATGTTGGAGAGGGCGGCTAGACGAGGACCGGGAATACCGGCTAGGGGGTGTAGGAAGAGTCTGTAGATTGAGATGGCGAGGATGATGACGATTATGAGGAGGAGAAGTGATGCGGATGTCTTTAGGAGTAGTGAGACCGAAGTCGTGAGGACGGTTTGACATGTTGAGAGGGGCATTGTGATGAGTGATGGTGGTGGTCGTTGGGAGTATAAGTGGGTCTTGACTTATACGCAGGGATATAACACGACTAGGGGGATCGGCCCGTTGTTAGGAAGAGCGATGGCTGGTCCTCAGATCTGCTGTCAGGTTAAGCTATTCAGTCTCCCGCTGTCTTTAAATGAATAGTGGCGCTTCTGTCCGATAAATGAGTAACAATACGAGAGACGCCTATGCTACTTCAGCCGACGTCCAGCATATTTCTAGGTGTTGATGATCGATGTGCGGCGTCGGTGTGCTGCTAGCGTAGGGTGAAAACAGCTGACGGCAGCGGCAATTTGGAAGAAATTTTGCTGAAACATCGACGGCGACAAATTTTGGACATGGTCTGGATTGTTTCAGGGTTAGGGCTACATGAGCACGACCATGGTTGATGATATGCCTCCATCTTCATCAAAGCGAAATGTGAATGGGATGTATGGAACCGTACTATGTATTAGAGTAGCCTGCTAAGTGAAAGTAGTAAATGATCATCACAACATAAACCGTCATTATTTGGGTGCCTCCTCCTTTCTCCTCGAAATATCCTCCACGGAATATCGGCTTACTGAGGAGGTCCAAGGCTGAGGACATCCAGTCCATCCTTCAGTTGTGACTTGCTCGGCATCTTGTTAAGCTGCATCATCTGGGCGCACTGAGCCATGGCGGGATCCTTACCCATACTTGCCATGGCCACAACCGTCTCTCCCTTGGTGTAATAAGCCACCCACTTGCCCTGGTCAGGCTCGCCCTGGAGGACAAGGTCGTCCCATCCATGGTACGAGTTTCCACAGTAACGCAGCTGTGCACCAAGGGCACTCCAGAACACTGGGGTAAAGAACTCGGGCTGAAGGTTGGGGTGCACGATATGGTTGGCCACTGTGCGACCGGCGTTCTGAGCAACGTTGTAATGCTCAATACGGACGTACTTGCCGTCACCACCGGGGCCATGGTAGGGATAAGAGGCAATGTCACCAATGGCGTAAACATCTTTGAGCCCAACGACTGAAAAGTTCTCGTCAACCTTCAAGCTACCATCATCCTCAAGGCGGACAACGCTATTGTCATTGAGATACTCGGTAGCTGGCGAGACACCAACGCCGAGAATTACGATATCGGCATCAAGCTTGGTTCCGTCCTTGAGATGAACTGAGCCAACCTTGGAGGGGTCGGCTGTTGATGGCTCGGCCTTTTCGACGCCGGCCGACATGTAGAACTTGACACCCTTGGACTCAATGTTCTTCTTGACGATGGCGCCCACGCGCTCCCCGAGCACGCGCTCCAAGGGTTCCTTCTCCATTCCGATAATGGTCACATCATTTCCGTTGGACGTGCAAGCAGCGAGCTCCATGCCGATGAAGGAGGAACCGATGATGACAATTTTCTTGCCCTTCTCTCCAATAGCCTCGCTGATGTTCTTGGCGTCGCGGACATTGCGCAGAGTGAAGATGTTGCCCAAGACCTGGAAGCCCTGGAGAGGCAGAAGCTTGGGGGTGCCGCCGGTAGCAAGGACCAGTCTAGAGTAGGGGTATTGTTGACCCGACTTGGTCTTGACCGTTTTGCTGCCAAAGTCGACACCGACCACCTCGTCCTGGACAAAGTCGACGTCTCCGCTCTTGAACCATTCGGCATCGCGCCATTGCAGCTTGTTGAGGTCGGTCATGAGCGTCTTGCTGAGCTTGGGGCGGTCAATGGGCAAGTAGCCCTCGTTGGTGATCACGGTGACGGGCCCAGAGAAGCCCAGCTCGCGCAATCCTTCAACGGCAGCCAAAGCACCGGAGCCACCACCGACAACGACAACCTTGTCGGCCATGGGAGCTCCGGCAACCTTGCACTTGAACTTGGGCTTGCGATGGCCGGCCTTGATCATCTCGGCATCGCCGGTGATGTATACAGCGCCGTCGCGTTCGGTGGCCTTGAAGACAGGAAGAGCGTCGAGGGCGGGGGCGTTTTCGATATCGCCGGTTGTGGTGTTGAAGCAGGCTCCGTGCCAGGGACAAGTCAGCTTTCCGTTGTGGCCGAGAACACCCTTAGCCAAGGGGGCACTAGAGTAGCATTAGTGAATTGGATTCCAAGTCGCCAAGTCGTACATGCCGCAGGTTACATACCCGTAGTGAGTGCATCGTGGGCCGATGGCCTGTGTCTTGCCGGCGGCGTTGAGGAGGAGGACCTTTGCATCCAGACCCTCAACCTCGACCTCGTGCTTCTCGCCGGGTTGGAGGTCGAGAGAGGTGATGCCCTTGAGCTTGTATTCCTGCGCCATTGCGGTATGTGGTGTCGAAGAGAAGAGACGGAGGGTTTCTGGTTGTGTTGTCGTCGGAGTGCGCAAAAGAGAGGATCGGGTCGAGAGAAGTTGTCGCTGGCAGGCCGAGAGGGGTCGAGAGAGGGGTCGGGAGAGACGCGGCAGTGCGATCATGTCATCCGATGGCTGCAGTCCAACGCAAAGACCTGATATGGGGAAGACTGAAGAGCGGGAGAGGGTTAAAGGTGAAGAAGAGGGTTCAGATGGACTGTCCGATACGACGAGAGATGGGATCGGATCAACGAAAGACTGTAATCAAGGAGCCGTGATTGGTTGTCCGCGGTTGCTGTGTGCCATGAACATCACGTCATGCCCTCGGTGACAAGTGAACCTCTTCAGCGCGACATTGAGCTTGAAGCGAGCTCAGATGTGGGATGAAGGACGGGTGTCTTGTTTTTGGACTAACTGGAGGTACTTGGAGATGCACCTTGATGGCCATTCACAATTCACGGCCAGATGTGCAGATTGTGGATTACTCCGAGGTGAGAGTATGAATTACTATTAACATGCTGGGATTCATTTTATTCAAGACTTCGTTAGCTTTTGAGCTGATACCTGGACAAGATTGGAGTTGTTCTGTATCTCAGGGAAAGGCCTGTTTAATGTACCGATTGTTAGACGCTAGATATAGCTCCCGCTCCTAGCGCTGTAGCTCCCGTCTGCGGGGAACTGTCAGAGGCCAGGGGATCCACTGGGCGTGCACGTGCCCAGCTGGACTGGGATATGCGGGATTTTTACCCAGATGCCAGAGCTTCAAGTCTACAGAGCCAATCTTACACACATACATATAATTAAGCTACGTTGAACCTATATCGATTATTACTAATAATATTACAATTAAGAGTCTTATTAATTCGACCGTTAAAACTATCGCTAACAATGATAATTGACTAAACGATTGCTAATAATATCTACGACTAAAATTAATAGTATTACCCTTAATGGCCTTAGGGACTAGCTAGCCTAGGAAGATGCCTTTATTTTTATAGCCTAAGACTTAAGTTTCTAGAAATATATCGACCTAATTAACCGCGTTTTCTAGCCAACTCAACTAGCAAAACCCAATATCGCTAACTACTAGGGGGAAGTTCCTACTAGAGAAACTAGGGAAATTAAGAAGGATAGGGAAATTACTCTATTTATTGCTACTAAGCTTTACAATTTCTATTATAAGTACGATTATTATAATTATATAATTAAGAAATGAAATTAATATATAGAAGTTAAAACCTTCTTTAACTTAAGTATTAAGAAGATTATATTAAATTATCAAATATTTAAAATTATTAAAAATAATTACTAGGAAATTAATTTTATTAAATATATTAATTTATAGAAATAATACGATAATCTTAGTAAATTTACTACTTTTAACGACTATAAGGTAAAGAAGCTTGCCCGGGTTAAATTTATTAATATTCTTAAGCCCCTTAGCAAAACTAATTATAATTAGTATAATTAGATTTTTTATTAGGAAGCAACTATAGCCTTTTATGTTATTAAAAGAATTATTAGAATAAATAAACTAGATTTATAATTCCTAGAATTCTACATAGTTATAAGGTCGAATCCTTATATTGCTTAAGAAAATAATTATTAATTCTAATATAATAAAGAGATCGAAAGAAATTTTAATTTCAAAATTTCTTTCTGTATTATAATTAAAGATTTTCGTAAAATAATAATAGCGAATACTATTTAGGGAAAGGGTTGTACCCCTTTACTTAAGAATATTATATTCGTAGTTATATTAAATAATAAACCCGTTAAAGAGAACGCTTCTAGCGACGAATAAAACCTTAGCCCGGAGGTAGAAGGACAGAGAAAAACTATAAGTAAGAATAGTAAATTTAAGAAGAATATTAATAAGAATAAACGTATTTTATCTTCGTCCTTACTAGTAAATAAACGACTATAACGATCTCTATACAAATTCTATAAGTAGTCGGACTATAATTTAAATAAATATTATTATATTAGGTTATAATTGGCCTATAAAAGCTAAATCGAAAATCTTACTATTAAAAAACGCGCGTACGCTAATTTAAAAAAGGATAAAATATTTAAAGAAGATGTTAACCGTTTACAAACGTAGTAGGACAATAAAGATTAAAATAATTAATTTTATAGTCGCCGGGTAAATAAAAGTAATTTTTTAATACTTATAGCGAAATATAGCGCTATATACCTATCAAAAGACTTTATAATCTTCGATTTAAGTATAATAATATATATTTTTTAATAAGGTTAGCCGGGTCGAAAATTTTACCCCTTTAAATACTAATAATTATATATAGGCGGGAAATAAGCGGATTCCTATAGAGGGGTATAATATTATTATAATTATAATTTAAGACGATAATAGAAATAGAAAGCTCTAATTTCCTAACGTTATTTTAATACCGGATATAGCTTATAACCTTATCTCCTTAAAATAATTCGAAGATAAATAAATCTACTAGGACTATAAAAATAATTATTTATACTCCCACTTTACGGACTGCCTTACTTATTATATATTCTCTAAATATAAGTAATTCATTTTAGAATATATCCTTCTATAAAATAATGTTAACAAATTTCCTTTTACTATACAATATATAAATCTCTCTATCCTTACAGCTCACTGGACGCTAAAAAATCCGGGTAGGGTGTTAGTGCTATTCGCGGCCGGTCCCCATATAAAAATCCGCACGTACTATCTAATTATTATCGCACGGACTTTTCGGCACCGGATTCCTACGTAAAAAATTGTTAGCACTAACCTCTTAACTTACGTTCTATTAACGTACATCCACGCCAGCAAATTCTTCTCCCTTTGGCGTTCGCTCTGGGAAGGGCCGCAGCAAGTTTCCTGCCGCCCCAAACACTAGCCTCTATTTGCACCTCTATTTACACTTTTATTTACACTTCTATTTGTACCCTCCATTTGTACCCTCCTTTGGGTTTTTATTTAAGGGTAAAGGTTTCTTTATTTACCTTCCAGCTATAGTCTATCTTAGAATCTAGCTCTACATGGGCTACAACCCTGGATCCAGCCTTATACCCTCAGGGAAGGGGCGAGGACAATTTGCTGGCCTCCCCGAATACTAGTTATATTAAATAGAAGCCCTAAGAAGGTAAGCCCCTTCGTTAGTATTTTCGATTTAACTACGTAGAACCCGAAATTTTCAATTAAATTAACAAAGTAAGAATATAACGTACAATTTAAAGGACTGGATATAATATATTACGAATTATATATTAGGGCTAAATTAAAGCGCTAGGTATATAGAGAAATTCGTAATTACTTAGAGGGCCCTAGGTTATAATTAGCCATCGATTTCTTTTTTTATAAGGAAATGAAATTAGGGGGTTAAAGATATTTAAGTTTAATAATAATCGTAAATTAGTAATTTAAATTAGTCTAAATATATTATTTAAGTAATAGAAAAGCCGAATCTATTATTACGTATTTAGAAACCTTTTATATAAAGTTATAAATTTAATACTAGATTATACTTCGGGTAATTGAATATAACAACGAAATAATTAGTAATAAAAAGATTATTATTTAATTTACTATTAAGAAAATTAGTATTAAACCCTTAGCGCCTTATATATAAATTTAAAATGGCGGCGTAGAGCGTTTAGGGAGTATAGTTAAAATTAAGGGTACAATAATACAATTAAGTGCAAATTTTCCTTACGAACTATAAATAGAAATTACTAAAATAATTATATATTTATAGAATTTAATTCCTAAAGCGGAATATTATTAAAAATTTCCTTAAAACCGATTCGAAACGTACTACTAATTTAAAAATAGTATCGTTCTTCTATTCGACCCCTTCCCTATTATCATATATTTTAAAATATATAATTATAAAGCCTTTATTCTTATAATAGAAAGTATAAAAGAATAAAATAAATTAATAAAATTTAAAGACTGTACTTAGGTCAGTTATTTAATTAAATACTAATTAACGAATATTTATAGCATTTAGAATATCTATATTAATTCTATTATTATTATACGAAATATTATATTTGATAAAAATAAGGTCTTCCCTAGTAAAAATAGTCTTTCCCTGGACGGAGCCAAATCCCATGTGAGATAGTGAAGCGCCCACGAATCCACATCTCCGGTAACGGAACCACTTTTCCCGGCCACCACTCCCGGCCTCACGGAAGCTCATTGCTCTCAATGTCTCCGTCCTATTGCTCTCAATGCCTCTTATGCTCTTAATATCTCCCAATGCTCTCGATGCTTCCAATACTCTCAATGCTTCCAATGCTCTCAATGCCTCCAATACTCTCAATATCTCATTGCTCTCAAACTTACGCATTTGGCGGACTTAGTCATTTTGGGGACGGGGTTATTTTAGGGACTTGGTCATTTTGGAGGCTTGGTCATTTTTGGGAACTTCGTCATTTAGAACGACGGTCGCATTCGGGAATGGATGACCAAAACTACTAAAAAGCCCCATATCTCAACGACCATTGGACTGCACCAAAAGCCAAAGGTATCAAAATGATCAGAGAAAAGAGGCGAACATTTTGCACCTTGTTGCATTTTGATTCACTCAATGGTTAGAGAGCGGTATCGGTTGCAAGATATTTCGTGGCTTTTTCGAGCTACTATTGAAGCCGTGTCCTGCTTGGCACTGGAATTTCCCTTTTGGGTCTGCCAAGACGGGTATTTTTTTTGCATTCTGACCTGTAATAGACAGAATCGCCGCGCCTTTCGCGCTTCGATGTGGGGCCTATGGACCTACGACCTCTGGTGTGGAGAACCATGACACTTTTGGGCCCCGGACATCGAATCTTGTGAGGGCATGGGCGCTTCAATAATATTAAAAAAATTTATAATACCCTTAATATTTCCCGTAAAGAATTAGCTATATAATGAAAAGACTTTTATTAAATAAATATTATGTTAATAAAGATCCTATAAATCGAAGCTATACTTACTATAAATAACGGAATTCTTAGCCCCATTATTTAAAACTTTTTTACTAAAGCCGAAAATATATTAAGGGAAGAACAAGAATTAAGGTCTTTAGAAATATAATCGTAATCTAGATTTTTGAAAATGCTATAAATATTAAAAATACTATTAGGTCTAGAAATACCATAAAAGTCTTTAAAGCCTTTACTATTACCACCTGTACAATCGCTATCAGATTTTTAAAATACAGTTTTAAATTCGAAGGATAAAAAAGAAGGCTATTTCCTTACGCTTCCTAATAATCTAACTATATTTTTAATAACCGACTTTTCTCGCTCTAATAAAGAATTATAACCAATTATAAATTAATATTTTTATTAGGCCGCATTATTTTTATTTATAAAGGGCAATCGATTTATAGGCCTTTAAGGAGATAAAATCGTAAATTAAACCTTCCTAGAATAAATAAAAGAAAAGGGTATTAATATTACTCCCGGCTATAATTCTAAATTAAAAATAATAAAGAATATTATTAATTATTATAGAATAAAAAGTACGTTAAAAACCCTTTATCGAACTAATTTTCCACTTTTTTTAAAAATACTATAGTAATTTTAATTCTTATTCCTTTAAAGAATTCTTTAAAATTATAAAAAAGGAATACTTAAATAATCATAAGGATAAGAAGTTTTAAAAATAAGTTACTATCGAAGAAGTAGGAGATAACGAAATATTCGGTTTAATATAAATATATATTTATAAATTCAATTAAGAAGGCCGGTTTTTTAAATATAAAGTACGTTTGGTTGTACGTAGGAATTAGTAATTTAAGGATGGCGTACGTAAAACGTACGTAGCGATTTTAATAATTAAATCGTTCTATATCTCAATAGTTATAGCCATTTATATCAACTTGGATTTAATTTAGTACAATATAAAGAACGCTTTTATCAATACTATATTTAATAAAGTAATATTAATAAAGGCTCTCCCTAAATATATTAGGAAAGGTTAGGTATTTTAATTACTACGTACGCTATATAGTCTATAGAGATTTTCCCTCCTTTAGTAATAGGAATTTACTAAGACCCTTATAACTATAGGTATAAACCCTCTCCCTATAGAGCTTAATATTCTAATTAAAAATAATATATTCCTTTTTTTCTACGTTAACAATATCATTATTACTTATAAATATAGAGATAAGGAAATCGCTATAATTAGGGAAGTAGTAGCTACTATAGAGAGGAAGTATTTATTAACGAGTAGAAAGCTATTAAAATAATTTTTAAACATCGAAATTATTCGAAATTAAAAGAAGAGATTAATTTAATTATTATAGTGTAACTATATTTAAAAGATTATAAAGAAGGCTAAATATATTAAGAAATTATCTTCTATATTCATAGCCAAGGAAGAATTCTTACTTTATTCAAATAAGGTAGCCCAGTATAAAATTTACGCATATTAAATTAAAATTGGTTCGATTCTCTATATTGTTATTATATTATAATTAAACGTAACTTTCCCAGTCTCTAAACTTATTCGATTTAATTTAAATTTTAACTTAATATATTATACGATGATAAATCGAATATTACTCTACCTTCTTAAAATTTAAAATTACGCCCTTTAATTAAGTTTGTAAAGACTATTAAAACTTGTATATTATAATTAATTCTTTATTTATAAATAATTTTCTTAATTAAAAAGATTTATAAGCATTTATATTTAAACTTCTAAGCGCTATAATTAATTAACGAACTAATAAATAGAATATAATTACAACCTTATTTAAGAGGCCGAATTACTATCCTTTAATTAGAAAATTAAGGAGGCTATTTATATTCGCTATTTTTTTAACAAATTTACCCTAAGGTTTGAAAATTAAAAAGCTACGTTTATAAGCTATAATGATAAATAAATAATACGATTTATTATAAAGGGAAGAATTTAACTAGTAACTAAATTTAAATACATTAATATATATAAATACTAATTAAGGTAAATATAGGAAAGGAAATTAATAAATATAATTTACATACTAATTAAAAAGTAAATTATAAATAACTTTACTAAAAGCCTCCTTCCCATAATATATTTAAAATCTATAGAGTAACTAGGGCTCGTAGAGCTATAGCAGCTATAGATTTAATTGCGAGAATTTAATAGCGGAAATATCACTATAGGCTGTCCGAAAAGTATAGAGGATTTTATAAAGGAAGATTCGGACAACGAATTGGTAAATATAATAGTAAATAAAATAGGGTAAGACTTTTACGAGTAACAGTTTGAAAGTTACTATAACGAGGAAGTAATTGGGAATAGTATTATTTTTGGCTAGTTTTAGAAGAATTTCAGGGCATTTTAAGGCATTTTTAGGTAAATCTAGCGTAGTTTGTATATTAAATCTAAGGGAGTATATTAGAAGCCAGAGGATCTATTGGGCATATACGTGCCTATCTGGATTAGGATATACGAGATTTTTACCTAGATACTAGAGCTTTAAATTTGTAGAGCTAATTTTATACATATATATACAATCAAGCCACGTTGAACCTATATCGATCATTACTAGTAATATCATAGGAACTCCATCAGTTCCTGTCGATGCCGTCATTGCAGTGGATAGCACAACGCTGCAATCGAAGCAATCTGATTGGTTCAATTGATTTGTTTGATTTGTGTCGCGACCATCGTTTTCAACATGGTGCCTTCCATTTTCGACATGCAAACGAAACACTATGGAGGTTTCCTTCCCTGATGCTCATTTGTGACTTTGCAAAAAAATCTCTGCTCGACATCAACGTCTTGTCCTCCACGACAGCTCCCTCTCCCTCCATCCGCTTCTCCTCACGCTGCGCCATTTCTGTGTCCAGCCAATCTTCCATTTCCAAAGCCCTGCCTGACCTTGACCTCTAGACTTGGTCCATTCGTTCCATACCGTCAATTCCTAATGCTGAATAACCACCTTCAACCACTCTGATAATGTTTCCACGGCTGAGTTCTTCCATCCGATTCAATATTCGAACAACATTCGCTGACAGACATGGAAGTTCAGGTTTAGCCGTTTCAGCGATGCAGTGTAATCCGCCATGACTCCTCCACCTGCACATACCGATCGTGATATCGCCAGGAAGTTCCAAGCTCCAATATCGCTTCCATCATTGCTCCTTTAGTCAGGGCACCAAGTTCGAATTCGCTTTCATTATCTCGACCTTCAGGTCCCTATCAACCATTATGACTCGGGTCCACGTTACAGTCCTACGGCCAGCATGTTCTGGTCCATGAAACCCAACTCCATACTCCCTTCGCACTCGCAACACCCATCACAGCTTGCTCCCCTTATCCTGCCTCTTTGCCAACTCCCGCAACTCCTTGCGCAAAATCTTTCCACTCGGACTTTTGGGTATGGCATCGATAAACACCACTCCTCCCCGAAGCTTCTTGTGGTTGGCCACTTTGCTGGCAACCCAGTCCATGACCTCCTCAGCCTTGAGATTCGCATCGCCAGCCACGACATACGCCCTGTTCCAGCCTTGTTAGCTTCCGATATCCGGCATCATGTCCGATGCTGACGACGAGACACTTACCGAGGAACTTCAGTGTCTTCTCTTTCCACTCCAATCACCGCCGCATCGGCAATCTTGGCATGACTGACCAACAATGCCTCAAGCTCGGCCGGTGCGACTTGCATGGCCTTATACTTGATGAGTTCCTTCTTCCGGTCGACAATATAAAACATGCCGTCCTTAAAGAGCCCGATATCCCCAGAGCAGAACCAACCATCCACAAAGGCTTCCTTGTTGGCTGCATCGTTCTTATAATACCCCTTCGTTACAATCGGACCCTTGACCCAAAGCTCGCCCGCTTGCCCTGGTTCCACGTCCTTACCATCATCGTCAACAATCCGCGCCTGACAGTTCATCACCAGCATCGAAACACTCCCCGTTTCATCATCCATTCCACGCGGCATTACTGTTATTGACCCCGTCGTCTCGCTCAAACCCCACGTTTGACTCAGTTGCGCCTTGCCCTTCCCGATCTTCTTCCGAGCTGCCAGTTGGAGCTCCTTTCCCATGGGAGCTGCGCCCGTCACAGCCCACTCAAGCGAGTCCAGCTGATCTGTAACCAGAGGGCTTTTGGCAATAGCCAACCAGATGGGTGGTACCGTGGCCAAGGTCGTGATCTTGTACTTCTTGTTGTACTCGAGGAACTTGACAAAGTCAAAGCGAGGCATCCAGTACAAGGTCCCGCCCATATAGAAGCTGTTGACCAAATAGCCCTGGACACCTGCAATGTGTGCCGCCGGCAGGTGGGCGATGGTCCGGTAGTCCTTCGCGATATCCCGCCCCCTTGCCTTCTCATACTCCCGGATCGGATCAAGCACAAGACAGGCCTCGCTTACCATGTTGGTGTGCGAGAGCCTACACATCTTGGGTAAACCAGTGGTTCCGCTCGAGAAGAGAATGCAGACAATGCTGTTCTCGAGGGCTGTCGTGTCCGTGATACGTTGCCACTCCAGGGTTTTGGTCGAGATGGGAATGGGTTTCGGTCGCTCCAAGTCAGTGAGTTCAAGGTGCGGCTGTGATCCCAGAACAAGGACTCGAAAGCCAGGGAGGTTGGCCAGCTTGGCCGCGGCTGCAGCAATTTCCTTGGTGTCTTCATTGCACATAATGAGCTTTGCCCCGATCTGCTTGATCTGCCCAGCGAACTCGGTAGCCGTGGATGCCGGACTTGATGACGAGAAGATGCCGCCCGCCGCTATGGTCGAATAGAACAGACAGGGCAAGAGGAAGTGCCCCGACGAAATACACAACACCACATCCTTTTCCGGCCCGTCTTGACCAATGCCGTACCGTTGACGAAGAGTATAAGCCAAACGCTTGACCAAGTGCCGAAGCTGGGCTTTAGTGACCGCTTTGCTGGGATCAGCAGCGTCGGCATGAATCACAGTATCTTCCTTCGCTCCGCATGCCGGTGAGTCTGCAAAGGCGTCAGTAAGGTTCAAAGGCTATTGCTGACCACGGCGTCTTGGCCAGCATCATCCCACGAAGCGGGTGTATTACCGAAGAGGACAGACAACAGGTCAAGCTGTGGGAGGTCTCGCTGCTGCGATGTCTTATAGATGATGCCGGAAGATGTCCTCTCCACGATAGTCGTCATGATGTGTATCGTTCTGTCACTGTGCCAGCGAAAATAACAGAGGAAAACTTCAGATCCAACAGTTGAAGTCCAGTCTCCCGAAGAGCAACGTCTTATACCTGAGGGAGGTTACTCTTACCCCACTTAGACACCGCAAGAACAGAAAGGAGGTTGCCGGCAGGCCATGTGTCTAGCCATGCGCTTTACCGTTTTCGATGAAAGGGGCGTTCTTTGGACGACTTTGACAGCTTGTCGATCATCGAGGCGGCGAATGAGAGGTCATCCCAGCAATCTCTTTCCCCGCATACAACCTCGGCACTCTCGGAATGACTTCAAGCTTTCCTTTTCGTTCTTTGCTACACTAGCTACACAATATGTGCGACATGGTTTTGACACACTACTCCGAGACATGGGCGATTATTGCATCGCAGCCGCAACGCCCGAACCTGACCGCCCGTGTGCTACCCCTGGTCGTCATCCGAACGCCCGGTACTCCACTATCAACCACAAGCCGTTTACCACTGGTCGGGATCCGCATCCGCAAAAGTGTCGCCAATGGCAATCTCATCAAACCAAACCTGACGGAAGGGCTGAGAGCCAGAATAGCCGGAATCGTACCAAGCATTGGCGTAGAGACCGACACGGAACTGGAACCTCACGTCGGTGTCGAGAGTCGTCTTAATGTCGTGCTGCTCGACGACCTTGGTTCCATCATACCAGAGCTTGAAATAGCCGGTGCTGTCGCTGCTCCACTTGACCTGCATCACAATTTTGTGCCAGGCGCCGCCGGTGACATTGATGCCGGTGTCGAAAGGAGTGGTTGAGGGAGAGCAGAGTGTGCCACTCTTGACTCTGGTCATGAGGCGGTTTCCATTGACCCAGACCATGGTGGTGGGCGACCACTCATCGCAGCTGCTGGAGCCAAAGTTGCCGATGAATTGGGCAAGGTTATAGGACTGCGCGGGGCTCGACTGCCAGTCGCCCTGTAGACGGAACATGAAGCCGTAGAAGCGTGTCTCGCCCCGGGCGTACCCGTTGAGAGTCCGCACTTCAGCGTGGTAGCGGCCAGAGTACGAAGAGTCGTATGTCTGCTCGAACTTGAGGGCCGTGCTTCCCTCATAGACCACGTTGGTCACTTCGGAGATCTTGCCCTTGTTTTCGGTCTGTTGGCCATCCCAGCCGCTGAGGGTGCCGTGGTTGCTGAAGATCTGAGTTCCCTGGACGATGACGGGCGTCACGGCCGCGAGCGCGGCGATGAGCATATGTCGGATACCCATGTTGCTTTCAAGAGGAGAGGGCAGTTTCCGGGCGGGTCGGTATCGAAATGAGGAAGTGAGGTTGGATGATCAAGAAGCTTCTCCAGGAATTGACGGTCGGCTCATGGGAGTCTTATACTTTTTCAGAGCTTGACGCGAGCGGGGAAGTTTTCCGATCCTTCAACTCTCACCCGCAAGGACGTGAGTAAGACCCCTTCGCGGCAATCCAATCGCGGCCTTCCCACATTGGGTGCCTGGGAGGGGCGTCGATGGCGTCGCCTTCGCTTACTAAGGTCAAATGGGTAGGTGGTATCAACAACCTCGCCATCTGGTAAAGGGTTTTGCGGAATGGCGGAGACTGACGAGTGACGACAGTAGTCTGCAGTTGCTTCAGCGTCCGACGTCCGCGGTTTTCTCCCGTCACTCTTCCTTCTCAAGCACACACCCGCTCGGTTTCTACGTCCGGTTGCTGCATTTTTTTCTAATGCGTACCTTGTGAGGCTCCAGCAACAGAAGCCTTGGGAGTATCCTCACTATATGGGGATGCCCGCACGATACCTCTACATTTTGCTTGCTTTACCCTACTAGCGTACGGCCCCTCGTCAAGTCGCTGCATCGTCAACAGACCACAAGTCTGCAACAAATCTCGCAGTTCCACCAGTACAAGCGATGGTTCATCGGTCGCTTAGAAGGACGGATACTGGGAAACAAAGAACCATCACGAAGAAACCTAAGGTTCCGGTTTCACAGCCCAGACAGGCGGTTCGAAATTTATCTTCATTTCTTCGAAGATCAAAATCGCATCCAAGACATCATAAGCAGAAATTCCTTTAGTCCTATGCCGGCGTATGACATTGTACCTGTCCTACTACCTGTACAGATACCCAACACTCCACGAAGGTTCAAAGCCCAAGAACCATTCCCAGGCCGACGCAGAACTCCACATCCACCATCAAAAACCCAATCAAGGAACATGCTCCTTGACCTCAGATGAGCCGCCCAACTTGTTTTCGCTGGTGCTACGCCTGCCAAGTCCAGTAGTGTCATGCTCAGCGTGGTTGACCACCTTCTCGGCAGCGGCATTGGCTTGCCTCTGAAGGTCCTCGCCCTCGAACATGAATGTAAGCTCTTCGAGCGTCCGACCCATCGTCTCAGGGAACATGAAGTACACGAAGCAGACCTCAAATGCGAGCCAGACGCAGTACGAGATGAGGTACTTCCAGCCAACGTTCTTGAGACCGATGGGGTTGACGAAGGTGGTGAAGAAGCCGGCCAGACGACCAAAGAGCTGGAAGACGGCAATACCACGAGAGCGCTCGGCATAGGGCCAGACTTCCACCATGTAGGCTGCTTCGTGTTAGTGATATGGACCTCCGAAAGAGGAAGCCGGAGTTTAACTTACTGTAGGTCAGGGCGTTATAACCCATGTTATAGCAAGGCGAGTACATGTAGATGAAGAAGAGGGTGGCGATGTTAGCCCCGTTGTTGGGTTTTCCGATCTTTTTGCCTGTCATGGCGCGCTCCATGGAGATGGTCCACGCAATATAGCACAGCAGCAAGCTGATGGTGCAGGCCATGTACATGACACGACGTCTAATACGAGTGACAAGGAGCGAGACGGTCACACCGCAAATCAAACTCCAGCAGGCGATGGAAACGTTGATCTTTTGGATGAAGGTCGACTCCGTGTAGCCGATCATCTTGAGGAGATCGCCGAGGAAGTATGAGATGAGGGTGTTTCCGGACCACTGGGTGAAGAGACCGAGCATCGACGAGATGAGAAGACGCTTGCGCATACCCGAGGTTCTGAAGAGATCCGTCCACGAGCTCTTGGACACGGTTTCATATTCCAGACGAATGACGGCTTGCATCTGAGCAAATTCAGCGGCAACAAATTCCTCACCGCGCTCCATCTCTCCATGGTACTTCTTCAGAATGTCATGGGCTTCTTGAGAGCGGTCCTTGGTGATCAGCCAGCGGGGACTCTCCGGGATGAAACTGCGTAACGGGGTTTTCATGTCAGCGAATTTGTTCTTTCACCAACACGATCGGAAGTTTCAACAAGACCAATGACACGTACAAGACGAAGGCAAGCTGAAGCAGCGAAGGGCAAACCTGGAGAAGCGAGGGGATTCTCCAGCCCCAATTGCTCGCGATGTTGTTGGTTCCGAAGACAATGGCGGCAGCAACAATCTGACCGACGAAATATGACACGTTGAAGAGCGAGGTCAAGACAGGACGCTCTTTCGGGTAGGCAAGTTCGCCGATAAGAGAGGAGCCGGAGACGATGCAAGTGGGGATGCCGAAGCCGAGGATCATACGGGCGACGATGTACATGCCGACTGTTGACGGCGGTGTCAGCGGGATTCAGAGTCTGGTCGGTACCTAGGAGTAGGTAGGTGCTTACCATGTTGGGAGAAACCCTGAATGAGGGCGCCCACGATCATGGTGATTGAACCGAGAGCGATGGACCATCTTCGACCAAACCTATCGTTGATGATGGGGACCAGGGGAAGAGACAGAATGGCACCAAGAGAGTATGCTGCGCTGATGATGCCTTTGAGAGCTCCCTGCGGATCGTCGAAATCTGCGAATAAACTGTGGTTAGCCACCAATACCACATCTCTCCGTCCATCGACCGGGCTGACAGGCAGAACGAAGGTAAAAGATGAAGTCCAGGCAATCTTACACTTGATCCACGAATTCAAAATCTGGAGGGCGTTGATCATCTGGGAATCGAATCCCGACGTCAACTCGATGCCCATACATGTCGGGAAAAGCATGAAGTAGAGGAATCGAAGGTTGGGCTTCTTGTACCATGGGATCGGGTCCTCTTTCGCGAGGCGAGAGATGACGGGGTCGGAACCCCCAAAGTCACCACCTGCACCACCCATCTTGAGATTATGTCTGTCGATGTCGGTTCTTCTGCTACTGCTGGCAGGAAAGGAGGAGGTTTGGTGTGCGTTGCCAAAGGTTGGCGGATGGTTGGGAAAGCAAGAAGTAAAGGGGAGTCCAGCTGGATGGCAAGCTCGCGGGAATAGGCACGTCTATAAATTGCATCGAACCATGAACCGGCTTGCTGGATTCAATACTGTGGTCCAGCTATAGAGCACCAGGTGATAGGTTGCGACTCCGCGAACCCTGCAATATCGAACCGTCCGGAGGATTACCCCATTACCCCATCCTTGGGAGGATGTATCACGGTCCATGGATCACCGTATCCTTGGGGGCGCGCCTCGTGCGGGGAGGACAAAGAAAGCGGCATGCTGCATTCTGGATCAGGCTCAATGTGACGATGCCAGCAACCTCTTTCTGGACAAGTCGGAACCGCACTCAAGTTGGCGACGAGGAAGAACGGCCAAAATCCTCCAGTCATGATGGTTGTTCCCCCACACACCAAGTCTTCCCCAACCTTACTCTAACCTCTTCCGTCCCGTGTCGTTTGTTAAAGGTTTGTGGGGACCCCATGATTTAAAATGGGCCGCCGTTCTGGGGTAGCGTCCTGTACCGAACGCTTGGCATCTCATGGAGGTCTGGGGTAGGAAACTAAGAAGGCTGGCGGCCGAGCCAGCGGATTGGGTGACGGCAGGGAAAGGTGGGTGGGCTTCCCAGTCTTCAAATACCACATACCAAGCCGGGATCGAGGCTATTTGATCCGTTAGCGTCCTTCTGGATTGTTGATCACCACCCTTCTTTTCGAACCCGATCGGACATGCTCCCACATGTTGAAAGATGCGAGCCAATGCTGACATGAAACTGGCGAGGGCCAAGGAGGGGAGTCCGGGGAGCCAAGCCCAAAGATTGGGAATCCCATTTTTAACCTGTCAGCATCTACCTAACATCTTTCGGGGTTCGAGCAAAAATTCATGTGGCAAGAAAGAGCAGAAGGAAGGATCAGCAAAACGCGGTGAGACGGCGGGCCACCAGTCCAGAAGAACTCAACCGATCTGGATCTTTGACAAGAAATGTCTCGGTCCTGGACGTATTGCTTCCAGAGTCGATCGGATTGCGGTTCCACGCAGAAAAGCTTATCTGGTTTGTCTTTGCTCTTGCGGGAAAGTGAGCTGACAGTCTGACAGGCACACATTGCAATGACCTTGGTAAGTGAAATGGGAATCGACTGGCTTATATGACTGCCAAGTCTCGACACTATCCCGAATTCCCCGTTACGTCTATCCAGTCAGACAATTTTGGCCGTTCTGCTACTACACAATACTACCACGCCAACCACGCCGTACTTCGGCATCTTAACCGCCACTAGTGCATGCTCCCCAAATCATCCCCACCCCCATCTTTTTTAACATCTCGTTTCTCCGCGTTTTGTTTACCAACTTCAGACTGGACTGAACTGGACTGCCGGGACCGATGTTGATGGTCTTTGGCTTGGCTTTGTGCCCTTTCTCCGGGACCGAAGGGAAAGATGGGGGAAAAGCTGTGAGAGCTGATGAGTGATGACTGGTGGTTCACTCCGCCAAGAGGCTCAACCGCTCCAACGGTGATTAACTTCCCATCCTTTTTTATGCTTCCTTCCTCACCTGGGAAGATGGATGGGCAACCTAACCAACGGATAATATGGGTTTCATTTGCAACAATGCTATTGCATGCCCGCCCGCCCCAGTCCGGTTCTGCTGATCCAGCCGAGCAAGTCCTTAGCTCGAACCCAGGATTTGAGGACCGGCTGCAAGTCGCGAATTAAGCATGCTGTAGCTCGACCTGAAGACCTTGCAATGATCAATGGCCGGACAAAGTTGAAGTGCTAACTGATTGGATGGGACTGCGGGTTGAGATTATGTTGCACGACAGAAAGCACTAAGTTCGACCTGGCAAGCCCAACAACCCCGGGCTGGATCTCCCATAGTCCCATAGAGGTCGGAGTTCTCTAGAGGTGTGTGTGTACGCTACCTAACCCAGCTGTCGACTTACATGAACATGGTCAAGTAGCCGTGGTGCGAGTTTATCACCAGTCAGCTGTCACTGCACATGGTCACTTCACAGCTTCACAGTCATGATGATCCCATTTCACCACATATTTGCGAATCGAGACCAACAAAACCGCTTTCGCTGTCTTGCGGCTTGCCCCATGTTGGAAAAGAAACCGAAAGGGTCTTGGCCCTTGGCATTATATCACAACAAACTCACCATGTTCGCCTGGGTGAATACCTACTCTACCTATCTCTCGCCTTCGTACGAATCATCCAAACACATCGGGTCTGTTTTGGACCCCATCTCCTCTAATCCATCCACTAGATCATGTTGGTCGTCGTCCAGTTTATCGTTCCAAACCACCTCATGCTGCCTACATGCCAGGCCACCATGTATTGGACAATGAACGGATACTACACAACCCAAACCTCAGTGTAGTACACACATATGAACCCACCCATCACAGTCACGACAGACGGCAGTATAAGGTATGAACTCCAAAAGATCGTAGCAATGAGGTTAAAAGTTCCGTTCCAGCGGTTTGGTTGGGGATATTAACTCGCATGCTTTGTCTGTCAGTCTGTGTCACTGTGACACGAAACCTTGACAAACAACACATACTTTCTTTAATCGATGTCACACCTCTCTCTACCCTATGAAGTTGCGCGGGAAAGGGTAGAAATGTTGCGAGCCAAGAGGAAGCGAAGAAGGATTCACCAACCGGAGACACAATCCGCACTGCAGCTGAGGAGTTGTTGGAGGAGGAAGGACCAAGCAAGTGAATTTCATGAACTGTTGGTTCGAGAAGAAAGACCGGGAGTCAGAAGAATCGCCGGTGAGGGATGGGTGGGTGATGGACACGTGAGTCTTCCTCTACCTGACGAAAACTTCCATGGATGAAGAGCGACACGATGAGAACTGACACCCAAAGGTGTAATACAAGATTTGGCATCAAATGTCCCTGTCACTATCGGTCCAAGTCCCTGTCGAACCTCGGATGTAATGGGCGTTCGAGAATTGTTGCGCAATGCAGACATCTCGCCCACATGAGTAAAAATCAAGCAGTGGTACGTGTACATGAACAAATGAAGCTGAACAAAAGAAACCGTCATTCCTGCTCTAGAGGTATGTTCTTCACCCTCGTCTCCTTCTGTGTCTCCAAATTTTTCTTTCCTCATACCCGTATCCCACTTTGTCGTCCCTGAATGTTTACGTCCTCAAGGGAGCTTTTGTCTTTCCAAATCTCATTTCCCAATGTCATTCCCCCAACTGTTCTCATCCAACTACCCTCGCCACCTTCCCTCCATTTCATCACCCGCTCTTTTCAGAAGCATACGCTGGTTTACAGCTCAAGCCTTGACCTATCCCTTCCACGATGCCCTCGTATCTCTCTCTTTGAGCTTTACCACCTCGCCGTCCTAGCAGGGTAGGCAGGCATATCACTACCACGTCCCTCAACAGTCATCGTAACCTCTTGCGTCCTCATAATCGTTCCCGCAGGAGTGGGCGTGGCACGACCCGGAACACCAGGCCCTCCCCCATTCCCATTCCCATTGCCCTTTCCATGTCCACCCATCACCACCCCCGTCACCGTCCCCGCCGAAGACCGTGAGCATTCAATTCCATTACCCTTTTGCATGGCGTGAACCTGCATCTGTCCCTTGCCATCATGCCCATGCCCATGCCCATGCCCATGCCCTGCCTCCTGTCCGTTTGTCATCAAAATCAAAATACTCTCCTGACTCTCCGAGGCCTTCGCGTTATGACTATACCCATCCTCTCCTCCCACTTCGGTAGCAGAACAAGTATCCGACTCGGCCGGCGCCACGACAGTCCTTAGTAAATCATCGTCTGGGTACGCTACCTTTGATTTCGATCTCAAGGTATTGTTCTTGGACTTGTTGCCACTGCCGGCTTGGAGTTCCACGTCGGTGGACTTGGACAGTTGCTTGTGGGTGTGCCGGCCGTAGGCTCCACTGGACTTGTAGCCGCGTGACTGAGGGGTGCTGCAGAGGGTGCGCCGGCCCATGAGGACGTCGAGGAGCGGTTGGAGGAGGGGGATGCAGGAGGCGATTATTATGGTGCTGCCTTCGATGCTGTGAGGGTGGGAGGAGAGGTTAGTGATATAGACAGGAGGGAGCGGGACGGGGCGGATGGAGGTTGAAGATGGGGACTGCCTGGACGGTCACTGATCGGACCAGAGGGGAAAACGTGGAAGCGGGAGGAAGTGGTTCGAAGGGGTTTCAGATGGAATTGAAGCTTACAGGGACCAGATGACCAGATCAGTGGTATCCCAGGAGAAATCAGTCCCGGCCAGAGAGGGCAGACGAGTGGATTTGTAGATGGAGACGATTGCCGAGACGGACCCGATGCCCAGGGCGAAGCAGAGGGCGATCTTCTTCTTGTTGTTGATCTGCAGTTTGAAGAGGACGATGGTGGGGTAAACGGCGAGGTAAAGATCGGTAAGGCCGGAGAAACCTGTGGGCGGGAAAGGTGAGTTAAACATTGATCTCATCTGCTCTTCCTTCCCACGCCAATGGGAAGGGACGATCGCCATTACTTACATCCAGCAACCATCGAATACCTCACCAACAACCACGGACTCCAGCACTTTGCGTTGGTAATCGAAAAGTCCCATTGCGCCCGCGAAGGCGTGCACTGGGCAAACAAGATGACGGCGCAGCCAAGGATAGCCACCTGGCAAGTGCCGACCAGCACCCAGAGGAAAACACGGTGCCACCGGCTCGGGTTCAGTAGCCGCGTCAGCAGAGACACGACGGCGAACTTGGGGATGGTGAAGGCGAGAATGCTGGGCGTGAAGCTGAAGAAGGCCCATTTGATCATGTGCTGCTTTTCATCGAGGGTTAAGACGTCGAAGTGCTTGCCGAATCCATAGTGCACGGAGGCAATGGTCATGCCGACGCAGATCCATGCACATGCCTAGAGGTAGCAGGTGGGAGTGGTTAGCATTTGATGATGATGATGATGATTACTGACTGGCTGGCAGATGTTGGGGAAAAAGAGAGAGACTCACTGCTCCGAGGAGGATCAAACAATCATCCACCTCTAGCTTCCCCAGTATCCTCGTCCGCACAAAGAGACGAGCAAACACAAAGACGGTGCTGACGGCAACGATGGTGGTGATGATGGCGATGGCCTCTGGGCCCTTGTTGGCCTGGATGTACGCCTCAGACAGCCCTTGGTTTCCAGAGGCTGGCGGAGCTGATGCTGGGTCAGCCATGGCTGCACTGAGTACTGACTGGCTGTCTGTGTGTCAAGATGGTATTCGTCCTGTGGAAGTAAGACATTCTTATGTCATGCCACTTCCATCATGACATGACATTGATGGCTTCCACAAAAACGTCTTGGAAGTGCATGAGATGCCTGCATGAAGAGGCTTTTTGGAAGAAAGGCGTCCATGTGGCGTTTATTCGCCATTGTCAACTCTCATGCAATGATTTGATACAGATCAAATATCCAGCTTGCTTCTTCTGTTGTTGGTTGTCTCATGAAAATACCTTCTAGTCTGGATCTTTCGAGGATTCTCTTGCGAGGGTTGCGAGGATTGGATTCGGAACGAGGTTGGAGAGATTCAGCTTGTAACCTTAAACCCTTCTCACCATCAACCTGTAACCAACAATAGGTGTTGAGCCCCTGGCACCCGCAGGTGATTGAATGAAGACAAGGAGGCATGGAGGCGAGTCTGCGTGCAGTGGTGTCATCAAAAGCAACTCCGGCCCCCTTCCTACTCGCAGAACCAGAAACCGACAAACTCTGGGTCGATCTTACTTCTTCCAAATCACAATGCTACCTCGGTTCGACAACCCGTGCCTCTCTCCAACCGTCTGGAACCGATACCTTCCAGGTTCCTTGGTGCCCTGCTGAAGGGGTAAAGTCGAAATGCATATCAGGGCATCGCCGGGGACACGAGTACGATATAACCTTGACACGATGTCGTTGCTTTTCGAACCTCATCGGCATGAAAGACCACGTTCCGCGAGGTTTGAGACCTGCAGACCTCATGCAGCCCATCTACCGAATCACAACAGTCTTCGAACGGCGTGTTGTGTGAGTGGCTGGAGTCAAAATCCTCCGAAAATGGAAACGATTATAAGTGGTTGAGAGCACAGTCAAGCGAGCCTCCCTCTTGATAAACAATTCTCAGCTCTTATCACCACCCTTTTATCAACCCTAGGTCTGGATTGATTGATGCAATCCCAGGTCCGGATATTCGACACCTCCCAGGTTCACCTCCTTAACAATGGAGAATATTCCGCCGAATTTATTTCCACAGGGTGACCTGATGCCAGCCCTCCATCCGGCAACGATCCGCGGGCCGCGTTACATCATGGATTTCCATGACTGCACAATCGAATGTTGAGTGGCATGCAACACCGTTTTGTTTAGTGCCCCAGCCCTCATAAATACACTGTGCGTTAACGACATACCCGTTCGTTCGATTCGTTCCTCCGTGTTGTTGCAATGGGCTCGGGTCCTCGGTTACAATCACCGCGCTACACTTGCCTCATTGTTGACTTTGCGACTCTGTGTAGAAGGGGACCTTCTCCGTCACTGATCATTTGCTGGTTTGCTTTCGTCTCCTGCAGGTTCCTTCCAAGGGCAAGAACGGCCTTGGATTCAGGTTGCTTCGTTCATGCAGCTGAGTTCTAGGTTGCAAGAAACTCTCATCTCGATAAACGTGGTGCTTCTCCGTAGCATCGGTTCTCCTGCGTTTCTTTGAGTTGCGTGGCCGTGGTGTGGTCATCACCCAGTTCCAATTCGAGAAAACTGATGCACACCAGCACGGACATCAGGAACAACCCAAGCCTACGGCATCATGAATGATACCTTTTAATTGTAGACAAAGCATGCAAAGCGACATCCACTCTCTCCAACCCTCCCCCAGCGCCCCAGATCCTCAATCAAACCCGCAAAAAACGTGCTATTCCATGTTCGCCATGAGTTTGCGAACATTGACCCTGAGGGCCTGGTGTTTTCCCACATCCACACAGAAAACGCCATTAATCGCCAGCCATGCAAAAGTCTAGACTCTGCGACATCCGATTATGGAGATTGCTCCCAGTACCCCCCTCGGCTCGGCATGGCAGCCCCGTTTGGGATGGGAGATAGCGATACTGCGGGATGGACATGCCCACATGGCGGGGGTGGCATCCGCGTTATCTGAGGTAGCGTTTGAGTGTGGGCTCGCTACAACATCGACCTCTTGCGTTGCCATCCCCATCCCCATGCAATGGAGACAACATAAAGGTCCGGAGGGATCCAATTGCATGAAGATTGGTGTTCGGAAACCGGCAGCGAGCACCTTCTTATTCTGTTCATGATATATCCCCTTCCACATCCTCCCATCCTGAGAAGAAGGTTGACCTCTGAGCCCTTCCACTTCATCACCAACCATCCCATCCACTCGTTTCTTCCACCTCATTCAGTCACCCAAAGCACACGCAGTTGTCAGTGACACATCACACTACAACCTCCACAATGGCCGTCTCCGTCCAATCCCCCACCCGCGCCCGCACCACCGGTCACCGCACCAGGAAATCCACCTCCTCCGTCTCCGTTGCCCCCGTCTCAGGGCCTCAACCCATCGACTCATCCATCATCCACCAACCCAACGACCTCTCCTCGGTGCCCTCCCTCCTCTCCACCATCCTCACCCAAGGCATCGCGGCCGTCTCGTCCCCCTCCGACGACGCCACCCGGCTCGCCCTCCTCTCCTCCGCCCGCGCCTTGGTGCTGGCCCTCGAGAAGCCGCGCGAGACCATGATCCGCCAGTGCTGGGCTGACACGACTTGCTTCGCTGCCTTGTCCATCGGCGTGGACACGGGCGTGTGGGCGTACCTGGGACAGGACGATCGTCCCAAGACGGTGAGAGAGATTGCGAAGCACACGGGCTTTGAGGAGGCGTATTTGGGACGGTTGTTGATGCATGTAGCTGCCATGGGACATATTGTGGAGGTCGGGAAGGATGAGTATAAGCCGACGAACTTTTGTAAGGCGTTGGGAATTGATAGGTTGGGTGTCGCCTATCCTTTGTTGTGAGTTTCCTCCTCTTCTTCTTCTTCTCCCCTCCCTTTTCCGTTCTGTTGTTGAGAATGAGAGAGAGCATAAATTGACTGACGGGAAACAGCACCGGACCAGGTAACACCGGCGGTGTCTTCCGCTGCATCGCCTCCTTCCCCTCCTACCTCAAATCCACCAACCTCACCACCCCGACCTCCATCACCAACAGCAACACCCAGTTCGCCTTCAACACCACCAAGAACTTCTTCGAGCTGTGCCACGACCCGGCCTACGCGCCCATGGGCGCCCAGTTCAACACGCACATGGGGTCGTACGCGTTCGGCCGGCCCACGTGGGTGGACGAGGACTTTTACCCCGTTGAGGAGCACCTGCTTGAGGGCTTCGATGGTGAAGATGAGACAGCGGTGTTGTTGGTGGATATTGGTGGTAGTATCGGTCATGATTTGCAGAAATTTAGGGATGTGTTCCCGGAGGCGAAGGGAAGACTAGTGCTGCAGGATTTGGAGCCGGTGGTTGCGCAGGTAAAGGAGGGCGAGTTGGCTGAGAGTATTGAGAGGATGGCGTATGACTTTTTGACGGAGCAGCCGGTTAAGGGTGAGTTCTTCTGCTTCCATTCCTTGGTGGACTGTTCGATCGGACAGTGACACTAACGCAAAGATCATCATAGGAGCCCGCGCGTACTACATGCACTCGGTCCTGCACGACTGGCCGGATAAGCAGTGCATTCCCATCCTGGAGAACGTCAAGGCGGCCATGAAGCCGGGGTACTCGCGCTTGTTGATCAACGAGAACGTCATCCCTGACGTGGGCGCGAACTGGGAGAGCACTTCCTTGGATGTCATGATGTCGTGCTTGGTGTCGGCGAAGGAGAGGACAAAGGATGAATGGGTGCAGTTGTTGGAGCGCGATGCTGGGCTCAAGATCACCGGCTTTTACCCGGTTGGGAATGGTGTGGAGAGCATCATTGAGTGTGAGTTGCCAACAGAGGAGAGTGAGCTGCCGAAGGAGGAGAGTGAGTCGTCGACGGAGGAGTGTACCTGCGGTGCACCTGTTATAACCGTAGCAGGCGTGCTTTGACATCCGCCGTTGTTTGGCCCACTTGACCCACCAAGACCGTCGGGTGCCGTGTCCGATTCCGGTCTCCACGTACGGAATTGTGGGGCCGATCGCCCGGCGATTACGGGAGTGGTGCCACGCGTTGCGCTTCTCTTGTAGAAGACTGAATGACACCGTGACGCTTCTTTCCAGTGTGCCTTGGGCCGGCATCCCGTCAATCACTTATACTAGAGTTCAGTCCGCCACCAGCCAAGTCGTTGGCACTCCGGCTCGATTATGCCTGCCCAATCTCCGCTTTCAGTGTTCTTGATACTGCAACGGCCAGCCAAATCTCCATTCCTGTCACTCTTTTTCTTTGCTGTTGGCAAACCCGGTTCATTGATGGCCTTATGGCTTCCAAAAATTGGGGTCAATGGCTTCGTGAGTAAGTGGTAACCCAGCTTTCTCCCACGCGGTACGCTACCTTTTCTTTTTTTTTCACTGGGCGCATGGATTTTGTTTGCTTCGTTGTTCATTGCTCATAGTTGTCCAAGCAAGAGCCTTCCAGAAGCCTGGGAATCCTCGACCTTGTTTGGCTTTTTGAAGCTATTCTCAGTTCACCCCCTGACATTGACTGGTCGGGCTGTGGTTGAACAACACCAAGATGAGGTAGCCGGCATACGTATACTGTGGTATGACTATACGCCGCTCAAGGTGGTGGATGGGTTCGAGACTTTGAGTAAGGCGTCTTGACTTGATGCTTTTGTCCCTTGTCCTGGAGCCGGTATCTCGTCGTCGTGTCCATGGCAAACGTGCTTATTCTGTGTGTGTTTTGTTCGTTGCTGTTGACCGTAAGGGAATGAAGCATTTCTCCAATGAAATTCTGGGGGAATTCAGAAGTGGTGATGCAAATTTGAGAATGCGAAGAGCGTGGTGAGATGTTGCTTTTTCCGAGTGTCCAATGTGAGTTTCTGTTTGTGTTTTGATTGAAACCCAAATGATGACGTCTGGAGATACAGTGGGGAGTTGTTTACAGCGGCTCTCGGTGGACCGCTGTACTAACAGCAACGCTAGTATTTTTGGAGGGGATGAGTTATCGTGATAAGATAAGCGAGACACACCCTGATTCAGCACGTGAGCTCGCACAGCTGTTCGAGTTTAGCGTGTCCTTGGACCCCGCGTCGCGTTAACTTTACCTCTACACAATCCTAAAACTCCCAAAGTCAGTCAATTGTATCTCACCACCTTGTGACTTGTACCGATCCGATGCTCATTTCTGCCCATTCCTGCATCGGTTATCAGTTCTGCTTGGACCATCATTACGCCATTTGACGGGCCACTCCGGACCGCCCTTGCGCCCGCCGGCAGTTGAGGTTCAGCCAAGGTACTTACTTGCATCCACGCACTGCTTCCGTTCCGTGGTACAGCTGCATACCTGACTTACACGGACACTGCCCACAGCACCGTATACTTAGTCATTTTCGATCCATTTGCTCGACCATCTTCTCGATTTTTCCCCTACTCCTTCGGAAGAGTACACCTCGTCCTCTTCGCCTCGACATCACATCCTACCTCCGAACACATAACCCCCCCGAAACTCGACAGCCATGGCACCACCGCGACTGCCTGATCTGCCGACCGAGCTGATCTACCTCATCGCCGCCCATCTCCCCAAACCATGCGATCTCTCGGCGCTGGCCCGCACAAACCAACGGCTCTACTGCATCATTAACAACATCCTCTACACCGGAGCAGTCAAGCCCGGCAGCGACCCTCAACCCCTTCTCTGGGCTACCCGACATGGAGTCCCATCTACCGTGGACAAGGCCATTTGCGCCGGCGCCAAACCAGACTACCTCTTCGAGTTCGTTCTCTCCCGCAAGGCCTGGGAACTCGTCTGTATCCTCGAACGCGCCGCCGCCCCCAACCAGAACTCCGACTTTGACGATTGGAACTGGTCCTCTTCCTCCAACACCACCTACGCCAACCCTCAAACCCCGGAGCTCTACCGCGACCTTCACGATATAATAGGTACCATGCGCGCCCCGTGGGATCACCGCCCCAACCCGCCGCCCAACGTATACTCGAACGCCCTTCTCGACCTGTTCGAGAGCGAACACCCCGAAAATGCCCAAGATCACCATGGTTCCGACACTGAACCCCTTTCGGAGCCTGATGGTCCCTTGCCCTTTCCCCCTCCACCCGGAGGAGGCTATGTTGGCGCTTTTCTGGGTAACCTGTTTCAAGCCGTTCACAACCACAACCACAACCCGTTCAATGACGATGACGATGAAGACGACGAAGAGGATGACGATGACCTCATGGATGAAGACAGCGAGGTGGAGGAGTGGGTACACAATATACGCTCAAGGGGAATCACACGCCGTTGTGCCCCCATTCACATAGCTGCCAAAGAGGGCCATAACGCCGTCATCGAAAAGCTGCTGGAGCACGGTGCCAACATCCATCTCGAGGCAGAGTGGTACTGCTCCTGCCGGCCGCCCCTCTCGCTGTGGGAGACGCGCGAACTCGAGGCTGCCGGCACACTGCGCGAGAATCTGGAAGCTTCATACTGGCCTGCCATCCACCTAGCCATGTGTTTTTCCCGCTTCGACACTGCCAAGTTTCTTATTGAGCGCGGTGCCCTTAACAATATCCCCAAGGGTCATCTGGGTTTTACCGTCCTCCACCAGGCTGCTTCCATAGGAAACCTGGAAATGCTCAAGTACATTGTCGAAGCAGGCAAGGCCACCTGGCCCACGGTCGATGTCGAAGACGACATGGGGCTGACGCCTCTGTACTTTGCCTGTGCCAAGGGTCATTGGGACACCGTCGTCCCCTACCTGATTGAGAAGGGCGCCAACATAGACAAGGAGTTCGAGGTGGACCTGTGGGAATTTAAGGCCAAGACGACACTTCTCGGCGAAGCCTGCTACCTCGGCCATTACGATCGCGCCTTGAAGCTCATCGATCTGGGCGCACATGTCAAGCAGCAACTCGAGTTTAACCAGCTAACATTTGGCAGACGGCACCGTCTGGACGAAGCGGGTGACGAGGATGAGGAAGCTGGCGATGGCATCAAGAGGATCCCGCTTCTCCACGTATGCTGCACCTCCCCTCGACCAAAGGAGGATGATGGTTACTACTCGACCCCGTCACGGTCGACAGGCCTAAGACTGGCTAGAAACGAGGAGCCGACAGCCTTGGAACGCGTAGCCCTGATAGTCAAACTTCTGGCTGCTGGCACGCCTATTGACCAAACCTGGGACGACGGCAACGGAGAGACGCCTTTGTTCATGGCTGCGCAGTTTCACGTCACCTCAGCAGTCAGAGCTTTGTTGAAAGCTGGTGCGAATCCCCTTGTCCATGACAAAAATGGTCGAAATGCCTTGATGGCCGCACTTTATCACCCACTTGGTGAGGAGCCCTGGACCACGTTCGCCGAGTGCTTTCCATCGAGTACCCGTCCAGACAAAGCACCCGAGATTGTGCGCTTGCTTCTGGAGGCTGGCGTTCCTGTCAACCATCGGGACTCACAGGGACGTACCGCGTTGCACCTCGTCTTCCGCCCGAGGAGAGCTTACGAACTAGGAGCAGCAACCGACGCCATCTGCAGCATCGTCCGATTGCTGTTTGACGCCGGTATTGACCCATGCATCCGCGATAACGACTACACCCCCGTTATGAAGAACGCACTCAAATGGGATTACGGCCGCGCTGCTGATCTCCTGGTCCAATTCCACGGTCCCACCCTCGGCTCGCATTTGAGCCCCAGGGAGTTCCGGAAATACTATTTGATGATAGCCGAGGCCACCTCTCCCAGGCTCTACGCCACTTATGGAGCTCCTGAATCAGCCTCTTCATATGATTTGCTTCTCGATATCGACAGCTCTCATCACCTCACCTCCGACAAGACCCTTTTATTCGACCTGATCAAGAAAGGCTCTGACAACGGTGAATGCTTCACGGCAGCCGAAAAGCTTGCCAAGCGTGGCCTTCATCGCATGGACCTGACCCTCGACGAAAAGGTAAGATTGATGAAGAAAAGTGTTGACCATGACCTGCACAAGCTGCTGATAGAGGCTGTCAACGTCACCGTCCACGCCGTCGAGCCGTCCATCCTTCGGGACAAGGCCGTGCTCGAAGAAGCCCTGCTGCACATCCTCCGCCATCCCAGACGGCTACACTTTTCTGAACCGATGATCGCTCATCTAATCAACGCCGGCGCCGACCTCCACCGACCATGCCCTTACCAACTGGAAAAGAAAGAATCCGATACCACCACCACTTCCACTACCTACATGCCACCCCTCTACACCGCCATCCGCTACGGCCACGTCAAGGCCGTCAAGTACATGCTCTCCAAGCAGCCCATCCGCGGCAACCCCCACGCCCCGCTCAACCCCTACCTCCACCAGGCCGTCAACCTCGACCCGGCCATCAAGGAGAAATGGCCCATCACCAACCAGCAGGACGAGGCCAAGACGCGCAGCGACATGGTACGCGCCCTCGTCGAGGCCGGCGCCGACCCGGCCCTGCTGAACAGAAGCAAGGACACGGCCCTGTCAATGCTGCTCAAGGGCCTGGCCGCCGACCCAGATCGCAAAATGCTCAAGAGTCTGTGTCATCTGATCAAGCCGCTTAGTCGGGGGGTCGATATCAATGCGGAGAATAAGGAGGGGAGGAGTGCGGTGGAGTATCTAAAGGAGTTGATGGTTTTGAAGGAGGTGGATGAGAAGGATAAGGAGAGTACGAGTACGAGTACGAGTACGAGTACGAGTACGAGTACTAGTGAGGCGAAGGCCAAGGTGAAGAGGATTAATGAGGGGGTGAAGTTGTTGAAGTCGAGGGTGGAGTTGGTGAAGGATCCGGATGAGGAGAAGGGAGAGGGGAGGATGGTGATTAAGTGGTTGGTGCCCAAGGGGACGGGGAGAAATCCGTTGTGTCCGGTGCCTGCTCCTGCGAGGGAGAGGTATGGTTATATGTAAGGTAGGGAGGGGGTTGTGTGAGCTGGGTTGGGTTGGGTGTAATGGTTTGCGGAGGAGTTTGTTTTTGTTTTGTGCGATGGTATGTATGTATGTATGTATGTATCTTGTTATGTGTGTTCAATATGGTCGGGTATGGTCGGTATATATTGTTGTTATCAGAAGGAGACGGATAAAGCGCATCACATATTTTAGGGCATGATGGGATTTTGTAGAGGTAGCGTTGTGTTTTTCGCGTCGTGGGTCTTTCGTTGCTGACGATGTACATCATAGGAGAATTGAACTGTGGCTGGAAATGGTAGTGTTTCCAGCGGGGACTGAGACTGAGGCAGTGGTGCCCTGACTGATGAGCCTTGGCTGTGTGGCGGAAGGAACTCATGGCGTCGTGCCCCCAGGTTGTCGGTTTTCCGCGTACTTAAGCTGGGTCTTCGCCACTTTCTCGTCTTCTCAAAACTTACACCAATCAACCGTCAATCCAGCAAGTCAAGCATCATTCCCATCAACATGAACCGTTCCCTTTTCTACAGGTCTTCCCTTTTCATTCGCCGTGCATTATCGTCAGACCTCCAGCATGGACCTCTCAGCTCACGACGAATACAAATGCAGCATTGGGCTGGACCTGACGATTGGCCCGTCGTTGGTATGCCCACCACGAGACGGTGGCAGCCTGACTACCTGGATGGAGAAACGTGCATTTCGTGGCTTGGGATGACTGGCGTCGGTCGTTCCGCTCAAGTAATCTGGTCCCCGCTCTGATTTCAGCTGATAAGACTGCGCCTTCTTCTGATCATATCAACCCACAGGCGGCTCTGAACTTGACTTCATCCTTCTTCGCCACCTCACTTCACATTCATCACGAAAGTGCATTATAAACCAGACGCCCAGACGTGAACCGTCCGTCTCTGGAACGGCTACGACACCAGAATCACCACTCCAGTCCCCTCGGTGACGGCAACCACGGCACCTATCTACCATACTGCTTCAATCCGGAGCCGTCCCAACCTCTCAGTCATTCCTGGCATCATGGGGGGCAAGATAACTCGCGCTCGGCACGTTTGTGATGGCGAAGGACGCCTGTCGACCGCTTGTTGGCGATTCGTGGCCAAGATACCCTTCCTCCCCGTGAAAAACAAAGAAAAGAAAGAAGGTTCAGTGGATCTCTGTCAGCGCTGCAAAGAGCTTGATCTCGACGGCATCTTCAATGGTCCATGTCCCTCCACAGACAGCGAGATGGTTTTGTTTCTCGGCACACTCGATAAGGAATCTCCATGCGCATTATGTCGATTCTTCTACTCCATGCGACGGCCAAGCCTCACTGGTGAAACGACGGACTTATATCACCTACGGAAGTACAGCCTTGGCCATCTGTTAGACTCGTCAGAATTCCCGGGTGCCACGTGGGCTGTTGATTACGGTTGGGGATCCGATAATTGGGTGGCTGGTCGAGATTACCATTTGCTATCAAGAACGATGGTTGACAGCTCTAGGCCATTGTTTCTCCCACAATCTCCGTCGTCGGACTACTTTGCACAGATGAAGGCTGGGCCATACCCGCAACCGACATTGAAAGGTTTACCCGTCAACGAAACATCTGTCAACTATCCTTTACTGCGTGGCTGGATCAAGGAGTGTGGGAATCACCGAAATTGCTCTTACACTATCGGGTCTCACCACCTCCACGGACCACCAATACGTGCGATTGATTGCACAACTCGATTTATCGTGAATCTACGGCCTGGTGATAGATACATAGCACTTAGCTATGTTTGGGGTAACAAGCCGTTGCTTGAGAACAAAGGCAGTAGGTTTCTGCCAGCCAATGCCCCAAAGGTTATTGAGGATGCAATGGTTGTTATCAAAGAGCTTGGCCAGCAGTATCTTTGGGTCGACCAATTCTGCATCGATCAGCATGACGAGCAGGACAAGCATGCTCAAATCAGGAACATGGATCATATCTACGAAAGGTCTCATGCAACTATTGTAGCATTTTCCGGACATGATTCATCTTGTGGACTCCCCGGCGTTAGCAGCGTGCGGAGAAATACTCAACCTCGGTTCACATCTTCTATTTTGACATTACTAAGCTTCACGCCTAGCCTAACCCAACAATCTTTCGAAGCTTCGATTTGGATGAAAAGGGGGTGGACCTTTCAAGAAGCCCTCCTCTCACGGAGATTGCTTATCTTCACTCAAGAACAGGTATACTTCCACTGTTCGCTTGGGTGGTGGGTTGAAAGCAGCACTCCAAGACCTCGCATGATTTGCGGATTCAATAGGTCTGGCTTCATTGACGTCCCTTACCCGACCAGGCAAGCGATGCAATCCATTTCACCTTTGATCAGGTTGCCTTCTCGAAGATCCGGGCACCAAGTTCAAGTAAAGTCGGGACGTCTCCTTGAGCTTATCCAAAGATTTACGCAACGACAATTGAGCTTTCAACTCGACGCGCTGGATGCTGTCCGGGGCCTGCTTTCACGAGTCGATGCTCTTACCTATTGGGGGATCCCCGTCCACGAGCTCCCTCAAAGCTATAGAGCTATCTTTAACTTCCACGCTTCGGAGGTGAATGCTCTCTTTCTTCAATGTCTCTTTTGGATGCCCCTTCGTGCAGCTACGGGCACAGAATACATTGGCCGTCGTGAAGGATTTCCAACTTGGTCATGGCTCGGTTGGAGGACACCAGTCACTTTTCTAAAGTTCGACCGTGATAACTGCTACAGCGAAATTAAATCGGGTGTCAAAGTTGAACGCACCAGCGGTAAACTTGTCTCGCTGCCTAAACTTGATGAACTATCAGACGACGAGGTGTACCGCTCAAGAGTCCTTCCCGAAAAAACAACTTAGCTGTGGATGGAGGGGCTTTTTTTTTACGCTGGGCTTCCAACCTGGCAGCAGCGGTCATTGTGGTGAATTTCGCTTCTGCTTTGACCATCCACTGGGTTGCTCAGATCACCCATGCGAGTACAACACCCCAGTAAACTTTCGGTTGGATGTGAAGGGCTCTGAAGAGATATCAAAGAGAATGCTGAAGAGAAAGTGGGGTTGTCTCTTGATCTTCTCATATTACACGAGCATGCATCACTTCCTCGTCCTTGATGAAGAGGATGACGCCGCGTACTGTGTTGGTACACTTGGTCTCTGGGATAGGTCCGGGGACCTGCTTGAGAAGCTGAAGACACAAGTGCCGCATGCACAGAGAAAGATTAGACTGGGATAGGAAGTTTCATTGAACTTATACTTGTAAACATTTCAGTCCACTTCGAGCCGTTTACACAATCATCACTTCCGCCATGATACCTCTACCATACAGGGGGACTCAGCAGTGGCAAGAGAAAATCTAAACGACCTACCATTCCCCATCCTCAGCCAGCGCAATTCCAGTACTTCCAGCCATCGACCTTATTTCAGCAGGCAGATGTAGGTACGTAGAACTGCCGTCGCAGATACGGCGACTCAAAAAAGGCCCGTTGGTGACGATGGGTACCGGGCTCGGCACGGCACGGCACGGCACGGCACGGGACGGCACGGCACGGCACGGGACGGCACGGCACGGGACGGGTGGGGTAATACCAGCCGGGGAATCCCCGAACGGCCCGGAATGGCGGGGTATGGCGGGGTTCAAACGTACGTCAGCACTGCCCCGATGCCAAATATTTCTTCTTCACCTTCGACACAACATCAATCTGGCATCAAAATCGTGAATTGAACATCACCAACGTCACAACAACAGGGGAAAATGCCAAGTCAACTGATCAAAAACATGTAAAATTCCAAGCAAACGGACTCCGAAAAGCCAACCCAGTTACATGCCCTGCCGACAACTATCATCCAAAAAGGAAATGGTATCAAACTCCCCGTCGTCATCTCATCCATCATTTCATCTCCCGCATCCATTGTCCATTACTACCTCCCATCTACTCATCCCAAGTAACCTTCATCGTCACCGGGAACGGCGTCACAGCGCCCCAGTCCTCCCTGAGGTAGAAAGTCTGGCTAAGCTCCTCGTTCAACTCCCTCGTAATCTTCTTCAGCTGGCCCTGCGGCCCGGGAGCCCGACGGACGTTGCTCCGCTTGAACAAGCTGCGGAACATCTCCGTCAACGCGATCTGGCTGACCTCGTGGCCAAGGTACGAGTGCGTGCCGAAGAAGAAGATCTTGTAGGCGTCCAGCGGGCGGGACGGGTTGATGTCCTCGGGGCTGGGAAAGGTGGTTGGTGATTGGGCAGCGGATTTCTGTTTGTTCTTGTTAGTACCCTGCTCGATGGACAATTCAGTGGAAGGGGAAGGGAGAGAAGAAACTTACAACACTAACAAAAACCCTATCACCAGGTTGCACCCTCACCTCGCCACCATCCTCCTCCTTGATCGCATCCACGGCACTCGCCTGCCTGAACGCTCCCAGCGTGTTACCCGACAACCGAATCCCCTCCAGAACATACCCAAGCAACTGCGCATCCGCCTCCGCACTGGCCGGCTGCCTCGCCAGCTCCTGGATAGCAGCCAAATGCGGCTGACCCGCCTCGCCGAGATAAAAGTCCACAGCGCTCGCGAACCCCTCCGCGATGCTCGGCACGCTCGACGCAACAATGGGCAAGACCTGGCCGAAGGCGACATCAGACGCGCTCAGTCCGGCCTTGGACAACCGCTTGACGAGGTCGCTGCCGTAGGCAGTCAGCGGGTTATCGTTGCCGCTACCACCCAGCAGAGAGCCAAAGAAGGAAGTCTGGCTCTTGACGCCGGCCTCCAACGCGCCGCCGAGCTGCGTGGCCACCGTGCGGGCCGCGTCGCGCAGCTGGTACGTCTTGACGGGGTCGTGGTCGTAGAAGATGGCGGCGAAGATGACGGCTAGCACGGCGTACAGCTCGTGAGGGGTGTACAAGCCCTTGGCGTTGTTCTTGCCCTGGAGGGAAATGTCGAATACCGTGGCGGCGAACAGCGTGGGCACAATGTTGCCGACGTCGCGGACTAGGTCGACGAGCAGGTGGCCGCCGACGTTGTAGCTCTCGCCGGCCAGGAGGGCGTCGGTTGTTTGTTGGAAAAAGGCCTTGACTTGGCTCGCCCACTCGGCGCTGTACAGCTGCTCGTGGATGTCGCGGCGCTGGCTGTCGTGGGCGTCGGGGTTGTTGTTTAGGGGATGGCCGAGGATGGACTCGAGACCGGCGTGCCAGGACGACTTGTACGCGCCCTCCTTCTCGTTGTCGAGCACGTGCTTGGCGCCCGCGTACGTGGTCACCTGGTGCGGCTTGGCCTGGCGGCCGGGCCGGCTCCAGTCGAAGAGGTGGTCGCGCTTGAGGTCCTTGAGGATCTTCTCGTTCTCGGCGGGGGTGACCATGGGGTAGTGGGCATACACGGAGTTCTCCTTGAAGTGGTTGGGCAGGGCGCGCAAAAAGAGCTTGTAGAAGACGCACCCGTGGTTGACGTTCAGGTCGTACTGCACCTCGTTGTAGCCCCAGTTCGTCAGGTTGCGCGGGTTGTAGTCGACGGTGTGGTGGCGGTCGCCGCGGACGAGGCAGACGGCGTCCGACAGCACCACGCGCGAGATGGTGTAGGTCGGCGCGATGCCCACGCCGGGAACCATGGGCGACTTGTGCTCTTCGGCGACGATGCCGGGGTAGAGCTCGACGAAGTCGGGGTGGTCGTACAGCCGGCGGAGAGCCTCGGACACGCCGGGGTCCGAGTTGATGTCCTCGAAGGTCTCGTAGGGCTTGAGGCCGAAGTGCTTGCGGAACTCGTTCAGGCCGGCAAGGTTCCACTTGCGGCCTTGGATGATGCCGAGGATCTCGACGGCCCTCATGGAAGGGGGGACGTTTTTAGCGCCGAACGAACCGGCCGGATCTTCGATGGCCTCGGCAATGCACTCGGCGAGCTCATCATCGTCGATCTTGCCGTTGGCGTCTCGGGTGAAGTTGCCCTTGCGCTTGGGAATGGGCCGGTCTGCCGGGTCCGCAGGAATCCTACCCTCGAACTTGGAGAAGCCCATGATCAGCTCGTGGAAGTTAACGTCGCTGCCGGGCTTGCCGAAGAGCTCATAGTAGAACTCCTCGATCCAGGCCTCGTCCTTGGCAGAAATGCACGAGTGCCAGCGGTAGCAAAGGTTGAACTCGGCGGACACCACGTTACCGGTACCGCGCTCCGCACCCTCCTTGGTGCCAACGTCAATGCCGGTGTCGGCACGGGGATCCAGTGTCCAAGTAGTGTCGACACGGTTGAGGTTGACAATGTTGCGGACGTAGTCGAGCAGGGTGATGTTGATGTACAGGCCGGACGTGATCAGCCTGGCGGTCTGGAACAGGTCATTGTCGTACTTCTTCCACGCCGCCTCCGCCTTCTCGCCCTCGAGCTTGGGCGACGGCTTGTTGAACCGGCCGTCCTCGTTGATGGCAATCAGGTTGTCGCAGGTGTAGTTGTGGAAACGGTTGAAGAAGATGAGCAGGACGCTGACGCCGGGAGGCATGCCCAGCAAACGCTTGTCGGCGTAGCAATCGACCTTGAGCTTACCGTCCTTGAAGGTACGGATGGTGTCTTGCATCTCCTGGTTGCTGCCATAGAGGGGAGAAAGGTCGAGGTAGGAAGACGTCTTGGACTTGCTCATGTCGCGGTAGTCGGTCCAGAACAGATCGTGGATGATGATGCTAGCCCAGTACCAGAGGATGCTGGACACGTTGTTGGGGTGCGACTTGTACTCGGTGCGCTTCATGACCGAATCGAAGATGAGTTCAGGGTCGGGAAGAGCGCCCTGCCTAATGACGTTCGGCCTCACGGACCGCGCGTAGGTGTTGCCGGCAGCACCGAGCTGGGGAAACATGATGTTCTGCAATCCGGTGTTAGCAATCTGTCAGTTCTTACCACACAGGCGGTTGAGGACATACGTTGCAAGAACCATCGGCCTTCCTGTACTGGTACTCCTCACCAACGTATATCGAAGGGGGATGCTCGAGTGTGTACCACAGCTCACCCAAGAAGGCGTTGGTCAACTCCACTCGTAGCTTGGAGTTGCTGGGGAGGTTAGAGACCATCTGGATGACCTTCTCCATGATCATGGTCTTGTCATCTGTGATCTTCTCGCCCTTAATCTTGGCCACGACCATGTGCTTCAGGGTCTTGAAGTCTGAAAAAGGTTTCCATTGCGTTAGCATTCCTGATCCTTGGTCATGGTCTGCTGGCGAAGGCACAACTTACCTGCCCATCGAAGGGTCATCAAGTCACTGCTGAGCTTGCCCCACTTCTTGTTCTCGCTGAAGGTGCCCGCGCCTTGCTGGGTAGGCAGAGGCTGGACAGCGGACTGGATGGTCTGCCTGTGTCTCTCGAACGCATTCTCTACTCCTTGTCTGCTGGCGCCGGTAAAGGGGAGCTTCATTGAGGTAGGCCTGGGCTTGGCCATGCTAGCCGTCCTCTCAGCGTTGGGGTCAGGGCCGATGACGGTCTGGCTCTTGGCCGCCTTGCCATTGACGCCATTGCTGGCCGAGTGGCCATTTGTGCCGTTCTGGTAGCTGGACATTGTGGCTGGTGGTTGGAATTCAGGGTATAATGGAAAGCTACACAGAAAGAAGAATAGAGGTACAGGTAGGTATGCACCCGCCTTTCAGAGTGCACTGGGGACGGGAGAGGGGAAGAGAGGGAGCAATGAACCCGAGAAGAGGTCGGGAGAGAAGAGGGAAGAGGCGAGGATGATGATAACTGCAATGGAAAGCAGTGCAGTTCGCAGAGAAGAACGACGAACGCCAGCTGTTTCTGATGTCACACAGGTTCACGGCATATCTCTCTTTGTATCCCGAAGCTTTCCTGAGCAGTGAGCTCCCTCCCCTGCTTGCTCCAATGATGTCTCGCCATGATGGTTACTGGTGAATGGTCACGGAAAATCTCTGAAGGGGGGTTGGCTGCTCGGCTTGTCAACAAGTGCCACTATCTGCACGCGTTGTGGGGGGGTTTGTCTCATTGTCTCATTGCGGAGGTTCGTCCACCACGGCAGACTGTCCCTCCGTCCAATGTCCATGTCCATGATGTGTTGTGCTTGTTGAAGTTTGGCGACAAAGCTTAACAATCAAAGAGAGAGAATCCACTCGGGCCATTTCCACTCCACTGCGGCTGGAAGTGATCGGTCTGGTGTGCATGAGGGAACGACTCGCGACGGAAACCCGCCAGATACCGATTGGATGAAGATCATTGAAGGGATTGACGGGAAGTGCGGGAAGTGAACCTTCCAATTGGTAATCAAGTTGCTTGTCTTCGATTGCTTCTCTTCCATTGGACTTTTCTCTTGTCCATCCCACCACCTTGTGCACTCTGTCGGATGCCAGCATGCGGCTGGTACACTCTCGAGGTACAAGGCCACAATGAGGTGTTACCAGACGATTATTTCTTCCCGTAAGGAAAGTCAGCGTAACTTCGGGAGCCAGATAACTAGCAGAGGAACGGGATTGAGGTTCAACCAAAAGTTATCTCAGGTCCCTCAGATGCTAGGACCAGGGTTGGACGGTGAGGGGGTTCCATGTTCGATGGTCTAAAGTTTTCGACTTTTCGAGTCGTAATGAGGTCGGTCAGTGTCTCAGAGGAAAGGAAAAGAAGTCTTGGGATTGGACGGCTCGGGCAATGGTGCATCTAGCTTCCAGCTGTGCTACATGGTGCAGCAGATCCAAATAATGTCGATCAGTGGGGTTCTGGGGCCGAGCTATCGCAGCGAGCATCTGTGGGTGAAAGGGGAGAGGAGGAGGACAGCCAAAGAGGTTCGCGAGGTACGTAAACAAGGAGTCAGGGGGGTGAATCCCGGGATTTGTTTGGCGGCTCTGGGGGACCGCCCCCAGGAGCCCTCTTCTTGACCTTCAGTACCCTTTCCGCCTTTGGACCCTGGGAAATCGCTGGGGATCGTCAGTGCAGTCTCTGATCTCGGGCTACGACCTGACTACCGAGTGGCTACCGAGTTAGCGGCACGATGCTAGTACCCAGTTGGTTAAAGTCCTCATCCGGGAACTGGAGAACCAAGATTCAGCGTCCCCATTACGCTAACTCATCTGGTGATAGTGTGTGACATAGGGGGCGGGCCGGCGATCTTGCTAACCACCACCCATGGGCAAGGACAACTTTTTCTGATCCAGCGGCCTCTGAAACATGCCCAATCAACAAACCCCCTTTTGAAGCCAGGATACCCGCCCCAGCCGCCTATCTTGAACCTCAATGGTCCCTCTGTGCCGGGCGGTATGCCGAACGGAACTCGTCCGTCCCAATTCGGATCCCTTGCATGTCTGGATACCAGCTGAAGATAGCCAGGGCCGACGGGATTGGGGGGATTGGGTGATTTGGGTCGCCGTGATGCCCAAATTTTTTCACACTACCCTCCTTCACCTCCATAACTTTTTGTCACCGCTCTCCGCAACAATTGACGTCGTCGTACACACCCAATCAGTCCAATAGGGCCAGCATTCCGGGGGGCCCGAGAGCCGGAGCGCCCTCGGGGACTCTGTTCGTCACCGTGTCTCGGAGGGTTCGGAGGGTTCGCGGTCGAGCCTATGATCGTGGACAAGAAATGGAGATATCTGCAGGCGACCTGCGAGAGAGAGATATAATCCATGATCGCAATCCACGCCAAATCCACCCCATTGTCCCCATTGCCAATGATCGCCTTTTTGGATTGTCGGTCAGGATGTCATCGTACTCCATGGGCAACAACAGTGGCTGGTCCTGGGAAGGCGGGGGACGCAAAATTTGATCGTCCTCGATTATTCCCGGGACATGGCCAAGATTGTCCGAGTCTCATGGCTCCCCAGAACCCCCCAGGGCGACATCCATGGACCTTCCAACACGAGACAATGGCGGGAAGAGAAAAAAGTCGCATAATGCAACCGGAACTCACCGTGTTCGACCTTCTTCCCTTCCACTTGTAAGACGTACCCCTATAATGCCGTCCAAGACAAGAATTTTTCTCAAGTCGGATCTGGATTAGGTATGTGGCTGCTGTGGGAGGTAGTAGAACCAAAAGTACCCGGGTTCCGCATCCAATAAGGCGGAAATGTTCCCCGTTCCCATCAACACACACATACACCTCACGCTGTGAAACCTATCCCCCCCTCCCCTCTTTCCGGGTCCCGACAAACCTGAACACTTTGTCGAGTTCGAAGACTTCAGTTGTGTGTGTGCTCAGTCGTGCTTCTGTCACACAAGAAGATCCTAGGACTCAGGTGTAGGAAATCATGGATAAGTCCCACCTCTTCCCTGGCGAATATGAGCCACATCACCATGGTGGTCATGCTCATGGCCAAGGGCCCAATGAAACGGACCGGGCTTCGCCGTTCGACAACCACGAAGACTATTTTTCGACACATTTGCCATCGAGACCTGTGACACCGATAGGAATGGACAACAAAGATCCCAGGACCGGCCGGCATCACCGGCCGCGCAAGATTGTCTTGTGCTTTGATGGAACTGGCAACAAGTTCCAGGGCGATGACTCGGACAGCAACATCCTCAAGATTTACAGGATGCTAGACAGGACGGCTGATGACCAATGTAAGTTCCGTAACTGGATCGAGACCGAGAAAACGAATGTGACTGCTAACAATCACCTCCAGACCACTACTACCAACGTGAGTTTTCATAATAACCCACCAGTAAAACACAACACGATAGCTAACACCTCCCAAAGCTGGCATCGGCACCTACGTCGTCTCCACCAGCCTCACCCGCACCAGCACCGTCGCCCGCCTGCGCTCATGGTACCAAAAATCCAAAGACTCGGCCATCGGCACCTCCTTCGACCAGCACGTCGTGGGCGGCTACCGCTTCCTGATGCGCTTCTACCGCACCAACGACGAGATCTACATCTTCGGCTTCTCGCGCGGCGCCTACGTCGCCCGCTTCCTGGCCGAGATGCTCGACTACATCGGCCTGCTCTCGCACGGCAACGAGGAGATGGTGCGGTTCGCCTGGAAGGCCTTCTCGAACTGGCAAGCCCGTAGATCCGACGACTCGCCCGAGGGCGTGCAGAAGAAGAAGAAGATGTACGAGTTTCTCAAGGGGTTTCGTGAGACGTTCTCGAGACCCGTGAGGAGGATCAGGTTCTTGGGTCTGTTTGATACCGTCAATAGCGTGCCGCAGTTTGAGTCGGCGTGGATGGAGAGAAGCAAGTTTCCGTATACGGCGCGCACGTCGGCCAAGGTGGTCAGGCATGCGGTTAGTATTGATGAGAGGAGAGCGAAGTTTAGGCAGGACTTGATCTACCAGAGCGCGCACAGGAAGTATAAGGATCGCCATATGGCGAGGGAGAAGTTGCATGAGTTTCAGGAGAAGTACCGCGGCCGGAGCCACCCACACGCTCCTGCTGCTGAAGGTGCTGGAAAGAACCGTGGCAGGAGACCCAAGCTTGCGGTGCCTGAGCAGGAGCCAGCTCCTTACCGGACGCGCTCTCACTCGGTTCGTTCTCATCGGACGAATCGATCTGGAGTATCGGGTAGGGACGGCCCCATTCATGACGGTCACTCTGAGGTCTCCATCGGTCCTCACCCCGAGACTGATGATGACGGTGAAGATTTCGAAGAGTCGGAGGACGAGCACGAGCAAGACATTGACGAGGTCTGGTTCTCAGGCGGCCACGCCGATATTGGCGGCGGATGGAGTGTCGAAGAAGGCCAAAAGCCTGCATCACATATCCCTCTGTGCTGGATGGTCCGCGAAGCGATGCGAGCCGGCCTGCACTTCGACCCCGACAAGATCCAAGCCATGGGATGCGTCGACCTAATGGATGAGATGGGCATCGAACACGGCCCCGACACCAATGGCACTCAAAACGACCACATGAAGTCCGAACACCTCGGAGGCTCAGCAGCAACCAACGGCAACGGAATCGCCAAATCCTCATCAGGGGCAGGCTGCACATGCTCCCACGGCACTACCAACGGCAATCAGCAAGTCGACCCCAACACCATCCCCAACATCACCGTCCGCAGCCCCAGCACCCCCCGAATCTTCCAGCAATCCTCCTGGAAATTCGACTCCTTCTCCTCCAAGGACAAGGCCGACAAGGGCGGTGACAAGCCAACAAGCCCCACCAAAGACAAGGAACCAGCCCCCGACACCAATGCCAACGGCCCCGCCAGTCCGACGAAAGACAAAGAAGCAGTCGAAGACGGTCTAAAGTCTCCCACCACCAGCAACGGTGGTAGCTCCAACTCCAGCTCTTCTTCGTCAGACTCCTCATCCTCCTGCCCCCTGCACAACCCCTGGTCCTTCAAAGACATGATCCACGCCTGCCACACCGCGCGCATCCACGATTCCTTGTCTTTCGACTGCGGCCTCAGTTTTGGGTCAGTCCTAGCCTGGAAGATGATGGAGTACCTTCCCTTCCGGCGTCTCGATTTGAGTGAAGACGGCAGCTGGAAACCGATCCGCTGGCCGCTTCCCTGCGGCGAGGTGCGCGATATCCCTGAGAATGCGAGGGTGCATGGGAGTGTGATTAAACGGATGCAGATGTGCGATAGTTACAGGCCGGGAAATCTGATTATTGGTGGTGGAGGGAGGGGGGTGAGGGTGGCGGGGAAGGAACATGGGATTGGGGAGTGGGTTTGTGTCAAGGAGGAGGGGGATCCGGTTGGGGAGGTGTGGATGAAGAAGAGCGCGCTGGAGAAGGCGGCGAGGGAGGCGGCTGGGTTGGGGAGTGGAAGTGATAAAGAGAAGGAGGGAAAGAAGGATGACGGAAAGAAGAAGGAAAAGAAGGAAAAGAAGTAAGGTGGTCGTGCGCTTGGTAGCACCAGGGTTTTGTTCGCTTTTTGAGTTCAGGATACCAGTTTATTTGCTTGGATAGTTGATACCAATTTGACTTAATTTGACTATATGTACCTATGAGGATATGTTTTCTGTCAAAAAAGCTTGGATTTGTATCCTTTCCCATGTCCAAATGCCAAAGTTGAGGCCAACATTGAACCAGAGCATGTTCTTCACAGATCGTGTTTGCCGTCTCCCGATCTCGCCCTCAGCGTGCGTGACCCCGTGCTACTTCTCCAGCTAATCTCTCCCCTCTGCCCTCCTCCAACTCCTTATCAGTTGACCTAGACTCAGTCACTCAACCCCTCGGCCGCAAATCTAATCCACTCATCCATAGAGGCATTCGTCATTCCCGCAAGCCGTCTCATGAAAGCTTTCATCAGGTCCATCTCCGCCTGAACCGCGTTGAGATCCTCCTGCAGTTTCTTCAAGGAGGCGGCATGCTTGTTGCACTCCTCCATCAATGCAAGCCGTCTCATCAAAGCTTTCATCAGGTCCATCTCCGCCTGAACCGCTTTGAGATTCTCCTGCAGTTTCTTCAAGGCGGCGGCATGCTTGTTGAACTCCTCCGTCAATGCTAAGGCTTCTTTGGAGAACGCGTGGGCGAGCGAACCCAAAGCGTAGTTGTTGTTGCTTGCAATTGCGACAAGGTCATCTAAAGAGCGGCTAGAGCCCGTATTTGCAGCCAGCTCGGAACCGGGAGCTTCCTCGATGTCAACGGAGACTGGATCCGGTGAATGCTCAGCCTGCAGGTGGTCCTCAGGGCTCGAAGAAGGCGACGGAGTCGACATGACGGACTCGATAGGTCCAGGCGTAACATCGCGGCCAAGGGCAAAGCCGGAAGCATTGGAAGGGAATCCTCCGCATGGAACACTAAAGGCTCTGGCGCGGCTCATGTTCTCAAGCATATTCTCAAGCGTAGAACCGGCACTCTTTCTCTCGGAGCGACCTGTGTCGGTACATCCACGTCAGACACGCTTCAAGATAACAACTCGGAACAGTGAGATTCATGATCAGACTTACCTGACAAGCGATAGCCGGTGTGAAGACGAGCCTTGGAGACCTTCCACTGCTGCATATTGAGTAAGTGTTGAGCGGTTGGGGTTCGTTGAGGTAATTCTGAGGCAGGAATAAGGCTGGGGGTGAAGCTGATCGCGACACTTGCGGTGATGCAGATGATGATATTGATGTGATATCGATGGAGTAGTGGGCTCGACGGCGTTACTTTTCTGGCGATGAAGCCCCCCGTACCTGTTGCAGCGTGTGTGAGGTTATCCAGATGGCGAGTTTGCAGCGAGAGTTGAGGAGAATAGCTTCCTCGGATGCGAGGTAAATGCTATGGAATGAGCTCGCGCGTCACCCCTAGAAGAGTCGGGAAGGGTGGAATCTCTAGTGGTATAGATGGTGAGAGGTAGGCAATAGAGACTGCCCCCTGGGAGTGAGCGTTGCCAGTGATGCGGTAGAGGATGGGAATCGAGGGCGAGTTGGAGGTGGAGGTTGGGTTGTACCAGCCAGGTAGGATTGAGGAAGGAGTAAGAGAATGGAATCTGAGCACAAGGCGGAGGGAATTGAACGGAGAGAAAATATTGAATGGCAAATGGAAGAGATTAAAATGAAGCCATTCTTGTTTACCTCATCCCAACTTTGGTTTGTGGCCAGTTTTGGGATGAAAATGATCTGGAGTATGCAATACCTTGGCATTCTGGACATGTTCTGGAGACATTCACCCCGACCTCGACACGAAAACAACCGGCGCCTCACCAATCCCCTCAACCACTTCCTTCAACATCAACTTCTCAACCGGCGTCTTCCTAAACCTCAACACTTCCTGCACGCATCTCCTAAGATCCACGTCCTCCTCCGAAGACTCGTCGCACAACCCCCGCGCAGTGACAAACATCTCGAAAATCCGTCCCAGTCGTTTTGTCACCTCCTTGGAAGCTTCATCAACTAGAGCGTCAGAAGGAGCGGCGCAGCCGTCGTAAAGAAAAAGGCACTGGCGATATAGCAAAACCATCAAAGCGACTCTGGCGTACAAGATCGTAGCGATGAAAGCCAAACGCGGCAACTTGGCTTTGGAACAATCATCGAGCAGGACGGCGCCGGTTCGCAGGAAGGAGGCCACGGAGCGCTGCAGTTGGAGATCAGCGCCCGAACAGAACTGGTTTTGGTCCTCGCCCATCTTGACCGACAGTCTGAACTTGTCGCGGATTATTGCCTCCTGGACTTTGTGCTCGATCAGTCTCGCGCCTAGCAGCTTGAGTTCAGCGGGTAAAGCACTTGGTTTCTGGGCATCTGCCTGTGCCTGTGGTTGAGAGCTCCGATCGAGACTGAGTCCGTTCATGGCTGCCGTCAAGGAGTCATGAGCCATCATACGCTCTTGCGTCTGCTGGCAAAGAGCTAGCAGCTTGTGGCAACTCTCGTAGCGGTCTTGAGAAGGCGGTCCTTCGGACACTTCGCCATGGTCATCGGCTGCCAGCTTCTTCCCAAGAAAATGCTGCTTAGCGGTATCGACATCAGCAGCGTCGGCCGACTGTGTCAGCTGGCCATCGACAAACGCTAGCATGCGCTCAATGTCCCCCAAGCCCCAAGTAGATGGCTGGCAAATCTCGCACGTCTTGTGTTCCACGGTGACGCATTTCTCTTGGTCGTAACTGCGGCACAGCCAGCATGTGCCCTGACACTTGTGGTTACAGGGTAGCAACGCATTGCACCTTGCCTCACAGAGAAATTTGCTCGAGGACACGTCCGTGGAGCAGTCGACATTTACCGTATGGCCACAAGCTGGTGCCTGTTTGTCCACCTTGACGCGGCAGAGGACAGATTCCAGGTCCAAGAGCTGATAGCATAGGAGCTTGTCCTTGATATGGCCACACGGGAGTTTTGTGTCGTTGACGATCACCATACACTTTCCACACTCTTTTCCACAGGGTTTTGGGCAAACATGCTTACATGTTTTCCGAACTCTGGGACAAGGCTTCGGGCAGATGACGGCCTTGTGTAGCATCTCCGAATGACACTTGTTCGGGCAGGGATGGCCGCAGACTGGAAGCCGGTCGACGCAGTCAAGTGTACAACCTCCCTCGGGACTGACACTGGCAAAATCATCCGGTGATGTACAGTGTATCGGCGTGTTGGGATGCCGTGGGCAACAAAGAGGAATCGAAGGACCCGCCGCCTTCCTGGCTGAGATTTGCCGGTAGACATCCTTCCACATGTCCACAGCCGGAAACGTTGCCGCGTTCCCGATGAGATACATGCCGTGCTGAACTCGACTGAGAAGAACATTGATCCGGTTCTTCAGCTTCAGAAAGCCTACTTTGCTCTTCTTGTTGCTGCGGACAAGGGAGATGATGATGATCTTCGCCTGCTCGCCTTGAAAACCGTCAACCGTAGCAAGCCGTATGCCATCTGTCATCTGCATCTTGCCCGACGGTAACAGCGTTTGGGTTTGGATCTCGGAATCTCCGACCTTGTTCTTCTTGTCAAATCCTTGGGCAGCTAAGCGTTCTTCGTCTCTTTCGCTCAAGACAACCTCAAAATGCTCGTCAAGTGCTGCCTGAAGCTTGAGCAGCTGGCCTGCGTATGGCGTGAGAATGGCAATATCTTTACCTTCGTAGACTCCCTGCCGGACAAGATGACGGACAAGGGCGGTAGCCATCGCAACTTCCATGGAGTTAATATAAGACATGCCTTGAGCTGCATTCAGGCCAATGTCTTCGTAGTAACCATGATCCCACCAAAACAGTCTGTCCCGTAGGCCAACCACCATTGGACGGTTCTTGACGCGAGAGCCATCTTTAAGGTCTTTGTAAACGTTATTTCGGATGAGCGCAGAAATCTCAGGTGGCATGCGTTGCTGCTCGTTCAGCTGGATGACGGCGAGAGGCTTCATCCCAGGCTCACCGGTGACACGTCTCTCGAAAAGGCTGCGGTCAAGCTGGTAGTGCTTTCCAACCTTGGTCTCCATGCTGAACTGCAGAGAGTTCTGCACCAATGGGCGTAATTGCTGGTGATCGCCAATCTGGATGAGATGTTCGACTCCAGGTATGAACGCTGCCATCATGCGGGGCTCCATCACCTCAGCTGCCTCCTCGCAAATAATGACCTTAGGCTTCATTTTGCGAAGCATTTCGTTGTCATGAGCCAGCCTCGAGGTTGTCATCAAGACAATATCTGCCCTTCCGAGAATCCGACAGTTGATGTCAGCGTTGAGTCTCGCGAGATCCTGACGAAGGCTCCGAGCTTTGTCCAGATGCTTCATTAGAAGTTTGGTTTGCTCCTGGGCAAGCTGACCGAGCCAGTAATGGAGCAATGTCCACCGCTCATGGACTGCAAGCGAAAGGATGTTGGTCTCAGCTTTTACGATCAAGCGTGAGTGATTAGGAGCATTCGTCTTCGAGCCCTTGGCTGAATGTGCCGGCCTCTGCCCGAGCCAATTCATGATAGGGTCGCCAACGAGTGTAAACCCTTCGGCATCATCCGGTTTGAGTTGGCTGTAGATCCTGGGATATTTGCTCGAAAGGAAATTCTTCAAAAGCGGCCAGCCTGGTCGTCCTGCCATTGCTTGATGGATCGGACCAAGGCAGCTCCTGGCACGGGAAAGCGCCGTGTTAATTTGTGCAAGCACCCTGCCCTTTGCTTTCTTTTCCCCTTTGGTTGTCCTTTTCATTTTCACCAAATAGAAATTGTGTTTCTCCAACAGCTTCGACTTGCTGCGGCTTCCGACACGTATAACGTTGTTGATGCCGGCTTCAACGATATGCTCGCCGAATTGGTCCAAGGCATGGTTGGTCTCACAACTATTGAGGAATCTGAAGTTAGCAAGTGGCAACAGGTGAGGAGCCCGACATGAACCTGTATCTGACAAAAGACTTACACGATGAAAATGGGTGAAAGCTGGCAAGTCGTTTTGTGTTCCACCAAGACCTTGACAATTTGAAGACCGACATACGTCTTCCCTGTACCGGGCGGCCCCTGAATCTGGACAAATTCTTGGCTAAGCGCGGCGACTAGGGCTTGGGCTTGACTTGCATTGAGCCCGGTAGCACTCTGCAGTGCGGTCAAGTCCTTGCCCTTCGGGGATTTGTTCGGATCCAGTTTCAAGCCTATGGGTTGCTGCTCCTTGCTGATACAGTCAAGCCTGTACAGAAATCCCTGCTTCCGAGCATAGGCGGGTGGGGGAACTGTAAGATGCTGCTTAGCAGTCTTTGATGTCGGAATAATCCACTGTTGAAACGCCAAATCAGTATCCTTGGACATCCGTTGGATGTTCGTTAGCGTGGGTTCATAGGCCTGCGGAATGAGCCCACAGAGCTCAAAGAGATGTCCATGTGCTTGTGCAACATGTAGCTCGTTGAGTAGAGTCATGTCCTCCTCGGTCTCTCGGGCCAGCTTGACATGCACCGTAGGTCGCATTCCGGACATCCTTTCCTTGAACTTTGTCGATAGGTGCCTCTCCTTGTATTCATCCTCTCCGACAAGGTACAGCAGTCGTCTTCTCCCGCGATGGGACACCACCATGACAAGCAGTTTGCCCGGTTCAAGGCGTGAGGATTCCACCCACCATTTAGCCTGGTCTGTCCGTGACAGTTTCCGAAGGTGCGGGAGCTGCAGAAACGATATGGCACACGTTATACCGTTGTCCAGGCTAACGTCAACCTTCTGAATAATAGCCGCGGCATAAAAATGGGCTAGACCGTTATTTCCGAGTTCACAAGGATTTGGGTTGGTGCGGTTCTCGGCCGGACTGTAGGCCAGCTGCTCGCGAAGGAAATCTTTCACAGTCGAGAAGGTGTTGTGACGATAGAGCCGAAAAAGTGTGTCGATATAACGTTTTCTGACATCCTTGAGGAAACTCTCTTGTGTGAAGTCTGTTGTAGGCAGATACTCCAGCTGCTGGCTCATGATCTCTCCATACGTTGGTAAGATCTCAATATCAGCAATTGCTCGGCAATCGTTGTCGTGGCGGCCACCCGGCTTTGCTCCAGGGCTCGGGATAACTAGCTGTGGTTGTTTTGTGCGAAGAGGGGTCTGTTTGGCCTCGGTTGGGGTTTGTTGTGAATGGTTTGTATTTATGTCCCCAACGGGCGCCGGGGTACCGCGAGTGGTCGTCCCACCAATCTTGGGCGGTAATTCTGAGCCATGAGCGGCCCCAGCAGCCAGCAATGTATGCAGAACATCGCGAAGTGCATGTGAACGGTCGTCGTATTTGAGCGGTGGGTACCGGTCGAGCAGCTTCTTGAGCGCTTTGGCTGTCAAATAAACCAAACTGTGAATTTGTCCGACCTGCACACGGTCAAAGAGGCCGGTAAGTGTTGTCAACCACTCAATTCCTTCCACGCCGTCCTCTTCGCCAATGAGGGTATAGAGAATTGCAAGGTGGTTGCTGGGCGCGGTTGGATGGGCAACTAGTGAAGGGTGCGTAATGACTTTCAACAGGGCTTCGTAGAGTGCGAGTCTGTACCCCCAGTCGTCATGTTCCAGCGATGTAGATATCGTCCGGCCAAGAATGAATGGACCTCCTGTCTTGTCATCAACCAAGTCGGCGAGCATGCAGGCATGGAGCTCGCTACTATCCGTCTCGAGAAGTTTGTATCCTTCTGCCCAAATATGCTGAAGGCTGTTGGCGCCTGATTCTCGTAGCTTGCGACACTCGAGGGATTTCTTCCAGCGATTATACGCTGCTCTTTGTCGGTGATCGGGTGGCTGAGCGGCTTGCGTTTCGACAGGTCTCGTCTGATGAACGTGACTCTTGGGTTGTTGCGCTTGTGCCCGGTCATGTAAGGATTCCTGAGCTTCTATGACGGGAGTTTGTTGTTGCAATTGGGTCTTTGGGCGGCTCTTCTGTTTTGCTTTCGACATGGCTTGACTGGTAGGCTCGAGGTCGGCCAGGAATACTCAGACGTAAGATGAGAACTCCAAGGAAGCTGGACAACAGGAGTCAAGGGGCGACCTCAGCGAAGGGAAGAATTGAACAGAAAAAGAGGGGGAGATGGGCGTAGGAAAAGTAGACCGCATCGAGATGGGTATGAAGGGACGTTCGGAGTTCTGAAAGGTAAAGGACCAGCTACTTCACAGGCCATCCTCCACCACGGGTAGTCGGGTGCCAAGCAAAGTAGCAGTTTTCCGTTTGCTGTTCGCTGAGATTTTTCTCCATGAGGCGTTGTAGGCCTCAGTGCGTCGTCCACGTCGTGCAATGCCGCTCATGCTGCTGACGACAGACAGCGGCGTTAAAGAACTGCCATTCGTCGCCTGGTTCTTTATCCATCTTCGTATCTGGGTTGTTACGACTGCAAGAGGCCTGGAACTTGATGTCGTTGCTCGCCTGCTCGCCCAAGGACCGTAGGTAACTCGAGCACCAAATGATTGATAAAGGCCATTTGAAAAGCAAATGGAAGACGGTCTTTTGTACGCAGTGCTCGTGTGAGATTCCTCGACTCTGTTGACAATTTGTCAGGGCGTGTCAACTTTGGCCTCGCTGAAGACTTTGCCCGCGTTATTTTGTGCTGCGAATCGGGAAACATGTTGGAGGAAGTCACTGGCTATACATATGCAACTTTGTCGTCAAACGACTACCTATACTCTGATATCAGTCGGTGGTTTCACAGCCAACCGACCGGAATAAGGCATTGCAGCCCAGCGAACAAACTGAAAACACGCCGTCAGAAGTCAATGCCCAACCAAGCAGCTGTCTCGTTCGCAAGATGTGTAACATGGGGATTTGCAGGGACATGTTACACGGCAATTTGCAAACGGAAGCATGTACTCAGACCCTTTTCCAAACGGCATCCGCGAAAACTTTGGGATACTGACCCAAACTGTTCAATCATCCATTTAGTCCTGCGATGACGAGTCAAGACAAAAGAGTGGTCAAAAACGTGGGTATCACGTGCTAAGGCACGCTTTGTCAGATATTGACCACTGCGCCAAACACCCAAAAATTGGAGCTCCATCGAGGTGATGGAGTAGTGCCAGCTCTGAACCCCCTATATTCGACACGCTTCGCTACTTCACCTCAAGCCTCGAATTATCGATCGGGCCAGGCCGACTTGGCAGTGACAGGGCAAACTGCGGGGAAACAGGCATTCGGCGGCAAAGGTAAGCGAGGAAAGTTCAGCAAAATACAGGGGACCAGTATCAAAGACCAGAGCATATCGCTTCTCCTCTGGCCAATTGACCAGGTTCAATACTGGGTCGTGCCAACTTTGACGGGCGGGTGTGAAGCAAGACATTGAACGAAGACATCTCGATGGAATTGAGGTGGTGAAGATATCGCAGAACATTCTTTCGACTTCGAGTCCTCCCACACTTGATAACGGCGTGCTTTTGCTCCAATGGGACGCCTCCCCCACTCAAGTCATACACTCACGGACTCATTGACCTGTGCAGTCTTGGCGAAAGGGGGGGTTTGTGTACACAACAACGTTTTGAGATTTGGACCTTCGAAACGCAATAAGAAAATAAAAAACCTCAGCTAAACTTTCAGAGAAACTGTTGCGCTGATAGTTACAAGTACTCTGATTTCGAACGCACTTTCAGTTTTTATGCATCTCCTCATTTGGTGGAGATGCAAGCGAATGAAGTCTTCCTTGATCTTTCCGTTTCGAAGGTCCAAATCTCAAAAAGTTGTGGTGTGCACAATCCCACCCCTTTCGCCAAGACTGCACAGGTGAATGAGTCCGGGAACAGAAGACCCTGGAAAGAGCCCATTGACTGCGGGTGCTTGAACCATGTCTCGTCGATAAAACATGGTGTTAGCTCTGCAGCCGGAGTTACATCACCCCCGAGGTTGAAGGTGGCTGTCCGATCACGGCATCCCGAAAAGAGTATGTGGTACCGTGCAGCACAAGGAGGTCCAGGTCTTCTGACCTTCCCACCCCTCTTTTGCTCTCGCCAGCCGACGTCGATATCGGTGCCATCTCCCGCTGCCTGTAAACTGTAAAAACCTGGCGATAAACATCTGCTTTGTGTTTTGCAATTGGAGACACCATCATCCTTGACCGGCAAGCTCAATTGTGCCATATATCATTGACATGAACAACAATGCACAGGATGTGTCTGATAGCGACAGCAACTCCACGCTGTGTTCCGACGTGGGCGAAACATCACCTCTCTTGGAGTCGCAACCAACAAAGCCGTCGGATGTAGAAGAAGTATGGAAACCAGGGCCAGGATTCTGGTGGATTGAGATTGGTACGTAACCGCTTGGTTGGATAACAAGAGAAGAAGACACTGACCTTGCGTGGACAGCCTTGTGGGCCAACGTCTTCCTGTCGGGATTCGACACGACCATCACGGCGTCGACGTATGCCGCCATCAGCTCCGAGTTTGGTGCCGCAAACAACGCTGCCTGGTTGACGACATCGTACCTTATCACGAGTACTGCGTTCCAGCCGCTCTATGGTAGACTGTCAGATTTGTTCGGACGGCGCCTCTGCTTCTTTGTATCCACCGTAACGTTCATGGCTGGCTGCTTTGGGTGCTCCATGGCCCAAGACATGCTAACCCTCAACATCATGCGGGCCGTGGCCGGGTTTGGGGGAGGAGGGTTGATCACCATGGGTGAGCTGACCTTTTTTTTCTATTCGGCGCCTCGGAGAGCACTTGTTGACCACACCACTAGCGACTGTCATCAACTCGGACATGATTCCCTTTAAGCAGCGCGGTATGTACCAAGCGATGCAAAACATTCTCCATGGATTTGGGTCCGTGCTTGGGGCATCACTCGGGGGCACCATTGCCGAGACCATCGGATGGAGATGGTGCTTCTTGTCGCAGGTGCCCGTGTCGTTGGTAGCTGTCGTGGTCGGGTACTTTGTGCTGGAAAACCCGTTGCACCTGGTCGAGCTGACGGGCCCAAAGCGACATATCCGGTCTGCATTGCAATGTCTCGATCTGTCCGGGGCCACGCTGCTGGTTGTAGGACTCGTAGTCCAACTCTTGGGATTGAGCTTTGGGGGCAACGAGTATCCTTGGTCAAGCGTGCCGGTAGTCACCGCCCTGGTAACGAGTTGTGCGTTGTTGGTCGGGTTCATCGTGGTCGAGGCAAAGACCAAGGCAATGCCGATGATACCGTTGCGGATGCTGCAAGGCTGGCAACCATGTGCGGTGCAGTTGAGCAACATCTTTTCCGGCATGGCATCGTATGCTGTAAGTACCGAGTGCCTAGGTCGCTTTGACGGAAGATCTGCTAACCACCCCCTTTTCTCTCAGTATATGTTTATGATCCCGTTGTACTTCCAGGCCGTCCGGGGAGACTCGCCGTCCAAGGCAGGTCTGAGGCTCGTGATGCCGTCGTTAGCAACGCCGGTGGGCGGAGTGATGGCAGGGGCTCTGATGCAACGCGGGACACGTCTAAGCTATAACGTTCGGTTGGGAACAGCCATGACGCTGATCGGTAACATGCTCGCAGTGACCTTGGGGACGACGGGCGATCGACGAAAGGAATTCGTGTTCTTGGTACCGGCGACGCTGGGTCTTGGACTGACTCTTCCCAGTATTCTGTTTAGCTTTGTGTCTTTGTTTGAGCATCGAGGTAGGTTGCCCAGGTCTGGAGGAGAGGAGAGCTGCTAACTCGGAAGCAGATCAAGCGGTAGCAACGTCGACGGTGTATCTGATCCGGTCCATGGGCGCCATTTACGGTGTGACCATAACGTCGGCCATTGTGCAGAATGTCTTGATGGCGAGACTGTCGGCGACGCTGGGAGATGCGGCAACAGATGAGGTGAGTGTCGCCATGGTTCGATATTCTGTGGGAAGCAACGGTAACTAATGGTCAATGGCAATGAGTACTAGCTTGTCGCGAAGCTGCGCAAGTCGGTGTTTGCGCTGCGGGAACTGTCGCCCGAGTTGGAAAAGGCAGTCAGGGCCTTGTACGGGGACGCCTTGAGGATTTCGTTTCTGGCGTCGACTTCGTTTGCTCTGCTGGCATTCTTGTTCTCTTTCGCCATCAAGACGGGGAAATTGCAAAGAAAGACCTGATGGACGGCTGAAGGAAGGTGCGATAATTCTGCTCGAGTCCGTTCTTTGGTGGTCGCAGGTTGTTGAGGAAGGCGCAGGTAGCTGTACCAGACCAAAAATGACATGCTCGTTCTTTCCCAGTTCGATTGCTTAATTATTGCGTGATGTGCTCATATTGATGCAAGACGGCGCCGTTGACATGATGATCGCTGTGCTTGGAGGCCAGTTGCCAGCTCCAGCCAACCAGCGCTCAGACAGCTGCTGCCGGCTGTGGTTGTCTCCACACTCTTGTACTTTTGTACCTTTTTGCTCTCCAATGATCCAATCATCCAATCAGTCTGACATTCATTTTTACGACATCCATCATCATCAACTTGCCCAACATATGAGATCACGTTCACCAGTTCTCCAAGGCCTTCAGTCCTTTCTCACCATCCAACTGTGACCAGGTGGATGCCTAAGTTGGTTCTTAATTCTATCAATGAGGAAGGTGTCTATAGACTTGTCAGAGAAAGGCATCCGAGCCTCGGACTCAAAGGTCGATTGCAACATCAGCCCAGTCGCACAATCTTACTGGTCGAATAGTCTGACTTGCGAGGACTGAGTACGAGGAACATGATCCTGCGAAGCCTACAGTAACCATAGATCAAGTCCGACGAAGCCACTCAGACGCTCGTGCTCTCAACATGATAACAATCACAACATCCATGATCTCTCACAACAGTGTCTCACCTTCCAAGTTCAATCAAGCGCACAGCACCAGTTCGAGTTATCAGGACAAAGACTAAGAAACAACCACAATTCCATGGCTTAAAAAGGGAGGTGGTGAGATGCGTGTGAGAGGCGTTGGAAGAAGTCTTGGTCTACTGACCGGACGTGTTCATGGATTCACAGGGAGGAGACGCCGATGACTGAAGCTCGATGGTTGATACAGCCAGACCAAAGACTGAATAACGGGTATAAAGGCCATCCAAAGTTGCCTGAGAAAAGTCATGTCCAGCAGTTCCATTACCATCAACCTCATCAGTTCCAACTCCAACACCAGCCAAACTTCCACCAGCCAAGATGCAGTTCAGACTCTCCATCGCCGTCCTTCTCACCTTTGCTCAGCGCCATTGCCTCTCCCGTCCCGTCCGACGACCTCGCTACCAGAAACCCCGGAGCTGAGGCCGTCGACACTCTGCTCGAAAGGGGTATCTGCACTTGCCTTTGCGATCCCTGCAGTGGCCGATGCAGGCTCTGCGAGTCGGGCGTCTAGATAGAGAGAAGATGTCCTTCCACTTTGTAGGTGAGCATCCCATGACCCGTCTCGGTCCACTGCTCTTGCCCTGACTTGAGTGGACCCACTCCCCGTGTCTTGGGACTTCCACTTCCACTCTGCTGTTCTTGCCCCTTCCACTCTTGTTTTGCTGTGTTGGAATGAGGAAGAATTGAATCTAACTGCTCATTGGCTCGAATTTTAGATTGCAGATGGGATATGAAGGCCGTCGTTGAGTTAACCCAAAAGGTCAGGGTCAGAATTGGAATCGTTGGTCGAGTGACGAGTCTTGGCATCAGATATCTTCGGTGAAGAAGGGCTCAAGCCACTCTGCGATTGCAATTCAAACAAGACAGAAAAGAAACAATGGTCTTGTCTAACCCTTACTTTCGAACCTCAATTATCTTATCAACTTGCCGGACTTCGCCTTTTGATTCTGTCGTTGCCGTGTGGTCAATGGCATCTCGTCGCCGTGATCGTCGGCCGAGCCGATCAATTGGATCAGTGATGTCACACTTGCACCCCACCAATCTGATGTCAACAAATGCTGTGATACTCGTTCCTGAGAACCCCAACGGCCGTCCCAAAACCTCGGACGGAACTGTTACTCTTATTCTCAACCGCAACCCATCTCCAATTTTCTCCGAATTCTCGTCCTGTTACACAGTGCTTCTTGCTTCCATTCTCCGATCTACTACCACACTACCACACTGCCCGGCATCCTCAATCATCAACCACTTCGACGACCTACCTCTACTCTACTCGACTACCATAATCTGATGTCTACCATGTATTCCCGATCCCTCCAACACGCCCTGGTCCGGCCAGCGACGGCTACAATCCGAGCATCAAACCGACCAAGCATGCTCCTCCGATCCCTGAGCTCATCCCCCCCAACCATCAAGCAAATCCTCCAAACCCAAGATCATGCTCGAAGACAAGAATGCCTTTGGTTTCGTCCGCCATAACCCCCGACCTCCCAAGCCAAGGAAGGTCGGAGTCACGGAGATCAGAGGCCCGTATTACTCGGCCATGGGCAAGCGATATCTGCAGGATGTTCTTGAAACGTAAGCCACGATCGCAGCACCCCCGAACCGCTTGTAGGAGCGAAGAAGGCTAATAAGCTGCACAAAAGAATGGGATACCACATCGACCGACTCAAATTCGCCGGCGGCTCCTTCTCCCCTTTCCCCTTTTATTCCTCTTTCCCCCTTTTATCCCCTTACTTCCACTTCCAAAACCCTCACTAACCCCCACCCCTCCTTCTCCCAAAAACAGGGCGGCTGGATCGAACACATCCTCACCCAATCCCCCCCCCCCCCCAACACCGCCGCCTCGTCCTACCTCGCCCACTGCAAATCCCTCGGCTTCGGCGTCATCGAAAAATCTCCAGTCCACCGGCTTCCTCTCCCTCCCTCCCTGCCCGCCCGACGACATATTGGCTCCGACTAATCCACAAAGTGCACGCCGCCGGCCTTACGGCAAAACCCGAAATCGGCATCCAATTCGGACGCTTCCGTGTCGCCCCCCGCACCGAATTGGAAAGCATGGGTGTCATGCGACAGCGTCGGACCCGAGTAAGGTTGTGAATCTGTCCCAAGAGATTCATTGAGGAAGGAGGGGGGCGTGGAAAGGATCATTCATGATTGGGATGAGCGAGGGGATCACGGAGAATGTGTTGAAAAAAAAACAAATTGGCTGACGGATGTTGTGGTGCAGGCTATTTTGAGGGATTGGAGGTGCCTGCCGAAAAAGGTCATGTTTGAGGCTGCGGCGGATCCGAAGGTGTTTAATTGGTATGTGAGGGAGTTTGGGGACGGATGTTAATTATGTTTGTGGATCATTCGCTAGATTGTGCAGTTGAGTTGTTTGCGGGAGGGGATTTGGGGTATGGAGGATACGTTTGGGAAGGTTGTTTCTTTTCGGTGAGCGTCCTGAAGAGGAGAGATAGACGACGACGACGACGACGACGAATATTGAATTTCTACGTTAAACTGGACGGAAGAAAGAAAATGGAACCGCTTCACAGCAGTCAAAATGCAATCTCTGGCCTCTGCCTAGGAGCGCTGTGACAGCCAACTAGCCGAGTCTATCAGTCATCCAGCCCAAAAGCGGGACCTCTTGAAAACTCATTGTGCGCTCGCTCGTCCTCATCCTTTCCGTGAAGATCCTTCAGATAGTCCTTGAACTTGATCATCATATTGCACACCTCTTCAAAGTCTTCCTGATCGAGTGTCGGCACGTCATTCTCATCCTTGTCTTCTATCTGCATGAATCAAAAGTCGGCGAGGGCAACGGCTGTTTGGAAGGCTAGGTATCGAAGTAGACACGGTTAGCAGGTACTTGGCAAGCAGCAAAAGCTTGTGTAGTGTAACGTTGGTACTCAAAGGAATGGAAGAGAAAAACCGGATGTCACGACTCACCGTTTCGAATCTCTCGGCCGTTCCACGGCATGCTCGTGATATCCCTATCCTCCAACACGTAATCCTGTGCGCGTCGAGTGATTCGAAAATCGGTACGTTCGGAAGACAACTTCTTGAAGAACTGCCTCCAGATCTTCTTCCTGTCTTGGGGTGTTAGGCTCTTGTAGTGGATTACCACGTGAATGCGCGACATGAAGGCATCGTCGAATTGGCCGACTCGGTTGGTCGTCAGGAAGAGCACACCGCGGTAGTACTCGACGCATCTGAGGAACACTGAGAGCCAGTCATGGGTTAGCTGAAGAGTTGGAAGTCGAAAGATCCTTGTGGTTTCAGGCTTTCAGCCACGTGAAAGAAGCCTTGAGGTTGACATACCAGATACCAGGCTGTTGCGCTTGAGATCGGCCGTTACTCTCTTCTCTAGAAACACGTCGGCCTCGTCGATGAGCATGACTGCTCCCCATTTCTCTGCCAGCTGGAACCACTTCAGCAGCCTCTTTTCCATGCTGACATCTTCGGTTCCGATGTCTGCGCACGTGAGCGAGAGCAGCGGCCTCCCAGTGTACTCGGCGATGCATTCTAGAGTAAGCCGTGTGTTAGCGCAGATCAAAGACCCGACAGCGAGGGCCATCAAAGTTATCTACTAGGCAGTTAGACGGGGATTTGGGTGCTTGCCTGCGGTCTAGAGTCCCATATGTTAGCATTCTTGTTCTGCCAATGTGCCTGAGATGGCATCTCATCAGGTGAAGGGGCCTGGTATTACAAATGTTTTCCCAACGCCGGGGCTTCCGTGAAGTAGGAAGATTTGGCCTTCGCCTTTGTTCTCAATGTGGTCAGCTCTCCAAGCGGCCGCAGGAGCTCCAGGCCCTTTCGCATCACCAGAGTATTTCTGGATGAGAGCTTTGATCATGTTCTTCGTCTCCTCTTGGAGAACCAGCGTGTTGATTGCCGTCGTGTTCCTCTTGAGGTCCTTGCAGAAGCGCGCGTCAACCATCACTGACGTTTGCATAGTTGCTGTTAGCTGCTGACGCATGGATGAGAGAAATGAGTGAGTCCATGGGGTAAAAAGTGCACTTACGCCAGTTTCTAGATCTCAAGTCAAAGCCGAAGAGCCTTCGATTGCACAAGAGATATCTGTGCTCTGGATCTGGGACATGACTAGGCAATCTGAGATCCGATACCTCCAACTTATGAGGGTTCAAAAGGTCGTAATCGGTCCAAGGGAATCTCGGAGGTGGGTGCGGTCGGAATCCGTGACACTCTTCACAGGGGCACTTTGCTAAGCCACGGCCCATGTCGTCGATATCTCCAAGAACGGGGGGACGATGGAAGGTAGCCTCTCGTGAACTTTCCTTCTTCTTTCTGCCCTTGTCCGTCTCGGCCGTATCGTCTCCATTTTGAGAGGCATTACTGGCAAGGCTTGCGCTTTCAATGTTGTAATAGGAAGCAGTATCAACGTAGACGCGACCTTGGAACTATGTATCGAAGGTCAGAAGATTCTAAATGTCACGAATGATTGCAATGGCTTCACCTACCTCACGTTTCCTGTCGTCCAGCAGGCGACCGGAATATGAGACCTGTTTCCCACGAAGAAGCTCGAACCATCTTTTTCCATCTTTTATCAGTGCTTCCCGGAGCTTTCCCCCATCTTCCTCATCCTTGTATTTAGAAGGGATGATGTTGAGGTCGGTGATCCTGCGCTCTCCCTCAAAAGGGGGTAAGTACACACCTCGAGCTCTCCTTCCGACATAGCTCCCGTCGTAGTCCAGGTTCCATAGTCCTACTGTCCATCCTCTCGGGAGTGTGACTATCCTATCCTCGAGGATTTCTGTCCTGGCGTCATGATACTCACAATCAATGATGACAAAGGCTGCAAGACTCCCGTGCGACTCCAGATAAACGGTAATTCCCGGTTTGTATAGAAGCCACACCATGTCATAGGTACACATCCCTCTGGCATGACGGGCTTTCTCATCGGCGACCCCTTGGCCATTGATGTTCTCTACGAGCGCCAAGAGCCGTCGTAGATGTGGTTTTGCAAGTCGTGTGACGTTATCTTCATCCGGCTGCTCAATATACCTCTCGAAACCGTCCAAGTGAAGCCACACCAAATCGTTATGCCGGCCTAATTCCAGAGTCCTCCCTTGAAGATCCCGCGAAGGGTAATAGGGACCAGCTTTCGGATCGCTTGAATGAGAGCAGGAGACATAACCGTGACCAAGATCCTGCCAACGGCTACATCCACAAGTGGATTATCAAGAATCCCGTCTTTCTTGATTTGCTCAATCTCCCAATAGTCCCGATGTTTGTTGGCAAGTATGGAGGTTTCCAATACGGTCTCGACCCTGAGAGTAGGTTTTGTCTTGATTTGTGAGAGAACACCCTTCCTGGCCTCGTTGAGATCAAATGGCCCCTGCCACTGTTCAGAACAAATCGGCTGATGCTCTTCATCCACATATCGAACGTAGTACGAAAAGTTGTCCGATTCACTCTGGGCCGACTGTGTCTTGCCACTAGAGCTATTGCTTTTGTCGTCTTTTTTGAATGGGGGTGGACGCAATGATTGATCACATTTTGGACAATTCCAGAAGCCAAATGAGGTGAGTACTGCGTGAGATTGTCCAGTCCTTTTGCAGTAAAGATCAATGGAACCTTCGGCCGTCCAGCGTTCGTCTGAAGCTTCGCTCCCTGACACTGACTCTGAGTTGGCCTTGCGATCTTTGCCACTTGTCTGTGGGTTCACCAGGGAGGATTCCTGTGAAGTTTTGTTGGTATTGTCGGTGGCTGTGGTGGTGTTGGTACTTTCTCTGAAGGGCGTTTCCTGCGATGTGGCTACCGCCTTGGGTAAGGGGGGCAAGGCGCCAGCTTCCCCGGAATTTGGCGAAGAATACCCTGTTGGAGGTGCTGGTGTGATTAAGCCTTCTTTGGGCAGCGATGTGGAATCGGATACGGTCGTGGTGTCATTGCTGCCTCCGACGCCCATAGCTGGGGAAGTCACGACGGCTCGATCGTCGACGCTGGCAGGATCAGACGCCTGGTGAGCAACCGCAACACCAGCGGTTATGGAAGACACTGTGCAGAAGCGGTTCTCATCCGAGTTTGAACCGGATGAATGAACGAATGGCTCAGAATGACCCTTGGTGTTTGGTGGGTGACGGAAGTTGACCCAACAGGGAAAAACAGCGGACAGCCAGTTTCAGCAACAGAGTACAAGAAGTGATCATGGTCCATGAGCAAACTGAGAAGGCGGGGGTAGTAGACCTTCTTAGCCTTCATCATCTGGAGGAGCTTTTCCAGATACTTTGCCAATTCCAAAGAGATAGACGCGGGCAAGAACAGCTGCGAAATCCCAACATCTCGTCAGGCTGTCGCTGTAACCCTCTAGCATGCAACTTCCCGTCCCCATCACGCATCTGCACACTGTCACACCAGTATACTTGCTAGAAGGGCATGGGCACACATCAGGCTCCCAATTTTTCGATGTGGTGACCATGAGGTTGCCTCTTTCCTGCATCTAGCCCGTCTCAGCTTGACATACCCCGCGCGCTTAGATGATCCAGACCCAATCGTACGCGGGAAGGCTCGAGACAGTAACTGGATTGACCTCGAAACTAAAGAGGACGGGCAGAGCTCACCCGGAAACTCATGGTGCTTAAAGATGGCGGCGGCAAAGTAGCTCGTCGATAGAACACAGTGGACGGGCTCATAATACACAGTAACCCATGCGGCTGCGGCCTTTGGCGAGCTGGCCGATATTGGTGTTCTCCCAATATCGAAGGCAACCACGGGAAGTCCAGTGCTACCACGGCATGCTCGAGTATTGCGACGAGGCTGTGTATTCAAGACTGTTGACCGGTCCCAGCGCATGTAACAGTGGCTCACTCGAGATTGTCCCTGCAAGAGGTTAGCACAGGTGGTTACCTCGTTGCGCCCAAATCCCCGCTCATCATGAACAATGCACGTTGTGCATCCAAGCTTGATACATGCCAGCAACCATCTTATCATCAAGGCCATACCGGTTACCGACTTATCCATCCGACTTCCCACTCCATAACGGCAAAGGAGAAATGGCTCGTGCAAGCAAGGACATCTCGACCACGCTCGCAACCCTTCCAAATGCAGCAGTCTCGATCTCGTTGCCGGTCTTGAGCCGGGCAGGCGTGACTCCTGAGATATCGCCCTTGGTGCGCAGATTCAGTAACAAAGCCGTCGTTGAGCAACCGGATAGCATTCCAATCCAGGCCATGGGTGCTGTTGTGAGGAGAGAGACTGATGAGCAGAGGAACAACCAGCAGCGGCTCGTGGAATGGGGGAGGTGGCTTGATTTTGTAATGGGCTCAACGTAAGCTGCAAGCCCCTTCGGCGCTCATAGGAGTGAATAACCTGAACTAACAGGTCTTTGGCGTTCAGAGATGATGATGATGCCTTCCCAACTCTCGAAGTTCAGAGCAGGGACCTGATCGATACTTGGAGACGCCTCTCTAAGTCGCTTCCGGGAATGATGGACTTGTCGCCCCAGGGAACATGGATCCCGACAGTCTCGACACTCAAACAGGCGGTCGTGCAAGCTGAAAACACAATGAAGGCCAAAAAGCTGAATGGCTTTGGATTGCTGAAGGACCGCTTCCACAGCCTGGTTCAAACCCTTGATGACCACAAGTATATGTTTGCAATTATCCCACAAGGCGATAGATACGTAAGCCTCTTCACGGGAGTGGTTTCCTTCATTGCAAAGGTGAGCAGTCTTTCTCAGACTGATCTTCCGTCACACCTTAACCACACAAACGAGATGTAAGGACCATGGCTCATGTGAGTGGCAGGCATCGATAAATCACATCAAAATCGGCGAGGCGTTCTCGATAGCTCTTTCAGACGTAAGCAGCGACTTGAGTTACGTTAGAAAATCTGCAATGGTCTCAGATAGTCCCAAGATGAGAAAGCTGGTTGTAGACGTTTATGTCGAGGTCTTTAAGCTTCTCTGCCAAGCTTTGGGATGGTTTACAAGCAGAAGCCGCAGGACCATAGCTGCTTTCGATAGGAACTATTATGCCCGACATGTACAGCCGTTTGTCGACAGAATACAGAAGGCCATCCAGCGAATCCGAGACGAAGCGCACCTCGTGACGCATGAGGTCGTCCAGGAAATTAGGGATATGGGGCATGTGCTTTTGCAACGAACAGCTGGTCGCGAAAGCCGCATGGACAGCGAAGAGATGAGCCACGAAAAGCTCAGCCGAATGGGAGAGACACTCGGATTCTCAAGCGTGCGAACGCTGAGCTCAGTTGAGCAACAGGCAGCACATGGTGAGTCATTGCCCAAGAAGTCGTCCAGTTTCTCCACGGTGACCTTGACGTACCATATAAGTTCAAGTGCCTGACTCCCCACATCATGACAGAGAACAACGTACGCGCAGTTTTGCAGAACGCCCACCGTGTTAGCTTTTGCCAAAAGCCAGCGATGGAACCATCGGCGGGGACAATCCTGCTACAAGAAGCCGAAATCGCGCACCTTGCGAACAAAAATATCGATGCGATGCAGGTTGAAGGTGAGTGTCGCGGTAGGCGCAGGCCTCCTCGTGCCCGGCACAAATCTGACTTGAGGTCATCACAGACATAGAAGAGCCCTTGATGCATCGTAGCGACTTGGAGCAGCATGTTCCTGCTTTTCTCTCTCGCTATCTCGAGGACGGCAGATCCGATTTCTCTCGCAACCCCAGTGACGCGTTCTCTACGCTTCTTCCCAGCGAAGTTATCACCGAACTCCAGAAGTGGATCACTGCCCCCAAATCCAACACGGTATGGGTCGCAGGTCACCCCGTCTCGCCGTTTGGGTCGGGTCTCTCTGTCGCTGCGCTTCGGGTCTGCGAGATTGCGAAGGAGATACGCATCCCCTGCATATCCTTCATTTGCAAGCAGCGGTATTCGTTCGCTTCCTCGTTCTCTGCTATCCGCAAGAACGGAAGCACGGGTAAACTCGACCCCAAGGAAGCCGGTTTGATAGCCCTTTTTTACTCTGTCACTGCCCAACTGATATACCTCCTCCCAGACCAGCCCTTTCCAAGCAGCACGGTGTTAGAGAAGGATAACTTTGAGCGTCTAGATGGAACCATGGCCAGCGCTTCCACAGCAATGGAGATCATCAGGGAACTGGCAATCCATGCGCCGCCATCGCTGATATGGGTGCTCGACAATGTGCAGAACGCGGAAAGCACCATGACTTATGCACATCTGAAAACGTTTGTCGAGTTTTTGCGTGAGCAGGAGAGGAAGACTAACTCCGCGCACGAGGAGGGGAAGAAGCCGTTTTCCAAAGTTTGCTTCACGACGGATGGAAATTGTGTGCTGTTATCTCGCTTGTCTCACAGGGACAAAGGCATCAGGCAGATCGATGCGTCAAGAATGGCACAAAGAAGGCCGGGAAGGGTTCTGCCAGGCGGGGCAGACGTGGGACAATTGGGATGGAGTAGGCGCTGAGTCTTTCGATATTATGGAGGACGTTAAAGATCTGGGATTTTAGTAAAGGATTAGCGGCCAGTTCTTCGTGAGAAAGGTCTCTCAAGTCGGGGGATTGGATCGAGTACCTGCTAGCCTTTTATGTGCAAAGCCATTTCTTCTTCCAAGAGGTCCAATGGCCCGCCTCCCATGGTGTAGTCCGCATTTTGATGGCGCGAAATCTCTCGACGGTTGCGAGTTCGACACTGGGCGACGGGAAGGCTGGGCGCTATCAAGCGGGCATGACGACACTCGATGCTGGAAGGGCAAGGAGACGAAATATGCTGTTGTGTGCTTAGATGGAAAGAGGGTAAACTTGTAGTAGTGCGGTGACCTTGTGAAGATTGAGACGTAAGTGTTTCCGATGATGGGGAAAAATGATTGGTTCGCGGCTTGAGGAGGAGAAGAGGAAAAGGCGTGCCAGGCCTAGCTAAATCCAATATTCTGCCAATGGAAATTCCAGTCGGGGTGCACCTTCCACACGTTACAAGATGGAAAATTTTGGACGGGCGGAGGGTGTCGCGTCAAGCAATCAGCCCGCGCCGCTCGAGGCTGTCGCGACCGACAGGTAACACCTGCTGTTCAGTCAGGCCTGTGTACCCCGCAGGACTCGTCCCCAACCGACGACTATTTCGGTGGAAATAAATACGACAACGAACCACAGACTGGGCAGGGCAGATCAGAAATCGCGGTTGAATCGGCGTCCGGCCCAAAAAAAAAAAAAAAAAAAAAAGGTAAACGCAATTGACGATGATGCTCAAGGTAGAGAATGAAGGACGAAGAAAAACAAAAAAAAAAAAAAGCTCAGCTCCATAAGATCGGGAATCGAACTCACAACGAAGGAGGACTCAACCGACCAGATGGCAGACCTACGAAAATACCACGCATTTTCTGGACCCAGCGCCTTACCACGTAGGCTACTGGACCGTGGTGGAAGGTCTGCGTTTTCGTGCTTATATGGTCCCAGTACAGGTCCTGCAGCTGGAAAGCTGGGGCCCGTGCCCGTGTGTTCGGAACGAGCATTTTGAAGGACACCTACAGTACATGTCCATTGAACAGTTTCAATAAGTGTCAGAAACAAGCCAGAAGCGTCGAATCCGTTGAATCTGTTATTCCTGTCTACCTTCAATTCAGTCCACAAGAGCACCAAAGAGGACCTTGATGGCCGGATGACGTAACGCTTTCAAGCATCTATCCCTTATCGCTATCGATAAGCGATAAGAGCACCAGAACAAACGGCCGAACCTACCGCTTCTACTCATCCATAGCAGATATCCTCTTTTGGGGAAAGTCACAGCTTATGCGGGCAGTTTTAGCCCGCTCTTAGCTGCATATGCAGCATCTTTCCAACAGGATTCGCTCATAATCCTAGCATAATCCACAAAGCATATCTGTTATGGATGAGTAGTTGCGGTAACACCAAGAACCCCAAAAAGACGAAGCAAATTAGGTCAGGATGTGCGGCCCGACAACCCAAAACCGTCCCGGAAGCAATGGCTTGGCAAGATGAAAATGGGACATAGTAAACTTTCTGTCCCGTCGGCAGTCGGCATTGTTGACTGGCCGTGCTGGCGGCGGCGTTAGTGGGGGGGTCGTTCGGTGGGCATTTCACCGATTTCATGTCGGTTCACGATTCACGCTCCGACCGTTTTCACCAGTCTACGAATCCACGGTGGTAAGCAGAGGATAGAACATGAAATATTGAAAGATCATAAGAAATGGTATGTACTTTTCAAGAAGAAACAACAAAGGAGATATAGTACAAATCATGCATTGTCCAGCTTAACCTCATCCTCCCATCCCATCCCATCCTATCCACGCTCTCTACCCACTTCTGCCACTTTGCCACCAGAAACACCCGATAATCCCATTTACAACTCATCCTTAACCGCAGTCTTAACCTTATCCACGACCTCCTCCACCTGAGTCTTGAACTCCTCCACCTTCTCAACCTGAGTCTTGAACTGAGCAGCCTTCTCGCCCTTCTGCTGCTGCTCGACCTCGTCCTCGGGAACAGAGTCATCGACCTTGAGCACCTGGGCCTTGATAGTGAACTCCATCTCCCTCTTGCCCTCGGCCCTGTCGGCGCGGGTCTTGTCGACGGGGTAAGCGACGACGGCGCCGTCGGTTGGTTTGGCGGTGTACTTTGTGATGTCGGAGAGAGTTTCTGTACATAATCAATCATCAGCTTTCACGGTCCTCTCACCCAGCCAAAAAGTCAAAAGGGAAAAAAAGAAAGAAAAACCTACCCTCACACTCACTCCCCTCCGCCACCCAAAGCGGCGCATTCTCATAAACCGCTCCGGGAGCAAAGATAACCACCCTGCTTCCATCCCCCCTCCTCCACTCCTCCTCCTCTTCCTCTTCATTCTCCGGTTTCTTCTTCTCCCTCAAACTCGTCGCCGTCTCCACAATCTTCTCCCCCTTCTCCACATCCGCCTTCGCCAACACCGCAAACAACCCCTTCCCCTTTCCTGTCTCAGACCACTCCTCCTCCTCAATCCACCTCCTCACCTTCAACGGCACATCCACATACTCCATCATCAACATATTCCTATCATACCCATGCGGATCCACGCCGTCCCAAGAACCGGGGTACTGCCGGTTCGTAAAGACCTTGCGCAAAGCTTCGACCCAGGGGATTAAGCCCTGAGGAGGAAGCTCCTGCAGGTCGTCGAGGAGGTACTCGGTTGCGCGGAAGGTGCGCTGAGAAGAGCAGGTGGGGACGAAGCGGGTGGGGGACGAGGCTTCAGATTCCGAGGAGATGGTTATGCGCGTGTTGTTGGGGTCTGCGAAGGGGTTGCGCCACGGCCAGTTGGGTATGAGGTCTGGCTTGCCGGGGAGACGTTCGGCGTTTTCGGGGACGACGGGGCCGACGGCTGAGGCGACGGTGGCGAGGTAGGCGTAGGTTGCCGCGCTGAGGAGGGAGGTGGTCTTCATTTTTGTGGATTTGTATAGGGTGTTTTGGTGTGTGTGGTTTGGTGTTGGTGATGATGCTGTTGATCAGAGCTCACCAGTGGTCAAGACTCAGACAGGAAGGAAGAGAGAGGATTGGAAGTGACAGTAGAGGAGACAGAGAATGAGGACGGTCCATGGTCGGCTTTGTGGGCATTTTCTTTACCGCGTTCTGTCTTGATCTCTGGCAAAGTGCAATGTTGTCCTCCGGAGGGCTCTTCCGCATTTCCAAATTCGATCATGGCCCGAAGCCGTCGCCAAGGGGGGTTCCGAGGGGCTCGTGAGGGGAACATGAGGAGACATTTGGAGAATTCCAGGGGTCTTTTGGAGTCGCACCAGGGCGTTTTTGGGGATTTGGGGTCAATTGGGGAAGAGATGCGGAGATCACCAAGTGAGGTTGGTGGGGCTGCTAGACGGGACGACGTTCCATTGTGCGGGGAAATCTGGGGTCAGGAACAGGAACTTCTGGAAGACATCCGAACCGGAGTACGACAGCGGATATGTAGGGGTACACTCATCCGAAGAGGGCTCGGGGCAACCCATTCCGATTTTGGACATTCAATTGCTGGCCTTTCGCGGTTACAGTAATGTGTCAAGAATCTGTGATGGATCTCTGGACAATCATACCATGGTGATATTTCTGGAGGGCCTGAAATGGAAGAAAATCATGTTAAGCCGCCGCACGGCATCACAGATCTGTCTCCACATTGTTATTCCCTATTGACTCCCGTGGTTGCCTACGGATTATTACTGCGAGACACGGGGGTCTTCTTTTGAGACGACGAACGCGACCCAAGAGTCCCCGGGAAGGCCTTGATATTGGCCGCTGCAAGGATGGCCGCGATAGCTTCATCGTCACTGTCCTTTTGCGATTTGATGTCCTTCTGGTTCTTCGTGGGCCAGCCGGGCCACTCAGTGGGACGAGCAAACAGCCGTCTGTCATGCTCGTGACCATGCTCTTGCAGCTTCGCGGCACCGTAAGCTTCCCAGAGGGGATTGGCGCCCGAGACTCCTCGATACGAAATGTCTTCAATGTCCCACGGGCTCGCCCGTGCAAGAGGGTGGTGCTTGCCCTGAAACGTCGACATGGCTCCGAGATAGACCATGAATAATGCCTCGGCCAGAACGATAAGTTGCCGCAGATCCTCCGGATTCTTGGCGGGAGACTTGGAGGCCATGGGATTAGGAAGCCGCAAAAGAATGAAGGGGAACTTGGGCATTGTGAGGTTCAACGTGGCGTCCTGGATCCAGGTTGCACCCTTAGCACCTAGGGTTTTATGCCGGGCAAAATAATGGGTTACGAGACGCCGAACAAACCCTCCCCTGTGTGAAGCTGCTGAGCCTACATACAGGCTGGCGTCTTCGGTCTTGTAACTTTGGTTATGAGCTGGGCGCTCTATAAGGCCATAGACGCCCAGCTCAACCCCTGCGTTCTGTTCATTCACCTCGAGCCATGGAAGCTCCTTTAGCTTGGCGATGGTCGGCGGGTATGGACTAGCCAGGATTTCTCGAACAGGATCGGATAGGACGTCTACTATCTGGTCGATCCACTGGTTCGGCGTCTTTTTCTGCAAACCCGAGACCCATTCGGGATGGGGATAGCAGTCAAGAAGCGCGTCATAAATCGAGCGAAGCCGGCGTTTGATCTTGTTGCTGAGAAGCCTGCGTCGCTCCTCCGCTTGGTCGGTTCCCTGAACGTCATGATAAGCCGGACCCCAGTCGAACTTGCGAGTGTCGGATGGCAACGAAGGGTCCCGCTGGCGACACAGCTGAATAATGAGCTTCTTGTAGAATGCCACTTCGTCTAGGTCCACTTCATCCTTCCCCATCCGCTTAACCACCAAGGGAAGGGGATCTCCTCGGGTCCAACCCGACGCAAAAGTCTCGATGTCGACGGGCTTCCAAGGCCGAATCCATTTCTCGCGGTCGGGCAGCCAGATCCTGCCCTTTTGTACCGTGTATTGAACGAGAGCGTCGCTACCGTTATCTTTTCGTTTGCTCGCGGTGGCAGCTGGAGTCGAACTGAAGGATCGGATAGCATGCGAGTGCATGTATGCTGAGACGTATTGGGTACTAGAATCGTATTGGAGGGATTGTATCGTCTGCGGTCGAGATTCCGTGACGCGTGAACATTGTAGTACGATCAACGGGCGGCGGCAATATGTCGCCCGTCCTAGGACCCGGGAGGAGTGTCTCATGTCTTGTGCGGTCGGTGCTTTGTTGGATTTCGCGTTTCTAGTCGGTCTGGTGACATGGAATGCAAGTGGCCCGAGGGAGGAACTGGATGGTGGCCAGTGAGAGTCGCGAGAAGATGCTAATCGTCGGCAATCGCGCGCGGTCGTACGAGACGGGAGTGAACAGGTTGTTCAGGGAAAATCGGGTTGGTCGAGGAAGAAATGGAGCACCGTCGTCGATTGTAGTTGCAGGGTCGTGGAGCCGCCGAGTCGGGAATGATGGAGCCGGAAGATCGTGGGCCGGGAAATGGATCAATGGATCCAGTCGGAGTGGATTGGCCGTTGACGGTGATCGCACACTCCAACGGCGCCGGACGGGAATCTGTCCGGCCGAACTTTTGCGAGAATGCCGTCTGCCCCGCCGATATGTACGTACCTTTGATTGTGGCTGGTGCCTACCGCAAACCGACTGCTAGTGTGGCTGCGCCAGTGGCGTATTAATTTATCGGGTACTTGGGGATGGACGTATAGCTCAGGCGATCTCCTCCCTTGTTGGGACCCACCAAGGTTTTCTATATATAACCCTAACCCTATTTAAGTCTGCGTCCGTATATAAAGAATAGGATATTTAGAGCTACATTGTATTATTATATATTTATAAGAAATTGTATCTATATTAAGTATATCCGTTTATAATAGCTAAATAATTAGAGCGACACAGTAAAAGACCCAGAATGTATTGGGTATATTACGCTTACTTAATAGGATATTAACCGTTTAATAACTATTTATTACTACTATAAAATTATAAAATATAGCTAATATTTATTATTTAGTAATTTATTAATATAATACTATTGTTTGTAATATTTAGACTTCGGGTGTATTTTAGTATATATTATAGTAAGATCCTGAATATATTATAATAGAAATATCCGAGGTACTTTGGATATATTTTTATTTATAGGAAGTACTTTAAAAGTCCTATTATCTTACTATATAAAATACTTTGGATATAAATATTGCGAAATAAAATATTAAATTATAGGATAATTATATACAATATTCCTATTGCCTAATAGAGGTACATTATGCGTAAATTTATCAGCCGGTTTTATTAAATTATATATATCCCAAATCGAGTTTAAGGTATACGTAAAATATATATAAAGTATCTGTAAAGTATTTATAAAATATTTATAAAGTATTTATAAAAGCTTTATAGAGATTCGTATAATTATTAAATAATTTTAAAGTAATACTAAACTAAATTTTTATAAGGATAATAGTTATCCCTGTTTTTATTCTTATTTTTTTCTTTATTTTACCTATCCTATCCTTTTTAATTACTAATTACTATGAATAATTTAATACCGGGTAATATTTATTTTTGCTTTTCGTTTACTTTTTTTATAATTCTTTATTAATTATTATACTATTTAAATATATTTAAGGGTATCCTTTTAGGATTATTCGCCAAAGATTGGAATACCCTAATTGGTATATTTAGTTTAAGTTTCGACGTTATGGATTTTAAGAATATATAAGCTTTCGATAAGGTAATAATTCGAGATTTGAAAATTGAGGAAGAAAGTTTATAAATTCTTAGTAACGATTCCTTTAATATTAAAAATATACTTAAGTAACTACTATAGTTACTTTTAAACGAGGAGGTCGAAGAGATTCCCTACTAAGAAATCCGGTCGATAATTTACATTTCTTCCGATCCCAGCGAAGGGAATTATATTTTCTAACTCTAAACTAAATATATTCTTTATTTCTACGATTTCTTTAACTTTTTTAAAGATTAGAACTATAATTCGGGTATTATATATTATATATATTTAATGAAGGAAATAATGTTTAACGAAAAAATAAATTAGCGGAATTAAATAAAAATTTTATTAGGGTATTAAGTTCATTTTATCCGGGTTTTACTAATAAATTATTGATAAATTTAATAATATTTGGCTTCGGCCTATAGTAAAAACGAATATAAATTTGTCCGCGATTTAATTTTTAATTTAATAGAATTTTTATACGTTAAGAAAGAATATATAGGTATTAAGATTTATTTTCGTTGTAACCTTTATATGTAAAGAATAATTAATATAAATAAGAGTACGAACGGAATTTTAGAATTATAATATAAAGTATAAAAAGAATTCGTATAGAAGTACTACTTACAAAATAAAAACGGAAAGTAAATTATAGTATTATAATTTATCGAATTTATTTATAATTTTAAAAATACGAATTTATAAAAGGTAAAGTATAATACGCGCGAGGAGACTTATCGCTTAATCGCTTTTAAAAATATAGTAAATTCGCTTTTCTTAATATATTTATAAAATATATATTAATAAATATTATTATTTAAATAAAGCGGTAGTTGATATATATTATTAAGAACGAATATTAAAAAATAAAGTCCAAATTTTATTAAAGGAGGTATTTCTTTACCTCTTATAAGGATATTGCGAAGTATTATTAATAAAATATCATAAATAAAGCTTTCCGGAATTATAATAGAAGAGGGTATTTAATTATTAATAATTTCGAATATAAGGAGGCCGAAGACGATTTTTATACGGAAATTATATATAATAAATCGAAGAGAAAATATTATAATATATTTCCATTCCCGTATTTATTATTAGGGTTTATTAAATCCTTACTTTAAATTTAATTCGACCTTCGTAATACTTCATTAATATATTAATTCATATAGGAGTAAAGTATATTTTTAATTCCAAATAATTTATTAATAATTATTGTCCCCCTTATAGTATTCGCTTTAAAATTCTTACGTCGGTCGATTAAATTAAAATTCTATATTACGCCTCCTTTATTTGTAAGAAATATAATTATAGCCTTCCTATACTTAATAAAATCTTTAATATTTTTAAGAAGGGTATTATTAAATAAATTATAATAATTTACAATCGGATACTTTTTCCGGGTAAATCTTTTTATTTTTAAAGTTAAAAGGAGTAATTAATATATTTATCTATATTCAAATTTTATTAACGCTAGGGGGCTATATTATTAAAGGAGTTTACTAATGGATTTAATAACGAGGATTAAATTAGGGTTATAATTCGTAGGACGAAATTTATTTAGTACTTTTATAGTATCGATAAAGTAGCGTTCGCAATATCATATATAGGAGAATAATTCCGATATAAAGAAGTATATAAACTTATATAAAAGTATTAAAAACCTTTTAATAATCTTTTAATTACCTCCCCTTAATTATTTATTAATATTATTTTAGTATATTTAATATTTCTATTGGGAAGGGAAGTAATTTATATATATTTCCTTTTTCCCGGAATAATTTGAAAGATTTCGGGAAATCGAACATTTCGAAGTAAATATATTTCTTAAACGTATTTATAAACTATTCTTAGAAATTATATTTATATTTAAGAATCGGGCTTCTAAGTTAAATATAACCGCAACTCCTAATTAAAATATTTTTTACGCTTAAATTCATTTATTATAGCCTATATTTTTATATACATTTATATTAATTGTCGCTACTTACTTCTTTATTTTAAAGCTTTTAAAGAATTGTTTCGTATTTTCGAAAAGAAGTATAATATCCTATACAAATAGTTATATATATATACCCTAAAGAATATCCCAACGACTATCGTTAGAAAGTAATCGTTTCTAATATAAACTAGTAATAATTCAATAGTATATAGTAAATGTACTTTAATTTATATAATATTTATTAATATTAAATTAGCGTTTAGTACCTATTTATATAATAATAATTTCATTCGGAATATATTTGGAATATATAAAAGTACTATTTAATCTGTATTTTTATAAGGTATAAGGTATACTATAAATGTACCTTCTATAGTTATACTATTAAAAATCTTCCCTTTTATAGAAATAAACCGAATTATTATTTTATATTAAGAATTATAATATATAATTAGAAGTTTATTATCCACTTCTACGTAAATTATTACAATTTTATTAACCTGTTATTTACCTCTTTGTAAATATTTAGTTAATGGCTACTACTTTAGGAAACAATAACGCTAAAGATAGTTCTAAATTCTAAAATAAATTTGCTAATTAGGCCGAATATAAAATAGAATTAATTTAAGTAATTAGGTTTAACAAGAATATTTTATTAATAAATAAAAGAATTTGTAAAGGAGTTCCGCCGTATATTTAAATTAAGAAAGCGAATTACTAGATGTTTTATATTTATTGAAAAAGTTTGAATTTAATCGAAGCCTTCGCTATATATATAATTTTACCCGTTTCTATTAATTTAATATTTATTAACTTTTTTTTAATAGAAAGATTTTTAATTAAAGGCTTATTTTTCGGTATTATATTAATTTATATAGTATCTTTTATACTTAATTTAAACGGAAATATTATTATCGTTGGTAGAAAGCCGATTTAATTTCCGTTACTGACCTTATTACCGGTTAATTTATTCTAGCCCTATTAAAGAGTAAATTAGGTCTAAATAACGCTAAAATTATATAATAAGAATTAAAAACTTTAAAAGAAATAAGAAAGGAAAGGGTAAAACTATAAGAGAGTTTTTAAATGTTAAAGAACTAACTAAAGTAATAAATACGGCTTATCGTAACGAAGATTTGGGTAATTTTATCCTCCTTCTCAGTAACGGAAATACTAATTCTAATTTAAATTCTAATTTGGAATTCCCTTCTATTAGGATAATAACCCCCTCTACTAATAAAAGATTAATTATAATTAATACAAAATAATCCGTATATATCTATATTCCTTTGCAATATAACCGAAAGTAAATCTTCCTATACTGCGAATATAAAACGGTTCTATAATATAAAAAAGGAAGTAAACGAAATCCGTTAATTTATTATATAGAATTCGTTTAGTTCGCTTCTTAAAAGTAGATAAATAATACATTATTAACTTATTAATAACCGTTTATTAATATCCTTTATAGGTTACTATTTAGTAATTATGAAAAAATATATTTAAATTTTACTATAAAATTTATGCCGGAGGAAGTAATAAATAGAGCCTAGGCTACGCTTCGCTAATAGTTTCTAAAGGGTAAGGGGAAGGCTATTTCTATTAAATTCGACCCAGCTAAAGCCGATTATTAAGAGTATATGTTCGTATTAGAAATTAAAGTGAAT